TTTCTGAATGAGAACCAAAACATTTCATTGTTCACACAAACATTGTCTACATAATTGTGAAAAAATACATATAAAAGTGACTGCATGGAGATCACAGTCCCCACAATGTGATGAAAACTTGATCGCACATCCGCACCCGAGAACAAATGGAGGAGAAAGGTGAAGAGGAAAGTTGATATTAAGATGGAGAGAGTATGGGACAGGAAGTGCTTTGGAGACAGAGGAGCGATCTAGGACATGGGACAGATGGGACTCGTGAGCACACACACACTCACACACACACATCAAGTTCTGATGAAGACTAATGATGGAAGGGGCCTTAGTGACAGTGACCAGTGGGTTCAATTCTCTGCATTGATTTTCTGTATTTGTATTCATCATTGCCATTTTATGTGTGTATTTACTTCTTCAGATGGTTGCACATTTCATTGGACAAGGTTTTTGATTTACAATTCTTTGTACTGATTTTGCTTCATGATTGGTCTCATTATGGCAGTTGTTTTATGGTTAATAATTTTGAGACTACTCAAGCTGGAGTTGTCTTTTCCTCCCTTCTTGTATCATTATTTACACAATGGTCGTCCTAGATTACATGAGCGCCGATTTCGCCCCAATTCTGTTATTTTTCATTTCTCTCGTTGACATCTTCAGAACCAGTTTGGATGAATAAAATTTAAATCATTTGAGATACTTATTTACCAGTTTTATTACATTGACATATAGCCATATAAAGTATACCAGTCTTCCATTCATAAACCCTCAGCAACTTATTTTGCCCTGTTGCTATTTTAATCCAATCAGTTCATCAAAAGGAGTTGTGTAAACATGTACTTTATGATGTTTCCTTTGGAGTGTGTTTTAAACAGGCACATTTTCTTTATTATTTAAAAGAGGAAAAGCCAATAATGCATTTTAACCTTTAGTACCTGTATTTTGGCAAATCTGAAGGCAGTGATGATGAATCATGCATTTGAAATGGGTTTACATACATGTTAATTAAAAATATATGTGAAATGTGTTTGCGGACAGACACATTGGGAGATACAAACTGAGCGTTGGATTAATGTGTGTGTTGGTTATGACCTTAGGACTGTTTTTATGAGGTAGCGTTGTTGCAATATGGTTAAAAGCTCAAAATGGGCAGCATGTAGTTGTGCCATTGCCTGCTCCTCGGAATCCCAACAGGAGGCCAAAGCAGAACTCCATTTCAGAGATCTGGCCTTACAGGCCTAATGTTGTACTGCAGCATTTCGAATTATGCTTAAACGCTAACAAAATCATGTTGTTTGATTTTATTCATATTCCTGTATATAATTGATCTCATATTTTTTTTCATCTTTATCTAAGCCATTAATCAGATTGCAGCACCTGGAAAGTAAAATGTGTGTGTGTTTGTGTCATGTGACTGGTATGTCCACCCAGGTTATTTGGTAATTTTGAGGTACACACTGTGGCATATGCAGCATCAGGACGTCAAAGCCCGTATAGTCATTTGGCTTGATTGTTGTTGGACTTTGTCATCATCTGTCCCACTCCATAAGTAACTTGTTAACCCCGGCGGTGTGTAAGGGGAAGGGACACACTCTTACAATTGAGGTTGTCGGGCTCTGACAAGCGTGGTTAACTAAAGTGGCCCTTTTACTAAAATATGTGACACCCCTTTCTGGTCTGGTACATGAAGCTCAGTTTAGACCCTACAGATCTATTTTCATCCTTACACAATTTCAAAATGTTGTTACTGTGGGGGCATGGCCTAAATGGCGGTAAATATACATTTTTGAATTATGACTTTGAAAGTGGGGCACAGAATGGGGGAAATTGTTACCATAACTTGATAATTAACACAATTGCAAATCAATTATTGCAATCTCATTGATCCATCCATCTTAACATCCCCTTGACTCTCTCCATGTGACTGCAGAATACTAACCTCACAACTCCTGATCGAGACACTGTTGCCTGTCGTGTTATGTGCGTCAATCAAGGATGTGTCCTCTGTTGTGTTTTGTGCGTTGATCAAGGGTGTGTCCTCTGTTGTGTTTTGTGTGTTGATCAAGGGTGTGTCCTCTGTTGTGTTTTGTGCGTGTCTGAGCCATCCTCTTTATTTCAGGTAAGACTCATCGTTTTCAGTCTCTACGCGGTGCCGTCAAGAAAAACGCGGCCATTCTTCGTAAGGCGTGTGCGTCAGTCTGCATGTTCCATTCTCAATTTACAGCCACCAGCGGATTGCATCTTTATCCCTTTTTTGCTTTGAAATGTTATATATTACTATAAGATTGATTTGATCGTTTTCTCCCCTTTTTCCCTAACCCTGCATTGGATTACGCATCTTCCTCTGACCACTCCAGTGCTGGTTGAAGCTAAGGAGTGGTTTGTCCTGCTCTGAAATGTAGAAAGGATATTCTCATTGTCTCCTTTATGTTTTTTTAAACTCATCTGATCTGCTGCAGCATTAAAGGCAGTGGCTAATGGATTTTCTTAAGACCATGTATTTCCATTGAGACAGTTTTGAATGGCTTCATATAGTAATTTGGTGAAGTGCTTTGAAAAAAATATGCAAATGATCACAGTTGCCAATTTAGAGTGCACAATATGGGTTCAATGTTAAATCACAACAATTTAATGTAGTATCAGAATTTTTTTTAAATGATTTCAAACATGCAGACCAAAATTCCGGATAAATATTATTTTTCATGATTTTATGGCACTGAAAAAGTATAGTAAAGATTTTTTATTTAGTTGGGGTTCCCAATTTTTTTGTTCCATAAATAATATGGTGGCAGAGTGGTAAGCACTCTCGCTTGTTTGAAAGAATGTCTGGTTAGGACAAGACCATGGATTTGGCTTGTTCTCTCTCTTATGCACAAGTTTCCTCAAGGTGCTTTGATTTCCACTTTCAACCCCCTGTCTGGGACCAGGACTCTGTTGAAAAGGAGATCTGAAATCTTATTGGGACTTTCCTGATTAAATAAAGACAATTAAATAAAATGATATGTTTAAAGAAATATTTTCAAAGAAATGTATAGTATTCAGACTTGATTGTTACCTTATGAGCAAACATTTTGCATAATTGTAAGATCTAGCCCTGGGATTCACAATTTGAGCCCATTAGTTAGGTACCCCAACTTAAAACACACATATTGTGAGTGTGATTAGTATTAAAACCTTTTCTCCAGGAGTGTGACATGTTCACTCCAGGTCAAATTTTGGTAAACAACTAAAGATCAAATAAAAATGCCTTATTGTCCAATTGATCCACACCTGGCCCTAGACTTCCTTCTTCTGCCTTTATCCTGCAGCACACATTGTCCCAGATGGCTTTCTGTCAGTGCCTGAAATGTGTGCATTAACCGAAAGATGGGGCTAAAAGGAGACAAAGAGAGATGATTCTATACAGTATGAGTTTCCTGTTTTCTTGAGTAAGTCCTTGCCTGACCTTACATAGACAACAATAAGAGGACAGTGACGTCACGCCACGACCAAACGCATTACGTATCCAACGCCGTCTGCATTATAATGGAGGCACGTTTGGAATGTGGGGGCTCTGTTCTCTTATTCTTTTCTATTTTAATTCCCTTTACCTGCAAATCACTGGAATTGCTGTTTTTATTATATTATGTCGATAAAAAAAGATTCTGCAAGAGTTTGACTGGTTTTCTGTTTTTAATATATAAAAGCTATAATTACATTGTTTTTATATTTCAACTGATCTGGTTTTGAAGCGACTCTCATTCATCTGTTATGGACTTCAAGCTTGAAGGAGGCATAATATGCAAAATCAAGTTTAGCTTTTAAGGAATTTATACTATTTTACACAAGGCTGAATTTTCAAGTGATTATTTAAGTCTCCCATAATAATTATTGGCGTGAGTGGCCTGACCTTTCTCTGTTTTTCTACTTTGTTGCTTTTTCACTTTAAAAGTAAAAAAGAAAGTGGGTGGTAATTGAATGCCAGACAACAGATTTGTGGAAAGAAAATGCCATCTGGGTCTCCACGTTAATGCTATTGCTAATTTTTAACCAATGAACATAGATCTGGAACACCATCCACTAATTTTGAGTAGTCGTCACTTGTTTTTCTGATTCATTCATGTTTTCATATTTAATATGCTAACAGAATAGAGAAAGTACTGATGCTAACAGTTAGCTTGCCCACTCCCGTGCACAGAGCTCATTCAAGCACATGTATGTCTCCTTGAGTCATTTCTTGAAAGTCTGTCCTTTTGACTGAATCTCTCATGGCCTCTGTCAGTGTTTCTGTCGCTCCTTTGTGTTGCAGGTCTTCAGGGTTTTCTCTATAATTAGGTGCTAAACTAGTTCAGACGTCCATGGAGGAGAGGCATTTAGTGAGTCTGTCCTTAGGCTCAGGACGAGGAAAATTGTCTGTATTCAAAAGTGTGACAATTCTTACGATCTATTTTAGATTACCTGCACTTTCTGTTTGCTATTCCAGAATGTTAAGAGCGTAAATCACACCTGTCTCATGTTGGTTTAACAACCACCTCAAGTTCTTTATTGTTTTATTACAGTCTACTAAGTATACATGAGTTTTCTTTTTACATGGATCAATAAACCTCAAGCGTCCCTCCTGACTCTCCAAAACACTTATTAGTTAGATCTTTAACGTTATACATAGAGATGAGAAATAGGCTGTTTTCAGCACTTCTGGCTACACTGTAGCTCTGAAAATTCTTGCGTCAAAAAACTGTAATTTTTAGACATCTATCTACAGATCAAACACTATAGGGGGAGAAGACTTGTTTGTGCCAATATTTGCGTTGATAAAACAAAAATTGCATTTTGCATAATGTGTGTCCTTTAAGTTAGGCAATAAAATAATACCTTATGTTAGTTTATACAGAAGTCCACTATATCTCATGTAGTCGTTTATTAGTATTTAGTAAAAGCTGCTTGCCCTATTTGCACATGTGCATCGTTGCTCACACATTTATCCTTCTCCCTTCCTCTGTGTGTTTTGTGCGTCTGTTGTTGCAGTGAGCATGCCTGCCAGCGAAAACGAGTCGGTGAACACGGACAACGCTCCTGGAGCCGACGTTGAGGGCGAGGCCTGCTGCACCCGGCTCGCGTAAGTACAACCTAGCGCACAAACCTTCCTTCTCATTGGACGTCGTTAATGTAAGCTTGTCATATAGTGGAATTAGCCTAGGAGATTGTTAAGTGTGGTATCATTTCTCACTATGGACTCTCAACAGATCAACATGTGATTTTCAATCGATTATATTTATAGTTATTTATTTATAACTGTGGTAGTGCCAAACAATTAAAGACAAATTAAAACAAATCCTTCTTGATGCACTAAAATTAACAGAGCCCAGAACAGGTTGCGTTCACCTTCTATTATTGAGCATGTGCCAATACAACTCTATGGGAAAGAAACGTTGAAACATAAAATCTCCAAAGATTTTCCCAGATCATTATTTGATACCTGCCATATTATTCTTAAGTCTGAAAGTCTTTTCTTCTGGCCAACATGCATTTATTTTTTGAATATTGTGAACACTTCTAGACACCTTATAAAAGGTTATAGAAAATAATGAGACTATCGTTGATATGTGCAGACAAAGAAGATAAACTTAGGCCTAGAAAATACTGAGAAGCTTGAGGGTGCTTTCACACCTGTTGGTCCAGTAAAGTGGTTCGCTTGGGCCCTAAAGTTGTTACAACGTTGCAGTTCTCAACTAGTTTGGTTCTCATTCACACCAGTGTTTTTGCAAATGAACCAACCACTGTAGATGTTACATATTCCGCCACCTATGTGGTGGCGCTGTTCACAAAATACTGTGTATTGGATGACGTATGTGACTGTGCTACTCTGCTATTTTTTTTATCATTGTTGCTTTGTGCAGCACAAATACTGTTGTTCCAGTATGTATTGCGGATTCAGCACGAGAACACTCTGCGGGTGTTTTTGACTATTCTATCATATAAAAAAACAACGTGTGTGTCAAAAAGTGAGCTACGCAACAGAGCAGGGCCATATCGAGGCCGGTCTGCGTTCTCACCAGCAGCGAACCAGACTGGAGTCCACATGGAACCGTACCGAGACCAGCTCCCTAAGGTGGTCTCGGTAATGTTCTTTAGTCCGGACCAAATTTAACTGGTCCACTTTCACACCTGCTCAAACGAACCGTACTTGCTGGTGTTCCAGACTCCAGTCCGCTTTAAGTGGACTAAATGGTGCAGGTGTGAAAGCACCCTTAATCAACTCTACTCACCACGATTGTATTTTTCCTACTGTCTTTAATTTTAAAATAGTAATTGGTCAACCAATATGGGAAAACATTATAACATTTTATAATCTATTTTTCATAATTCAATATACAAAAAATAGTCAAAAAAATATAAAAGGAAGACGTGGCTTGAGTGCATACTGGAGATGATCTTTCAGAATAACATAAATAAATATGGACTTCACAATCTCCAATTTTCATCATTCTATCATTTGACAGCTTTGATATATTTTGCTCATTTGTAATTTGATCAAAAGTCTATAAGTTGCCTTTTTTAGACATCTCCACCCTTTCCTTAAGAATCAATTCAGATCCCCGAAAAATGTACATTTTTAAGAAAAAATCACAGCAAAAAAAAAGAGGCAGAAAAATGGCCAGATAGAACTTGCATATTTACTGAGACGCACAATATGACATCATCATTTGCCTGCTCCTACTTTACCTTTTTTACTTGTTTTATATATCAAATTTAACTTTTTAATGTACTTCGATTTTATCTATTATATTACATTGTATTAATTTGTTTTATTTTCAAACCTATACATTGCATACTGTTTGAAAAATGTAGTTTTTAACTGGTTTGAAAGTTTACAGAATTCAAGGATTTCCGGGCACGGACGCCATTTTCAGCAGTCCTAATGTTTGTAACCAATGCATGTTTTTGCGTCTTCATGTAATTCATGTAGTAACTGTATCCTGGAGTAACAACCAAGGAAAATAGAAAAGAGTTTTTCAATAGAAAGAAGTGGGGCATCTGTCAGTCTGTCCGTGAATCCCAAATCTCCGCCCTTTCCTCTGTCCTCTCCTTTTGTCTCTGCACCTCCGACAGCTGACTCACCACCTACCCACCCACACCTTTTATTCTTTTTAATCAAACTTCTGAGTACTTTCATTCACAGAGACAAGGTCGTGGCGTGTGAGAGTGTCACCATAGCTCAATAGTGTGAGCTGTTTCAAGGATAACTGCACAGACTGACATCCGGGCACTTAAACTCAACTACGAATAATCATTGAATCATGTTTGTTTGATGAGGATAAGGCCAGAAAAAAGACCTCCTTTATAAAATCATTAGTCATGATTTCCAAACTGAGGTTTTCCTATCTTTTCTTTTCTATTTTTTTATTTTTGGCCTCTGTTTCTATCTTTCAGCTTTTTCAATCAGAACAGTAAAAAGAGAAACACCCTTTCTCAGCCTAACCAGTCATAAACAAGTTTGCAAAAGATAACAAGATTTTACAAAATGTTGAGATGAATACAAAATAAGAGCTGAACCTTAGATTGCGTTTCAGGGCCGCGGCGCCTTCACCCCATATTACAATGTGCCTCTGTCAAATTGTCTGTGTTACCGAATACTCCTCTTGCCTGAAAAAGGATAAATAATGATAATGTTGAATGATAATAAAGCATTATCTATTAACTACTATTTAGTACTTTTGATGCTTGTTAAAGGTGATGTCAGTAACATAAAATATATCTAATTTTATACAGGATGACTGAGCCCACCTGCCGTTAATACTGCCACATAATGAGGCAAAGGCAGTCTCTGCCACTGTAGTAGCATATAAGGTATTTTTCAAAAACATTATAATTACTACATAATATATAATTTGCATAACCACCACCAGTAAGATTTGTGTCGTCTGTGTTTCAAGGATATAAAATGTATTCAGTCCAAGCGGTAAGCACTCCTGATTATGTCTATAAAGGGAACATAACCTAATTCTATTATATGATCATCTATTCCTCCTGTGGCAGTTTATTTAATATGCGGTTCATATGAAATGTTTAGATCGAGCTAAAATAATGTTATGTCAGAAACCAGTTGGGTAGCTAGGTTCCCTTGCCTCACTTAGTAGGACCATGTTCCTTTGCAATGCGATTATGTTGGTATCCTTTGATCAAAAATGGTTATGCAAGGCGGGTGAATGCTCCACATATCACAGATTCAGGAAAAAAGCATTTCTAAAGTAAGTAAGTAAGTAAACACAGAGGGAGGGGCCAGGTACTGATAGTCAGAGAACTGAAGTGGGAGAAATGGTAGCAGGCATAAATAAGGATATAAATAACTCAAACATGCATGAAGTAGCTTTTTGTTTCTAAATTACAAGGGGAAATCACTATAACATGCCCTAAGCTGAGAAAAGTAAAGTTTTAGGTTTAACCCTTTAGGCGCCAGAGTTTTTTCAAGAAAATGTACAATTTTGATTTCAAGATTTCAAAAGGCTATAACTTTAAAATGGTTTGAGATAAAGGCATACTGTAAATTAGAAATATCTTCAGTCTGAACCAAACTTTGGGATGGAAGTTGATTCGTCATCTAATTTTCATATTCTGACGTCATCAAGGTGGCGGCCATTTTGGAAAATGTTAATTATTGTATAAAGACTTCAAAAAGCTGTAGCTTGGGAGTTATTTGAGATCAGGGAATACTATAAACAGTAAATGTGAAATATATCTTTAGTATGAAATGAATTTGGGATAGAAATAAATTCCCTGATCCAGATTATACATAATGTTTTAGCACTGGTTCGCAGCCATATGGAATGTTATTATTTTCAAAGACCTTCAGTGATCAAGACTGCACTCTTTATAGTTTACAGTCATGAAATCTGGAGATTGGTTTCAATATTTCCCTTTCTAAGAAGTAGTGGGCATACTATTTTTCTCAGTGGAAATGAGGCTCCAGGATTTATCGTGTAGAAACAGAAAGATGAAATGAATGGGCACAGAACATGTCAGATCGTCTCAACAATAAACAACAGGTTTTTCAACACTTCTGGTCCACTTTTGTGGATTATTTTCTCTCAAGAACTGCCTTCATCCTCATCATCGCTGTTGGTAAAGGCAGTAAACGCGATAAGCGATGTGCTTTTTCCCGCGGCTCCCCCGCGACTTCTCCCGCGTCTCCCCGCGGATGTCTACCCCGGCTACTTTCTCCCACATGCCCGGTGTTATGATCCCCCTGTCCCCTCCACCACGGATCCTGCTTGGCGTTCACAGAATGCTTCTACCGCGGCCACACGGAGGACAAGCAGCCGCTGCACAGGGACTGATAGTGGACTATGGAGCGCGGTCTCCCCGTCACCAATAATGCCCGAGTCTGCTTCACTGGACACCTGTGTGTCTTCCTCCTCTGAATCTGAGTGAGCCAGTACCAGACCAAGTACTTCTCTGGTACTGAAGACCTCATGAGTAAAATAAAAAACCCTCTCTCCCTCTGCTCTGCTCTCGCTCCTCTCAGCTCTACCGCTGCTGCTTCGCCTCCGCGCCGCTGCGCCGCAAGTGTTTTACGAACTCAATTTACTCAAAAACTTTCAATATAACCACACTCACAAATGCTGCTCATATTACAGGCACACATGTCCACTAACCCCTGGTGAAAAGTATTAACAAGATTCTGCACCACATTTTTAGATACAGCCTGTTTAAGTGAGCAATGTTGCTTGTCGCAATATTGCGACTTTGGCGCTTAAAGGGTTAACCCTGTAGCCTCGCTTATGCTACAGGACCAGCACCGCACCGGGGATAAGAGTGTATTAACCAGTGTGCTTCTCATGCCAGGGCTGATTTCTAAATGAAGACAGACACTGGGGGAGAGTAGACAGTCTGTATCTACACAGTCGCTCTGCTGCTGTAGCGTTTCGACACGCACAGCTCTAATGGCTTCCATCATGTTGCCAAGTCAATCCATCATTCCGTGTTCTCTCGCCTTTGAGAACACTAACACAGTCGAGACAACGCATCACTTTGCTCTTGGTAAATCTAGTTATGGTCACAAATGAAAAGCAGCTACGGTAGGTGTCAGAGGCTCTGGAACAAATGTAAATGTTGGCTGACCTTCAATGTAACAAAGTTAATCCATGTCCCTAAGTCCCTTCATATTTTACACCATTTTACAGACGTTAAGAACATGTTTTTTGTCAAACATCAATCCCCTGTTCGACCCATTGTCCTGAGATTAGTGTCTAGCCACCATAATGTCTGACGCAGTCGTGTGATCCAAGGACATATACATGAAGCTGCCGTCTAAACTACAACGAGATAGAACCAAAGTGTTTTTCTGGTGCAAGGATGAAAAACATGGATTTGAGGCGTGTGCCAAGATAGTGATTTTACAATACAAATACATCACATACATCAAGAATCAATATGTTAATTTACCTCTTGCCCCCACAAGTCCTGCAGGCTGAGTCAATGGAAGTCAAAATCCAACAAAGTCTAGACATTTAACACATTCTAAACTTGCTCTCTTCACACTGTCTTCTCTGTCCCCATTGTCCACAGTTTGTTTGTACTGCACTTATGGTTGTACCAGTGATGAACAATCAGCATACAGCCGATGTAGCACCACTGTCCCACGTTGTCCTTGTCGTTGGTGATTTGAGCCGGCCCAAATCACTCCCCCTTCCTGTCTCTCTGTATGTGATGTGTGTATGTATAATCCATTCTGTTTTCTGTGTTCCAGAAATAGGATCTCCAAATCCAAGTTCAGGTTAGTACATGTGGTTTAGCCTTGTCCCGTATCCATCTCCTCCGCCTGTTCTGTTGGTCCCCATCGATTGTGTTTGTGCGCCGTAGAGACAGAAGCCCTTCTTCGCACACAAAAAACAAGGGTCCATTTGAAAAGCAGGTTTTTCTCCAAATAGTCAAGAGTATGCTGAACGTGCATGCGGTCTGGTGTTGTGCCTTATTACATGTGCGGCGTTTACAAAGATTGGTAAACAGACAAAGTATTCAAGATAATTCAATGTTCAAAAAAAAAACACAGGTGATTGAATGTATATTCTAACATGTATAATCTAACACAAATGGCAGGCCATGTATTGTAAATAGGGATTCTATGTATCAAACCATATGAAGCAATCTAGAAGCATGTTTAGTCCTGGCTCTGGGCAGGAGCAGGAGGCCAGTCCTTGTGCTCCCCAGAGGCTGAGTTGGTTAATATGACTCTGATATACTTTGGTGCAAGGCCTTGGAGAATAACAAACCGAGCTGCTTTAAAGTCTATTCTCTGAGCCACAGGAAGCCAGTGCAGAGACCTGAGGACTGGACTAATGTGATCATACTTCCTGGTTCTAGTCAGGACTCAAGCTGCAGGGTTGTGAACATACTGCAGCCGTATATGAATGAGACAAATACTTTAGACACTATGATTTTGATTCTGGCCATGTTTTTTCAGATGATAAAAACCTGCTAATGTTACTGATTTGATGTAGCAGTTTAAAATATAAGTCTGGGTTCAGTGTTACTCTGACCGTATTTGGGGTTAGAGTTACCAATGATGCTCTCTCTTTGTCTCTGGGGACAATCATTTCAGTTTTGTATTTTTGCTGGAGAACTTTGTTTTGTATCTGATCTGTTGGATGTAGTGAAGGAGTGAGTCCACTGGCACGTGTGCTCCTTTAGTCAGTGAGACATAGATCTGAGTGTAAGATTTTTGTAATGTCTGAGTGCATTATTGTACATTACATGTTTTGAAAAGGGGTTGAGACTGGTCTGAGTATAGCAGTTACACTTTGAAATTGAGATTACTCATGATAAATGTTTTAATTTGTATTGCACATTTGGGTTTTGTGACTCACTAAGACAATATTGTTAGTCCTCAATGATGGAGACGAGTATCATAAAATACTCTGCGAATGTCGAATTCCGCCCAAAAAGCTGAATACGTGTATATTTTTCGAGACAGCAAAACATATATATTAAAAAAACTTTGGGTAACCATTTTTAATTTTATCCTTTTACAATTTTCTGTATAGTTTCCAAATTGTACAGCCCTGTGTTTGCTTATCTCAAAAGCAAAAAGGAATCACTCTTTCAGCCGCTTTAATTGAGTTTTTATTTGCAGCAGGTGAGGCACAGTGCTGAAGTTCAGTCCTCTCCGCACACTCTTTGATCCATTGTATTGTGCAGGGTCTAAACCTGTGTGTGTATGTGTGTGTGTTTGCGTGCTTGTGTGTGTGCAGCCGGTACTCGCGGAGGTGGAACCGCCTGTTCCGAAGAAAGTGCCGAGCGGGCGTGAAATCACAGGTTTTCTATTGGCTTGTCATCTTCCTGGTTTTCCTCAACACATTAACCATTGCCTCGGAGCATCACCAGCAGCCACAGTGGTTAACAGACATACAAGGTACAATACAATACAATTTATTCTTGTATAGCCCTAAATCACAGCAGCAGTCATCTCAGAGGACTTAACAAAACCATTGAAATCACCAACACAGATCAGAGAATAAGCAGTTAAGACACAAAATATAAACATACTGTATGTATTGGTCCGTAGGGAGAGACCAATGTCCATGAATGTTGATAAATGTCCATACATGTTGTAGAATGTTAAAGTGTCCTGGATCATCGTGGTGATCCAGGTGAGGTTATACTGGTTGCATCTGATCCGTGCCAATTCATTCATTCATTCATTGTTTTACTGTTTTACTGATGTGTGTGTGTGTGTGTGTGTGTGTGTGTGTGTGTGTGTGTGTGTGTGTGTGTGTGTGTGTGTGTGTGTGTGTGTGTGTAATCGTGGATGAGAGCGTGTGTGACTGTGTTTGTGGGCGTGTGCGAGAGCGTGTGCAAGAGCGTGTGCGAGAGCGTGTGTGCGTTTGTGTGTGTTTGTCTGCGTGTGTGTGAGTTCTTAGTAATATATGTAGTTTGGGTTGGGTCTGTTGGGTGGTCGGGGGGAGGGGTCATGGGCGGGATTGTTTTTAACCAAATGTAAAGTACTTTGTGTTGCATCTTTTGTATGAAAAACATAAAATTTGATTGATTGATTGCTACCGTACTGGAGCTCATTATTGCCATAGATCAGTGGGCCTGATATTTAATGATCATGGTAACGCTACTGTACCTCTTTTTAAAAATAATGTAACCTTTGTTAAACCAAATAAACACCCATTGAGATCAAAATCTCTTCCCGGACAAGATGTTAGCATGCGTCAAGACATGTTAACAAAGACTTCAATATAAATAAATAATCAGTTTGAGAATAAAATCTAACATTGACAAATTTAACAGCACTGATAACAGAGCTTCATTGTCTTCCAAGTAAAAATAAGCAAAAATCATTGAAAGAAACCAGTTCTGTCAAGCTGCTTTCCTTGGACATTATAGGTAAATCCACAGTTTTAAAAATTTTCCCTGTTGTGTTTTTGTGCATTTGTAGATATCGCCAACAAAGTGCTTCTGGCTCTGTTCACCGGCGAGATGCTGCTGAAGATGTACAGTTTAGGGCTGCAGGTAGCTCTCCAAACATCTTCTATTCACAAATTTTACCTTTCACCTTTGCCTGAAGCCGTAATAATTGGATGTTTCAACAGTCAGATATCTGCTTTTCTTGTATGCCAATTGTCTTTTAAATTGGTGGATTTCCATTTTAGAACTCTGCATTACTTCCTATTCAACTATTTTAACTGTTATTTGGCAGATTAAAACTACTGTGAATGTTACCCAGTCATACAGTTCTGCTTGTTCCAGGCATACTTCGTTTCGCTGTTCAATCGCTTTGACAGCTTCGTTGTTTGTGGGGGAATCCTGGAGACCATTCTAGTGGAAACCAAGATCATGTCTCCTCTGGGCATCTCTGTGTTGCGATGTGTGCGCCTGCTCCGGATATTTAAAATCACAAGGTAAAATTGTTATTAATGGAAGAATTTTACATTTACTTTCACTGTCAATCATTATTATTGTTTTTCACCATCACTACTTTGATCTTACCAACAATCTGGGATTTATTACAGTGCAACTTGTGCACTTCTACAAAAAATAAGATTCTTGGTTTTTTTTCTGTTTTTTATTCCTCTTCGAACCCTAAAGGAATATGGTTTGTTCTGCCGAAAGTATAGTATCATTTATTTTAAGATAAGATAAGATAAAATAAGATAGACTTTATTGATCTCACACTGGAGAAATTTACATGTCACATTTGGAAAAGAGTCAAACATGTTAAAGGTTAAAAATATATTGTACAGTCTGACAGCAATGGGGATAAAGGCCCTGCGGTAGCGCTCCTTCTTGCACTGAGGGTGTCTCAGTCTTCCACTGAAGGAGCTCCTCAGCTTCTCTGCAGTCCTATGCAGTGGGTGGGAGGTGTTGTCCATGATGGAGGTGACTTTGATCAGCACCCCCCTGTGCCTCACCTCCTCCACAGAGTCCAGGGGGAACTCAGAAGGACCTCAGGCTCCTCAGAAGGTGCAGGCGACTTTGGCCCTTCTTGTCCAGGGCGTTGGTTTTATGGGACCAGACCAGTTTATTGTTAATGTGAACACCCAGGTACTTGAAGCTGTCCACCAGCTCAATGTCCCCCCCCCCCTGGATGTTCAGCAGTGTATGGGGAAGTGTTTTTCTTTCCTGAAAACCACTTTATTAAAAAAAAACATTTTAATAAAAAAAACTTTTTTGAGCAATATTGTAACGTCACATGTATATGATGATGAGCCTTGAGTGTAGAAGGTTATATGTCCAATCCAGTTTTGAAGTCAACCTTTGGCACCAAGATATGGAAAAAGAGAAAATTAGTTCTGATCTTGTTGTTGTTATGCTATACTTGTGATTTTAAAATTAGCATAACAATTTGGATAGTAGAAATTGTTTCAAATTAGCTATGCCATTGCCATCCCATGCTGTAGTATACATGTTGTCAGTACTACTTCCTGTTAAAGGAGACATTATGCTAAATTGACTTGTTTGAGCTTTGAATTGTGTAACACCATTATTCCAATGAGGAACTTTTGGCATAAATTTGTAACTCTTCCCATTCTGTTCTCTAATTGTACGATGTCATTGTACCACTACGACATCACACTCAGAACAGTGTTCTGTCTTTAAAAACAAAAGTGTTTCCCATGAAATAGCTTTGGCAATTTCTCAGGTGAAACAATGTATTTCAGTTGGTGATTTTCAAATTAGTAAAAAAAATAAAAATAAGGGAGTTGCAAGTTTTTTTTTTACCCTTCTCTTCCCTTTTCCCTTTACTCTACGTAACATATGATTTCATATTCTAAATCCCAAATAGTGCCTAATATTTCTTTAAATGTTATTTGAAACTGTATTTGTTTGTGTGTGTCAGATATTGGAACTCCCTGTCCAACCTGGTGGCCTCTCTGCTCAACTCGGTGCGCTCCATCGCTTCCCTGTTGCTGCTGCTCTTCCTCTTCATCATCATCTTCTCACTCCTGGGGATGCAGCTGTTCGGAGGGAAATTCAACTTTGACGAAACGCGGCGAAGCACATTCGATAACTTCCCCCAGTCGCTGCTCACAGTCTTTCAGGTAACAGGACACACGACCAGTAAAATTTTCTGGAGCAGCAGTTAAATCAATGACAAGGGGCCTCAAGGTCATAATTTCAAGCAATCAGGATGCTGCAGGGGTGAACATGGCATGGTCTAACTCAGGCATGGGCAAACACTGGAATCAGCCTACTGTTTGGGGCCGGTCCTAATTGCTGGTGGTTTTTATCTCAAGCTTTATTTACACACATATCAGGCCTAATTTTTCTAACAATATCAAACAACAATTTGATAAAACTTTGTTTTTGGCTACACAGGAAAACAAAATAGATAAGCCGCACCTTACTGTAAGCCTCAGCCTTCAAAATGCAGGAAAAATGTTGCCACTTATAGTTTGAAAAATACGGTACTCACTTAGAGTGACTTGCTCCACTGTCTCCACTATACAGTGGGGCAAAAAAGTATTTAGTCAGCCACCGATTATGCCAGTTCTCCCACTTAAAATAATGACAGAGGTCTGTAATTTTCATTATAGGTACACTTCAACTGTGAGAGACAGAATGTGAAAAAAAAAATCAAAGAATTCACATTGTAGGATTTTTAAAGAATTTATTTGTAAATTATGGTGGAAAATAAGTATTTGGTCACTTCAAACAAGGAAGATCTCTGGCTCTCACAGACCTGTAACTTCTTCTTTAAGAAGCTCTTCTGTCCTCCACTTGTTACCTGTATTAATGGCACCTGTTTGAACTCGTTATCTGTATAAAAGACACCTCTACACAGCCTCAGACAGTCAGACTCCAAACTCCACTATGGCCAAGACCAAAGAGCTGTCGAAGGACACCAGGAAAAGAATTGTAGACCTGCTCCAGACTGGGAAGAGTGAATCTACAATAGGCAAGCAGCTTGATGTGAACTAATCAACTGTGGGAGCAATTATCAGAAAATGGAAGACATACAAGACCACTGATAATCTCCCTCGATCGCAAGATCTCATCCCGTGGTGTCAAAATGATCATGAGAACGGTGATCAAAAATCCCAGAACCACACGGGGGGACCTGGTGAATGACCTGCAGAGAGCTGGGACCAAAGTAACAAAGGTTACCATCAGTAACACACTACGACGACAGGGAATCAAATCCTGCAGTGCCAGACGTGTCCCCCTGCTGAAGCCAGTTCATGTCCAGGCCCGTCTGAAGTTTGCCAGAGAGCACATGGATGATACAGCAGAGGATTGGGAGAATGTCATGTGGTCAGATGAAACCAAAGTAGAACTGTTTGGTATAAACTCAACTCGTCGTGTTTGGAGGAAGAAGAATACTGAGTTGCATCCCAAGAACACCATACCTACTGTGAAGCATGGGGGTGGAAACGTCATGCTTTGGGGCTGTTTTCCTGCTAAGGGGACAGGACGACCGATCCGTGTTAAGGAAAGAATGAATGGGGCCATGTATTGTGAGATTTTGAGCCAAAACCTCCTTCCATCAGTGAGAGCTTTCAAGATGAAACGTGGCTGGGTCTTCCAGCATGACAATGATCCCAAACACACCGCCCGGGCAACGAAGGAGTGGCTCCGTAAGAAGCATTTGAAAGTCATGGAGTGGCCTAGCCAGTCTCCAGACCTCAACCCCATTGAAAATCTGTGGAGGGAGTTGAAAGGCCGTGTTGCTCGGCGACAGCCCCAAAACATCACTGCTCTCGAGAAGATCTGCATGGAGGAATGGGCCAAAATACCAGCTACTCTTTGTGCAAACCTGGTAAAGACCTATAGTATGACCTCTGTTATTGCCAACAAAAGTTATATTACAAAGTATTGAGTTGAATTTTTGTTATTGACCAAATTCTTATTTTCCACCATAATTTGCAAATAAATTCTTTAAAAATCCTACGATGTGAATTCCTGGATTTTTTTTTCACATTCTGTCTCTCACAGTTGAAGTGCACCTATGATGAAAATTACCGACCTCTGTCATTATTTAAGGAGAAATGGCACAATCGGTGGCTGACTAAATACTTTTTTGCCCCACTGGTAACAGCCACTTAATCTTCCATATTGTTGAAAATAATGAACTAATTAAAACTATACAAGGCGTGTGCTGTATTGAAAATAGTCTTATTGAATAGTTAAAGAAGAACTATACCAACCATAGGCTGTAAATATAAACGGATGTAGTCACGCCTACAACATTTAGCCTGCATTTGCATTTTCAAAAGGCTGGAAAATGTGAAAAAATGTATTTGCACAAGGGCTTTCAAAATGATTGCATTAACTCACGTTAATACAAATTGTAATTAATTCCGTGAAAAGAAAATTAACGCATTTAACGCATGTCCAAATGACCCGCCCATGTATCCCATAATATCACTCAGAATGCCGCGGACACCTGCATATGTGAGATGGCAACAGAGCAGGTAGGCCCTCTGGGAATTCAAGTTTTAAAAGAATATGCGCATTACCGGGGGGCATTTGCCGTTGTTTGCTGTATGAACTGAAGTCCGCCTCGTCCGTGGCCGCAGCGTTCTGACCGCTCTGGACAGCGGTTCCCACCTCCAGCGGCTGTGAGACGCTAACAACAACATGGCGAATGGCGCCGCTGTAACGTGATCTAAGACCATACAAGCACAGAACTATTCTCTGCATGTTTTGTGCGTGTCTTTATGTAACCTGTGCGTAACCTGTGCACGCAAATACACTGCTGAAGCTGAACTATGGAGCCTCAGGAAGTGTCCGTGTCTCCTCCTGAAACGTAACTAAACTTGCTTAATTAAAGCTGGGGTAGCATTAATACACACTTGGACCAAGAGCCGACTTTTGAACCATCCTGGAAAGCCGTTTTTGAGAGGAAAGAAGATGCCATGCAAAAGCATTGGGTCCATCCGGGTCCACCCTCATCAGCCCGAAGTGGCTTTGCAAGTATGTCAGTGCACAAGCTCATGGACCTTTTGGAGCCGGGACCCGCCCCCACTGATACCGACCCGTTAAAACCTCCTATATGCCCGTTTTATCGTATTGCCCTGTCTAACTATCCATCCATCCATCCATTTTCTTCCCCTTAATCCATTTCTGGGTCGGGGGGGTGGCAGTCAGAGCTGCACCCAGTACACATAGCACCAGCCCCTCACTGATCCTCCTGCAGGTGGTGAGTCCACAGGAGCTGAGATCTTTCAGTGGGGGCTTTGGGCAAAGTAGGGTTAAGTGTCTTGCCCAAGGACACACCGACAGCAGTCATCAGTGGGAGTCGTGAAGTAGGTCTTACGGTGGGCTCGAACCCACGACCTTCAGGCCCAAAGGCCAATGCTCTACCAACTGAGCCCTGTCTAACTAACGGGAGAAAAACATTTCCTCTCCCACAGCCCCATGCCACACCCCCTTCGGGTCACCTGAGTGAGTGTATTGCCTTACAGCACTTTTCCTGTGAGGTGGTCCTGACCACTAGTCCACTCCTGAAGCTGTGTCCCTGAGTTGTCTTTCATGTGTTGCAATTAAGGAGCAAAGTATCCGTAAGTCTGCTCACACACAAATTACTATACGTCTGCCCACTTAGAAGCAACAGTTGGTAACTTAACTTTTTTTACCTGATATGACTTTATACTTGTGTATATGTGTGTGTGTGTGTGTGTGTGTGTGTGTGTGTGTGTGTGTGTGTGTGTGTGTGTGTGTGTGTGTGTGTGTGTGGGTGTGTATTGTATATATAATTATAAATGTGGTTTTGGGGGGTCTGTGGGGAGGAGGGTTTAGGGCTGGGCATGTTGGATTGTTTTTAACTAAACTGTAAAGCACTTTGTGTTACACTTTTTGTATGAAAAGCGCTTTATAAATAAAATTTGATTGATTGATTGATTAAGTTTGCATTTGAAAGAAATACTTTTTTCCACGCCATATTACAAATTCCAAGTAAAATAACCTGCTAATGATTTTTTGTTTAAAATTTACGCCCTGGGGATTTTATGGGAGGAGAACATGAAATGTTCCATTGTGTACAACCACTGAGTCAATTAATATATTTCCTTGTTGAAGCCAAATGCACTCATCCTTCCTCTTGTGTCTAGATCCTGACCGGAGAGGACTGGAACTCGGTCATGTACGATGGCATCATGGCGTATGGAGGGCCTTCCTTCCCTGGGATGTTGGTGTGCATCTACTTCATCATACTCTTCATCTGCGGAAACTGTATCCTAATGAGATCTGCCTTAGTGAGATGAGCTCCTAAAATTTTAAAGCATTTCAATTAATTATATTACTTACCCATGATTTGATTTGTTTGATCTATGAAATTATGTACAGTTCAAAATCACAGGATTTAACCAAATTACTGCTTTACCAACAGCAGATTAGAAATTCAAACAATTGAAACTTTCATTCGTCCTTGAAGAACAAATGTACCCGTTCACTGGAATCAAGTAAATGGAAAAATGTCCAGGAGCGTCTCTGTCCTCAGACCCTCCTTATTTAGCAGGAAACTCATCAGTGAGTCTCACTTGTATTTAATTTTAAGAGAGAAACCTCAGGTTGAACCTCTGAGACTTTAGTTGAATCCAGGACTTACTTAAAGGCGCTGGAGTCCTATATAGAATGAATTTGGAATAATGGTTTGGCTTTATCATAAAGTCCTGCATGTCTACAACATTCTGGAGAACCATTCCTGACCTCTGACCAGACATCCTCCTGAATGTCTTCTTGGCCATCGCTGTGGACAACCTGGCCGATGCCGAGAGTCTCACGTCTGCACAGAAGGAGGAGGAAGAAGAGAAAGAGAGGAAGAAGTTGGCACGGTAAGACACAATTTCTTCCGCTTTATCCGTTGCCGGGTCAAGGAGGAAAGAGTCTGAGCATAGACTTCCAGGCTTCCCACACATACTGTACATCCTCCTGCTCATCCAGGGGAATCCCAAGGTGCTCTTAGGCCCTCCAAAGTGTCCTGGGTCCTCTGTGGGGTCTCCTCCTGGTTGGACGTGCCCATAACACCTCCCCAAAGAGGCATCCAGGAGGCCCAAACATGACCGAACTTGGACTGGAGCTCCGGCTCCTCTCAACATGGAGAAGCCGCAGCTCTTGTCCAAGCTCCTCCCGAGTGACTGAGCTCCTCACCCTATCTCTGTAAGAGCGGCCAGTAACTCTGCGAAGGAAGCTCAGTTTTGTGTACGCTTGTATCCGCAATCTTGCCCGTTCTATCCTTACTCAAATATTTTTACCTCTAAACAAGCCTCTTCAAACTTAATGCTGTGCGCTGTTGCGTCTCATTTTTACTAATATTCAAAGTAGACTTTAATGCCATCTTCATTTTAACAGGATTTTTTCCGAAGTAGTGAAGATATGTTTTAAAAGCAAGTTTTGTTGAAAGATAGCTGTGTGGTTTTATATTGACGGTTGAGTGTCTGAAAATGTGTAATTGCCTTGTTATTAGGTTAGTATTTGTTAGAATACCTAGAGAACAAATCTATTGCAGTAAATAATTAGGATGTGATAGAATGAGGATTGATGCTGGTCAATTTATTTAATCAAAGTGGTCACTTTTCTTTTCAGAGTATTTTTAGAGAATAAGAATTGGCCTTTGGATGTTTATTTTTGTTTGTGTAACAAAGGGAATTTGATTTATTCATCTTTATTCATATTCTTTCTTCAGAATGGCCAGTCCAGAAAAGCGTCACAACAATGAGAAACCTCCCATAGAAGAAGAAAAGAAGGAAAAGATCGAGCTCAAGTCCATTACAGCGGATGGAGAGACCAATAATGCCACTAAGGTACTGTATAAAATGTACAAAAGACAAACGTGTGTGGTGTGTGCTGATGACTCTGTTCCTCCTTTGCAGATCAACATGGACGACTACATTGTAGATGAAAATGAGGATAAGAACCCATATCCTGCAAATGATTATATGGGTAAGCAATTATTAAAATCCACTCACAAAAACATAATTCCAACTGATACTTTTTGTCCCATTCACAATTACAATCAGTCTTAAAGATGATGTCTCCAACCTGAATTGTATTTCATTTGATTTATGTGCAAAATTTGTATAATCCTATTTAATTATGTTATACAACATACATGATAAAAAATATTAATATTAATAATATATGGATATATGGTGATGATGATTAGGATTAGTAAAAGGCTGTGATACTTAAAGACGTATAAGGTATTAAGGAAACAAGAATATAAACATATTATGCATATCAAGTGCATATTATTGTGCATGTCACTGTTGCATAACTGTAAATATACCACTGACTAGGCTAAGCTGTAGCAACCACATAATTAAAGCTAAATTAAATGACAAGTAGGGGGTGGGAGTTTAAAAGTCTTAACTTGCTCCCACTTCTTTTTGAGCTGGATTTTTCATTTAAAAAAAAGCTTACTTTATATTTTTATAATATCATGTATTGTTTCTTTTTCTTCATTTTTGGCTATTCAAAATAATGATACGTTTCACTATATCATTTTATGTTTTTAAAATGTGAAATAATATCCTAATGATTAATAAAATATATTAAAAAAATAAATATTCTTTTGTTTTTTCCAAATAAATAAAAAATACTGGCAAAACTATTATTTAAAAAATCTGGGCATATATAAATAAATGTGCACTTTATTATCCCTGTAGGGAAATTTGTCTTCTGCATTTGACACATTCTGATGCCACTTAAGCTTCCGTCAGTAGCAGTGATCACTGTTGTAAAACGCCCAGGAACCCATCTCTAGATGTTGGTACTCGGATTGATCAGGAGGAGGATTTTACCTATTAATAAGACTAAAGGGGCGGACATGTTTGTGCCAGAAGTTCCTGATATAAGCACCATGGACAGATCTAAAAAACAACTCCAGGTCTGTTTTGGATGAGGATCAATGTTGTAATATGGTTAAAGGATTTGCATTAAATTTTACCTTTAATCAGAAATGAGAGAAGTTTCTCACTAAAATATAATGAAATATAAAATGCTATTGAAATAGTACAATTTTAAGAACAATATATACACTTAGAATAAGATACAGGACGTTTATATTAACTCAAACACAAATGCGTATTTAATGTTGTGATTTCATTATTCATTAAAACCATTACTGTTCCCTCAGGAGATGATGACGACGAGGAGCCCGAGATGCCAGTGGGGCCCAGACCACGGCCTCTGTCGGACATCCAGCTAAAGGAGAAGGCTGTTCCCATGCCCGAGGCCAGAGCCTTCTTTGTATTCAGCCACACCAACAAGTGAGACACACACACACAAAATATACTGCATATCCTTGTGTTGCAAAGCAGACAACTTTTAATTTCAAATATGCAGTTTGAAGTAACAGAGACTATCTGCTGTGCTCAAACTCAAGCTGTCAGCTGATTTTTCTCCTTCAACTAGCAAAAGTATTTCCTTCCAGCGCAATATGATACCACCAGTGTATCACAAACTCAGATGAGACAATTGGAGAGCATTTACAGTGTGTGTGTCTGTGTGTGTGTGTGTCTGTATGTGTGTGTGTGTGTGTGTGTGTGTGTGTGTGTGTGTGTGTGTGTGTGTGTGTGTGTGTGTGTGTGTGTGTGTGTGTGTGTGTGTGTGTGTGTGTGTGTGTGTGTGTGTGTGTGTGTGTGTGTCTGTGTGTGTGTGTCTGTGTGTGTGTGTGTCTGTGTGTGTGCACGGGTTATTGTGTGAATGATGTATTTTTTATAACAATATTTGTAATATGTCAAAAGCTTTTGAGAGGCCCCTAAACTGGTTTTCAATTATTATAATGAACTTGCATATTTGCAAGTTAATATGCCATATGAACTGATTCTAAAGCTAATTTTCTCAATAAAAGAACAACCATGTAATTTAATATATTATACCCAACATGTAATTACTGCTTTTTTTCACCTTTGGTTTTTTGGTTTTAGTTCAATTCAAATAAACAAAAATTGAAAGAATTTTTGCTTTAACCAAAATAGAATATATATTGAAAATATAAAAGTTCTCCTAAACATCTTCATAATGTAAAAAATGTATGTAAAATCCTATATATATGAACCGAGTATATTTTGACCACTAACTTTTTTATTTGGCCTTTGACCACAATTAGTCTACCACTGATCCAGCTTGCAAAACGTTATGCCAGTTATTAAACAAACTACTTCTTTGATATTTTCATATTTTCCAGATTCAGGGTTTTGTGTCATAAGATTGTCAACCACAACATCTTCACCAACCTCATCCTATTCTTCATCCTGCTGTCCAGCATCAGCCTGGCAGCAGAGGACCCAGTCAAGAATGACTCCTTCAGGAACCAGGTGAACAACACACACAGAACGCAACACACTAATATTACACATAGTAAGCTGTAAACTTTGTATTTAAATGGGATCAGGTTATTTCATATCTCCAGAAAGTGTCATAAGGTACTGCTGCTTTAAGCCCTTATACTCCTAGCATCTTTTCTTTATAACCAAAAATAGGTTCAATTTAAATTTGTATCTGTTTGTTTCGTAATACATTAACATCTTAGTGGAGATTTCACTGATTGATTATTCTAAACTTTGAATTTTACTGGTGGTTTATTATAATTCTAATAGCTCAGGCCCGATATTGCGGAAACAAAATAATGGGGTCATGGGACTGCGAAAGATTAAATTAAACAAATTAATATAATTAAATAAAAGTAATAATATACACAGTCGTGTTTAAGACAATAGCAGTGAGCACAAAAACATGTACAAACCACAAAATTACGGCAGCAATTTCACTTCACGTTATTCCTCATTTTAAAGCCATTTGGTGGCAGTATAACTATCTTTTGTGCTTCAGATCCTGGGCTATGCAGACCACGTCTTCACTGGCCTCTTCACCATTGAGATCATCCTAAAGGCAAGTGTACATTCACTTTATTATTGCTGAAACTTCATCACCTTTTGACACTTCCGTCCTGTGCTCTCTGACCAGATGACGGCCTATGGAGCTTTCTTGCATAAGGGTTCATTTTGCAGAAACTATTTTAATATTTTGGACCTGGTGGTGGTCAGCGTGTCCCTCATCTCTTCAGGAATACAGTAAGTTTGGATTTGGTTTTATCTTTAGGGCAAGACTTTATAGTATGCTGCACTTGATTTATTGTTTGTAAATATTGAAACACTGGTTTAAAGTACATAATTCACTATGCACATGGACGTTGCTTGCAGGAAGAAAAGAACGATTCAGGATATCATTTTTTCCTATTTCTGTCTCGTCAGAAAATAGTCTAACTATATGTAATGAAAATCCATCTAAAAATGTGTCCTCGCTCTGAAATAGTTTGATTGTATCACTAGTTTTCAGATGCATGTATTTTTGGCATATTTAAATCAGCTTTTTCATACAAAAAAGTGACACAGGACCACCCTCACTCAGCATAACTGCTCTCAGCCAAAGTGTCAAATAATGGCTCACAAGGCTTTTTGTTTTAACATGTTTTGTATTAAGATAAAAAAAGCATGTGGGGAGATATTAAATTGTTTCCAAAGCCTGCCTTAATTGGACTATCATGTATTATATATGAAACAAATGCCAGCTTTAATATCAAAATTCTCATGACTGCAAGTTTACATTACTGCAATATTAATAAGCATTCAGCATTATGTCTTGTATATTATTTTGATCTGGAGTGCCTACATTAAAAACTACAATAAGTGAACTGGGTAATTGCTATACTACTCTCACATGTATGTTGGTCTCAAACTCAGGAAATCTCATCACAGATATAAAACATAATCTTTCTTTTGGGAAAAAAATATTTATGAAACCACAAAATAATCTAATCCAATCACACAGTTTCCAAACATCGTCAGAGAAGAGGCCCGTCTTACATATTCAGAAAAATTGTTCCATATTTTTGCAGTATGAATCTGAAATGCAGCCCCATGTTTAGTTCTGACTCTGGGCACTAGCAGGAGTTCGGGTCGGTTCAAATGGCACTCATTCATTTCGGTGAAGGCCATGGAGAGACTTGTACACAACAGGCCATTGCAGTAGTCTAACCTACTGGAGACAAATGCATGGATAAGAATCTCCAAGTCTCCTTTAGACACTATGTTGTTGATCCTGGCAATGTTTTTAGGTGGTAAAAAGCTGCTGATGTTACTGATTTGATGTGGCTATTACATTTTAAGAGATAATAAATGTGGGTCTTGAGACGAGTCACAAAGCAAAAAGAGTTAGGTACTCCAGCTCAAAACATTTTTTCACTTGACTGAGGAGAAAGTCCCCTAGATGTGAATGAAATAATGTATATATTTGGACAACTAAAACCTTCCAACCCACCACATTGCCAATGCACATTGAGAAATAAAAAGTGGAGAGGGAACTTTCTTACAACTGTGTGTATACAAATATCAGCTTCCATCACTAGCCACATCATCCTTATCCAAATGTTTTCAATACAATATATCAAGTGCAGTTTGCCCATTATTGGCAGTTTTGGTTCTGCTTCTGCTACCTTATGAAAATGAGGCTAATGCTGTATTGATATATTTCATTGCTGAAAACTGATCTCTAACCTGCTACACGCACTCTCCTTCTCTAATGCCTGTAGTCTAGACTTCTCGAAGTAAGTCCAAAATGGTCCATGTCAAATAACCCTCACTTCAGTGTCTTAAAATGTTCACAATTTTGATTTGGTGTTTCTATAGTTTTGGAGGGTCAATATCCTATGACTGCTAAAAGATTGAATTTCAATAGTGACTTTTGAATATCTATTGGCATGCAAAAAGTGTTTATTCAGATAACCTCCTATTTGACACATGACTGATAAGATATGCTCTGCTTTGGGCTGTACTGAGCCGTGAAAGGACTCTCCGGAGCTATAGAAATTAGATCTGAATGCTGAACTGAGTTTTTGCCCGTTAAAGGATTGTCTGATTTGTCTTAAGATACGCAGCATTCAAATGAACTGTGACAGAGACAAATGTGTAGTGTGTGCACGTAGCTCATCGGCCTCATCACTCCTGCTACTGTGGATCAGGAGGTTTTTGGTCATATTATGGAGAAAAACCAAACAACTAATTATTCACTCATCGTTAGTGATTGTGTGAAGACATTTATCTTCCAATAAACATGTTTTCTATTTCCAAATGATAATCTTCCTCTGACCTTGATGAGAAGTTTCCATTCCCCAGTTGTCAATTGCGTGTATTGCCCTTTCAACATCCATGACAGCTCTTTCAGAGCCTGCCGCTACAGTATGTACTGAATCTCAATACAGGGTACTTTCAATTAAATACACTTCAATATATACAGTTCAGTAAAAATGTTCACGCCAAATGTTCACACAAAATTTAACACTATTAATGCATTTATATTTTATATTGATATTGCATTTTTTGAAGACTAATTGCTTTTGAAGTCAAAAATCAAATGCAGTTACAAATCAAGATTGTTTTATTACATTTTTGCTCCCATCCAGAAATCATGTTCCAATCTGAACATTCTGGTCATGCCAGGCAACAGAAAATTCAGAGCCTCCATGTAATCAGAGTCTTTAAGTGTGGAGTTTGCATGTTCTCCCCGTGCCTGCATAGGTTTCCTCCGGGTACTCCCGGCGGAAACATGCTCACTTGGTAAAATCCTCCAGCTCTAGTCCTGACCAGGCCGAGCATAAACATCTGGAGATGGGTTCCCGGGCGCTGTACTACGGCGACCACTGCTCCTGACGAAAGCCTTAGCGGCATCAGGATGGGTCAAATGCAGAGGATTGAATTGCCCTACGGGGATTAATAAAGAGCACCTTTACCTTTTACTTTAATGATATGATGAACATGATATTTTGTGGTGAAAAAAATCTGCTGATTAATTGGTAATTGACAGAAAATAATCCTTTCAAAAACAGTATCAGTTTCAAAAAATCTAAGTTGATCATTCCCCATTGTATATGCACATTTATTAAAAATCACTATATACATTCTATAGTTGCATCACATGTTACAGAACAGTAGAAAAGAGGAATGATAGTAGGTATAGCACAACTCAACACTTAAATTAAAATCTTTACCTTTTAGCTCAGTATATTTACCTCCGACTACAGATCTGTCCACACGTCACAGCTCATTGGACCGCAGCGTGTTGAAGATAACATCTGATTAAAGTGCCTTTAACCGCCTCAAACTTTTCCTCTGTTTATACAAATCCACAAATGATCTTTTCCCTTTTCTGTTCAAGCCACTTCACTTTGACAGCAACACAGCAAAGTCACTTTTGTTTTCTACCTCCTCGTTTCAATCAAAACTAAAACCTTTTTTTGCAGAATACATTGACATTTTGAATTGAGACTGCGTAGATAGATTGGTGTTGGCATGTCCCGTCAATTCAAAAAGTGAATGTATTCCTGTAAGCACCAGCCTCTGTTTGTATATGTATTTTTTATTGCCTTTAGCTAGACACTCCTCTTCTCTTTCAGCAGAGTGGCCTTTCCTTTGCCTGTGTGTGTGTGTGTGTGTGTGTGTGTGTGTGTGTGCGGGTGTGCGGGTGTGCGGTGTGTGTGTGTTTATGTGCGGGTGTGTGTGTGTGTTTATGTGCGGGTGTGTGTGTGTGTGCGGTGTAAGTAAGTAATGTTTATTTATATACCGCCTTTCACAGACCAGAGTCACAAAGCGGTTTACAATTGTTATTTTTTGGGCATTTGTCTCTCACTCCACACAGAGATGGGAGCGGGGTCGCCGAACAGGAGGCGCATGCCAGAACTATTGTACATATTTTTAGTGGTAGGGGAAACCGGAGTACCCGGAGGAAACCTACGCAGACACGGGGAGAACATGCAAACTCCACTCAGAAAGGCCCTGGTCCGACCGGGATTCGAACCCAGGACCTTCTTGCTGAGAGACGAGAGTGCTATCCACTCTGCCACCGTGCCGCCCGTGTGTGTGTGTTTATGTGCGGGTGTGTGTCTGTGTGCGGGTGTGTGTGCGGGTGGCGAGTGGCGGGTGTGCGTTGTGTGTGTGTGATGTGCCCGCCCACATGTGTTCAATACGTCTTCAATGTGTTTCTTTGTGTGGTTTACATTATTCCACCCTTTTTCTTGTTTCATAAAAAAGTAAGTACTTGTTGAATCCTTTTTTGTGTCTTTCAAACGTCTACCTCAGTTTTCTTTCCTGTGTGTATTTTCGTGTATTTGGGACCAGCTTGGTTCTGATAATTCAATCATTTTTGTGATATTATTTCTAATTTATGATTGTGTACATTGTAGGTCTAGTGCAATAAACGTGGTGAAGATTTTGCGTGTTTTGAGGGTGCTTCGACCTCTGAGGGCCATCAACAGAGCCAAAGGATTAAAGGTACGTCTGTATGCAAATTATATTTTTTTGAGCTTTTAACCATGTTACCTCAAAAGTCACAGACCTGGAGTTTGTTTTAAATCCATCCATCCATCCATCCATTTTCCACCCTTTAATCCATTTCTGGGTCAGGGGGGTGGCAGTCAGAGATGCCACCCACAAAACCCATGTTTTAAATCCACCCTTGCTAATATCAGGAACTGCTGGCACAGACAGGTAACTCCGCCCCTGTGATAGTATGATGTCATTGTACCACTATGATGTCACAGAGAAGGTTTTGCCTTTGAATATTAAAGTATTGCCTTTTGGTTTATCGCAATTTCTCAGTTAAAATAGCTGTTTTTGCAGATTACCTTTTTAAAATTACAGGATGCATACAGGATGGTTCTCTTTTTCACTTTCACTCTTTCTGAACATGCTGATCTAAAGATATGACAGAGGCTAAAAACAATTTTTTTGTGTAAAACTAGTGATAGAACAAAACTGTTTTGAGAGAAAAAAAACAAATGGATAAGTTATAAACATTTTAATGTTTTTTATAAGTTAGGTAGCTTGTACTGGAAAGTCATGGCAAGTAAAATGTTGGAAAAACATGATTTTTTTAGACCACCAAAGTGTGTATGTACAAAGTTTGGAACTAAATAATAGAAAAGAAAACTCCTCTTTCTCACACTCACCATTTTGGGCTTAAAAAATCCATGGTTTGCTCTCTCTGTTGCTGTGTTTTTTATTTGTTATTGACTTTATTGTGATTGACTGTATATGCAGATTAGCAACCAGGTTAGCGACACGTCTGCCCCTGCTACCCCATCGTCACAAATGGCCATATGAAAAAAATGGCTGCTGGTTACGTGTGTTCAAATTGGCTTTTTCCACTTTCAGCAAACACCATGGTGACGTCAGCACTCGGCCAGTCCACTAATATACAGTCTAGGAAATTGTCCCAAGATGATTGTTTGCTTCTCTTCTTCCTCTGTTATAAAACCATTGTGTTGCTTTCATCTTGTGTACACATTCTCTGCTGCATATTGTGTATTTGACGAGCTCATGTGCTGTTCCTTTGACAGCATGTGGTGCAGTGTGTGTTTGTGGCCATTCGAACCATCGGGAACATCGTGATCGTCACCACACTGCTGCAGTTCATGTTCGCTTGTATAGGAGTGCAGCTTTTCAAGGTAATCCGACCCAGAGCTGCCTTAAATATCATATCATATATTACATTACATCAGTGTTTTTCAACCTTTTTTGAGCCAAGGCACACTTTTTTCACTGAAAAAATCTTGCGGCACACCTCCAGGAGAAAATGTAAAAATGTATACAGTACTAATGTAAAAATATATACTGTACATACTCTGTGTGATATATAAAGTATATCTTATCTGATAATGTATACAGTATACTCTGTAGCCTATATTCACAATATACAGTTATTCTCATCAAAATGCTTAAGTCCAGGCCTTGACATTAAGCTTTATTTAATATTTCTCGATACAATTAACAAGAGTTTGGGAATAAAGTGGCACTAACTGTGTGGAAAAAAACTAAGAAAATCCACTCTCTGCCCAAATAGTCAAATAATAACTCACACAAAGAACATGCATTGTTAGTGCATGGAAAAAATTTAGGATACCGAGCTTTAAATTCAGGAGTTTTGGATGAGGGACACGGGAGGTCCTGAATGCGAGTCCATGGTTCTGTCCGGTCCGCATGTCTGTGGTTCTGTCCACTCGACTATGGTCTGCGCTCGGTACCCAGTTCAGAAGTGCGTTCGCGAGAGCTGTTGTACAAAAATTGTACATTTCATAGTTAAACCACTACAACGCGGCCACAGCTGCCCCGGGGCAGAGCGGAGGATGTTAATCCTGTTCAGAAACGGCATAATTCATTTTCAAAAACGTCTCTATCACTTTCACTTCTCACTCGCCACAAAGCTCTTGTCTCGCTCCCTCACACATTTGTTGGTCGCATCCAATTTTACCTTTCTCGCCACAATGCTGACCTGTTACAGCCAGTGGTCGCATCCAATTTTTCAGTTTCACAGTACTTAGCTATCTGCTGCCATCTACTGATTTGAAAAAGTATTACATGGTTACTCCACAGTTCAAAACAAGTCACCGCTCGTCAACAGCGAATGCAGTTATTTTTAGACAAAGTAGACGAATTTCTCACGGCACACCAGACAATATCATACGGCACACTAGTGTGCCGTGGCACAGTGGTTGAAAAACACTGCATTACATAATCAACTCCTTCAAATGCCTCTTGTTTTTTAATAGGGCAAGTTTTTCTTATGCACGGACAGCTCTAAACAGACTCAGGCCGACTGCAGGTAAGTAACAATACAACTTTTTGGAAGGATGGAGTTCCTCATTTTGGCTCTTAAGGTTAATTAGTATTTATTTAAAGGGAGAAGTTAGTTAGAGGTAGAGTTTTTTGTTTAGTTTTTTTTATCAACCATAAAGTTAAAAATGGCCCAGGCCTGTCAAAATACATTAATATTTATGGATTGACAGAGGGTTGTGAAAGTGTTAATCCAGCCGAAACTTCTGTACAGTTTGTCAGTCGTTTGCAACTATTGATGCAAACCACCTGCTGGAGTGTATCTAAAACGTTTTTCAACAAACTCTGTGTATCTTGCATGACTTCTTAATATGTGTCTGCTTTAATTTAAACACTTGTGGTGCTAATTTTTTTTTATGAATTCTAATATGTTTGAATTTTCCCCAGTGTGGGATGAATAAAGGTTCTGTTATCTTATTTCTTTTTAACCAAAATAAGAGACTCATTCTGCTCTCTGATGCATAATCTGCTTGAACATCATAGATATGAATAAATCAAATTTCATTTATAAAGCGCTTTTCATACAAAGTGCTTTACAATTTGATTTAAAACACTCCCACATGCCCATGACCCCTCCTCCCGACCACCCTACAGACCCGCCCCAAACCACCTATTATTATTAAGATTGCAAGCAAAGAAGAGAGACTTGGCAGGGTACAGATGTAACCACCTGAAGAAAATATTTGAATATTATCTCCTTTCCAATTTCTTTAAATGTTCAGAAAAGGTTTTTTGTATATTTTAAAATTGAATTATTACATATTGTCCCTTTAAGGTCAAACTTGCTCATTTGCACAGTTGTTAGTGATGCATTTGTTGGTAATAAATTGTTATTTGGACCTCAATCAGCCTGATATACTGTTTCCAGGGGCTCGTACATCCTGTATAAGAACGGCGACGTTGGCAAACCAGAGCGGGCGCAGAGACACTGGGAGAACAGCGATTTCAACTTTGACGACGTTCTTCAGGGAATGATGGCTCTGTTTGCTGTGTCCACCTTCGAGGGCTGGCCTGGGTACGCTCACTCTCTTTTTGAAATATTTGTCCCTTTGGAACAGTCAAAATGCACAAATATTTCAAAACATGAATAAAGAAAGAATCTGCTTTTTGGGCATGAGCTTGAATACATTCACTTGAAAGATTTGTCTTGCACGAGTGACAAGAAAGCTGAGGTATCAAACTTTCTAACCACAAACAAAATAGAACTAATAAAGTCCCTCTTAACTATTTCCTTGATCTTAAAGTTTGGTTTTCACTTTCATAGAATCTTACAGAGAATCTAGTTTTTTTTTGACAGAAAAGTGAAAAAGAGAGAACCACTCACTCGGCTCTCGGCCTAAACACTCAAATAGGCACTTTCTCAAAAGTATGCAAAATATACAATTTCTAACAAAAAGAAGGCAGCATGTTGCGGTTTGATTTTTACAAGACTCTTTCTGGTGGGACAAACTTATTTTTATTCATAAAACCAATAGTGAGATTCCCCATAGCATATGATTCAATATATCTGAATTAAAAGTTTAAACTACACAATGAAACACTGGTCTCATCATGATAGTCAGTTCTTACTATGGATTTACATTGTTCATAGTCATGTAATTATCTAATCTAAACAATCATATCTTCTAAAAATGTAATTATATATATATATATATATATATATATATTATATATATATATAAACAAAGTGTGCCATTCACTGCCTTTGTCTTTTGTCCAATTTTTGTTCAGTCCAAACAAAACTGAACTCATTTTGTTTATAAATCTCTACCAGACAATAATACAATGTAATAACTAAATAAACACAAGAAAAGCACAGATGCAAAAGATTAGCTTCAAAACAAACAAACTAAAACAAAAACTATGGAGACCTGGTATAAAAACCAGCCAAAAGCTGTTATTTTATCATTTCGACCCCCGACCCAAATGGCTTTGACACCGCTGTTCTATACTGAAAAGTCGGGAGAAAAACATTGTGTCCCATGTGTGTCCTCAGGCTGCTGTACCGGGCCATCGACTCTCACGCTGAGGACGTGGGGCCCGTCTACAACTACCGTGTGGTCATCTCCATCTTCTTCATCATCTACATCATCATCATCGCCTTCTTCATGATGAACATCTTTGTGGGTTTCGTCATCGTCACGTTTCAGGAGCAGGGAGAGCAGGAGTACAAGAACTGTGAGCTGGACAAGAACCAGGTGCATTTTACCACAAAAAATACTTAATCATTGGGCCATATACTGTAAGTATAAAGGCCGAGTAGCTTCAAGCAGCGGGACAGACTGTATGCCCCGCTGCTTGAAGCAACTCATAGAGCAGCGGGAGAGCTGCTTGCATTTTGTAAAAAGTGCAATATGCGATAGTGCAGTCAAGGACTGTGATAACAACATAATGCAAAATGTTCTTTTCCGCAAAGAAATTTAACAAATGAGATATTTGTTTCTAAGTTGAATTAACTGTCTTTGCATTGAAGGTTAAAAAGATTGTAATTTCAGTCAAAATCAGATGTAATTATGTTAATACATGCTAAATAAATTAGTTAATTTAATCGTTGCAAAATAAAAATAATGATTTGATAAAATCGCTAGTGAGACCCCTTTACATGCAAGGATTGTTTTGTGTTGCCCCTTTTTTGTGTTTTCAATAGTCAATCTTTGTCTTTGTTATTTCCTCTTTGTCTGCTTATGTAACGTCTCTCGTGAAGCCAAAGTAGTTTTTAGGTTCATGGTTTAGAACGTTTTTATTCTAAAAAAGCACCTCTCTTGTCTCATGGAAGCAATTTAATAAAACAAAAAAAAACAGAAAGCAGCTCTGTCCATGACATATAGCCTTGAAGGATTCATAATGGCATTGCAATGATTTGTTACATGTCTTAAATGTCTTTCACATTTGTATTTGTAGAAACATGGAGGCTCGCACTTTAACAGGGAGCCACCTTGATTGATTGAAAAACAATTTTGGAAACTATTTTAAATGTGTCATGGTTACTCGAGTTATACATTCAGTAAAATGCAGTAACATTATTGGGACCAACGGACTAAAAAAGGTTGATATTAGGGTTGCACCGATTGTGCAATTTTGGGCTAATTCTTGGCAGATGTTCTTTCTTTTTGTTTTTAACTTATACATATATATCTTTTGGTGGCTTCAGTTTTCCGTTTTTCTTCAGCTTGCATGCAATCGCTGTACACTGCCTTATGCTTGCTTCAGAAATGTCCAATAAGATTTGTTGTGTTAATTTGCTGATACTGTAAAATATTTCCACTCAGCTTCTTTGTTTCTTCTACTGAGGAAAGTGTTAGGGTTAGGTCCATCGTCATTTTTATTTGCTGATGGCCGATAGTAGTTAAGACGGCAAACATTGGTGCATAGTTGATATAAACTAGTACAGAGAATTATACTCCCCAGGAGTGTAGTAACAGCACTCATGTTTTAGCTTCATACAGAATCTCCGCCCAAACAAAACACCGGTGCAGGGCTGTTGGCCTGATAACAGTTGCACTTTAATTAAAAAAACATTTGGTTATATCACACTGTGCCTGAGACTCCTTGGCTTAGACTGCATGGACTCTCACACATTTGTCATGACACTGTTGTCACCGCCTCTCCTTGCTCCATGTGCGCAGCGTCAGTGTGTGGAGTATGCCCTGAAGGCTCGTCCCCTCCGCCGCTACATCCCTAAAAATCCATACCAGTACAAGGTCTGGTATGTGGTCAACTCCTCCTACTTTGAATACCTGATGTTCACCCTCATCCTGCTCAACACCATCTGCCTGGCCATGCAAGTGAGTTCTGCCCCCCACACTACACATGTTTGATAACAGCACCATCACTTTACCTGTCTGCTTGGATTCAGGTGATTGGAATTGAATGTGGAATTCTTCTGGGCCAATAAAAAGTGACTTTTGAGTCATGGGCCAGTCTTTGCTGATGGAATTACAGTAAATAGTAAATGTTACTCTAAAATGCATTGACACGCCTTTAAAATAGGATTTGGTGATCTTTTAGCAATTTTAGCATACTGAATCAGAGTCAGAAGTTGACTTGTTTTTTGGTCCGCCTAAGGAACACTTATGTTTGTGCATGAATGAACTACGGTTTTATGACTGGTGAGGAGGGATGAAACAGAGCAGTTGCATTAGGTGTAATAAAACAAAGCCACTGTTCTTTGGTCTTGTGCAGCATCACGGTCAGACCAAAGGCTTCAACGATGCCATGAACATCCTGAACATGCTTTTCACTGGCCTCTTCACCGTGGAGATGATCCTCAAGCTTATTGCCTTCAAACCCAGGGTGAGTTTGCACTTTCACTCACAATAACTGACTTTATAGAGTTTAACCACTCTGCTTTTCTTTTCCACAACTGTTAATTTTTTATTTATTTTTGTCTGTGCCTCATTTAATGAAGACATATTATGCAAAAAGCTCCTTTCCTCCGTGATATTACATGGCTTTGTTTAATTTACAAATTATAAACTCTGGTGGTAGCCTGGGTAAGTACAGCTGTTAAAGGCCCTTTATACTTATTTAACTGTAATTTTTTCCTACTTAAAATGTTATTTTACATTTTATAACATGAAATGACTTTGAAGTCAGTTAATTAAGTAAATAGTCTCATAATCATTTTGAATGGTCAAAAAGAATGCATAATATTCCTTCTTTAAAATAAATAGCTGGGGAGATTTTTCTCTTACTTTATCAATAGAAAGATAGATGGTCATGGCATTCTTCATTTAAAACATGAAATGCATTTGGACTAACGAACGCTCACTTCCATATATGGTTGTAATGGCAATAAGGAAGCCATCTTATCTAGCAAATAATTCTGAACAATCAAATTGAATGTAAAGAATTGGACACATGGGTTGTGCAATTCACTTTGAATATTGTTGATGTTCCACTGTTATCATTTCTCAGTAACGCTGCTTTTGGGAAGGCCAAGATGCAAGAGTCACTAATGATTTCCTTTTATAATTGTTAACAGGTTGTGAAGCTCTTGGATTAAACGTGTTTCATGTTTGCATTATGTTTTTAAATCCTTGTTTAAACTGTTAATGTGTGTGATTTGAAACCTAATGGCTCTGTCCTTAACAATCTATTCTTACTAATTATTTGATTTGCATAATAAGTAAAAATCCACAATGGGAGTTTAATTGGCAGGTTATGTGAATAATTCAGTTATATTAAGAAGATGCATTACATTACAAAAAGCAAGTCTTTAGGAACTCGATGTATGTGACAAGCATTCAAGCGTTTTACTTCAAGGTTTTAGTCTGTGAATGTCTTGGATAATGATTCTTACTACAGCTTCCAAAATGAACAGCATTTTTTTTCATCAGTCAGTTATATTTATTTATTTTACTTCCTAGAAAAGCCTGTTTAATGGAGGCTTATCAGATATAGGGTTACCGCAGTGGTCCTGCTAATCGATTATTACAATGCTTACTAATTACTAAAATAATAATAATTTCCCATAGCGTAGCTAGTGCACCATAGCTATAGCTCGTGGGTAGCTACAGTTATATTTAAATTTAATTAAATGTGGAATCATCAAATGACATGTGGAGTTCCTGCTAACCTGACCCTGTTCTTCTCCCGGCCTATCCCGTCTCGTGTAGGGGTACTTTAGTGATCCCTGGAATGTGTTTGATTTCCTCATCGTAATTGGCAGCATTATTGACGTCATTCTGAGTGAAATCAACGTAAGTATGACACGTCCCACCTTTCCCTGTTTTTTCTATCTCCTCCTCTCTTCTGTCTTTGTTTTTCTTTTCTTTTGTCTATCCTCCTGTCTATCTTTACCATCCTACAATCCAAGATGGCCACCTTGCACCGGCCACTGCAGCAAAGGCGTCTTCTCCTTGTCTAGTCAGCGGGGGCAGGGTTTTTAGCGTTGAAAGACGTTCTTTTGTCTTGAATTGCATATTTTGATGCCCCTACTAACCTGAACTAACCAACTGATCAATCACCTTACGCATTTTGCATTCCAGTGACTTCTTGGTTTTGTTATAGCATGGCCGGCGTCTCCTGTGTCCAATCTTCCTATGTCCTCAAATATCCAAATCATGTATATATATAATGTTACTTTTTTTCTCTCCCCTTTGATTTCTTTCACCATTTTGTTATTATTTCACCTTGTTTTGTGTCTTTTTCTGTTCTTTTTCCACCCAACACAGCATTATTTTGTTGATGCATGGAACACATTTGACGCCTTAATAGTTGTGGGTAGCATTGTTGACATAGCGATCACTGAGGTGAACGTAAGTAGTCCCAAAAAAAAAAACCCAACCCCTTTCCTCTCTCCTTACCCTTTTCTCCTTCCTTTGCGTGGCTCGTTGCTTTGCTATTTTGTCTTTCCCCCACGCACGCAAAAATCAACGGGCCGAGCGCCGATACCATCTCGCATGCTTTCCGATGATTAGGTGACTGCATGAGATGTGGGTGCGACCGAGGGCACCAGTCTCAAAAAGGGGAAGGACACAAGTGCATATGACGATAGTGCTTGAATCTGTCAGAGCCAATACATTTCTAAACAAACAAATCAGTAAAAGGTGTTTTGGCTCCTTACCTAACGCTCTGCAACATTTGAACAAAAATACAACACTGTTGATTTATATTTTAGAAGAAGATGAATTATTCAAGTCAAAATATGCATAACAAAAACACAGATCTATTTCTTATTTATTTATGTAGACTTACTTAAGGACACTTATGCAGGTATATAATCCAGAGCTACTAAAATAATTAAATAATTGTTTTTGGGTTTTTTGGCAAACCCAAGGCTCTTGGCCAATCAGAAGAGGCTCTTTGCCTCTCATCAATTTGAGGGAAAATGTTTTTTTATGAATATGCATTTTATTAGCTTCTCTTGCCCCCTTTCTCCAAAGTGTGTTTCACTTTTTTTTGATATTTTTCCTTTAAAGATTCAATAGTTTAAAAATATCACCTCATCTCCTATGTTTCTCTGCTCTTGTGCTGCTGATCATTCAAGTTTCTTAGAGTGGATGGCTGAATCATGAGTCCAAATGCACATGTTTCATAGAATTGGAAAGACGCAGAAATCTTATTTCTTTTTAATGCAAATAGAAATCAGATTGTAAGTATTTACTGCAGTGTCACATGGATAATGTTGTTGATACAAGTTCTTTATCAACACTATATGGTGTATTTTACATCACTTGAAAAACATACACAACCTCATTTGAGAATCGTTAAAACCTGTCATATGCACTTACAAGTCTTTGATTGGGAAACAATGAGCATAGATTTTGGAATATTCTTATTATTATTTTCCTTTTAGAGTAATTCGATGCAAATCAGGCTGGCCAGCAAATATATAATTTTCTTTTTCACTTTTTATCTTATTTCTAACTTTCTATAACTAAACTCTTTTGTGATCACAAAATGAAGCTGTAAACCAATGTAGAGGGATTTCCCGTAATATCACATACAATGATGGAAAATGATACAATAAGCAATCACAGGAACTCATGATTAAACCTGTTTTGGATAAGTACATGAATTATACAGTATGTCCAAATTAATTATGTTGGGTTTGCTGGTCAGGCTGATAATTTCATAATCAAAAGTATTCTAATATTTTTGTTCAAACTTGTCTGTCAATATCGGCTTTATCTATATTAGATTAGTATTATTTGAGTTTATTTCAGATGGTCTTCGGAGCCTCGGCCCTGGGCTTCACCCCCTTATGCACTTGCCAACAGTAACTTCTTGCATTGTCCTCAGCATTTGCTTTTGGTTCACATCCGGATCTCAAATCAATGCCTCGAGTGGAGAATTCTCTTGGCATGTTGAGAACTGTATAGCATGACTGCGTTCAAGGTGCTATATCAAGGCCTGGTGTTGTTTACATCCCGTTCTTTTGTATTCCTTCAAAAGACACGATTGAAATACAGCAAAATTCACTGTCAATGTGTAACAGCACACAACATGGTGTTGGATATTGCCATTATACAAACGCCAGAGGAGCAATTTTATCTGTGAATGGTTTTACTCAGGGCCCGTAAAATGTATGTAAATGTATGTATGAAGTCTCTTAGTGTGGGCGCGGAGAAGGTCCTGAGGTCAACACTCAGAATGAATGGTAGTGAAGAGAGCCCCAACTCAAGTCAAGTGTTGAGATTATGTATTATTTACTCCCTCTGTAGGATAATGGGTCTATATGCAGAGATGGCTCGTCCAAAAATGAAAATAGATACTTTAGTAAATTTAACTGCTACTTTTATGTAATACTCATACTGCTTTGAGGCTCAAACCTAGGTCCTAGATTTGACCTTATCATATGCCACGCCATTCACAAATGCACTTCTTGAATTACATTATTGGGTTTTTTCCCATTTCTCCAGCAGCCAGGCCACAGATATGCACCTGTAGGACATCTATACAACTAAGCATTTTGGTTTTTGACGTTTGCCTTTCATTTGTTTTGATTGATTTGGTTGATTGGTTTGCAGAATGACTCTAACCAATAGGCATGCCCCAAGTCAGTTGTTTTTTCGACACTTTGTTTTAGTAAAATGGGTGACCAACTACCACCCAAGGAATCCTAGTTTTTTGTTTTGTTATGTTTTATTTGATAGATTACGTCGTTCCTTTTGTGATATTAATTATTTGGAAACATGAGTCTGTATTAGCCTGTGTCCTTTTGCGTTATGAATGACAACCGATCTTTGTAGTTAGAAAACTGGCAATGCTAGTAGTTTGCCTCTGAATCCTGTTGTTATTGCATTACTGTCAGCTTTTGTGTTTTTTCTTTGCCTTCAGTTGACAACCTGATCGATAGCTGATGGCTCTATATGATTTAGATTAGGTGTATATTGTGGTTTTGGTTACACCTTTTTGTGTCTACACTTGATTTCTGGTACCTATGCTTCAATAAGGATAAGCTCTTTTTAACAAGCTACCGTGACTTGTTTTAGCTTCTTTTTAAAGAAGCCATGATATGCTTCTGTCTGCTGAATAACCTGGGAAGACTCTCATTCCTACTGCGGAAAATCACTGTCAATTTTGACCAAAAACCGTTGGATGCCCACATGGATTTGAGGACCAATCAGATTCAGATTCATTTATTTGCCATTTGCAGTAAAACAATGCCAAGTTTCTTTGCACAAGTTGTCATCAGTTTGCATTGTTTTTTTACTTCTTCCTTATGCGTTATGGCATTACTGGGTAAAATTGATATGACTGACGCATACGTGCAGACGCATTTGACAGACATTCATTGCGCCATAAATGGCTATGAACAATCTTAAACAACATTACTCCCATAAGAGATTTAATGGACTGTTTCCAGACTAAAAGTTAATTTGCAATATTTAGTCTGGTGTTAGCCAGACTTGAACCACACCGGCTGGTCTGTCTAAACGACACGGCATCAGTGTGAACATCCAACCAAATGAATGAATGTTTATTTGGTCAGTTGTTTGATTAATAACAATCACTGTCAATATTGCAACCAAAAATAGGATTGGCTGAAGCAACTTGCTTATGTGAGCCCAACCTGACATCACACACAGGTCATTAGCTACTTAAACACAACCACTCTGTAAACAAAACAAAAAAGTACATATTACTGATTTAGATTCACTTTTTTTTATCTGTTATATTTTTCTTATTATTACTTTTAAGGCAAGGTATATCAAGTAAATATTTCACATTTTAAGGTAGTTTTAGATATAATAATGTATTAATTAACTTAAGCTGGTCATTAGGATCTTTCCACATTTTTATGCAAATGAAAGACACACATCTATTTTTAATGTTAGTTTCTGGATTTTCTTGTTTCCAACTGAAGAAAACCTCTCAGATTATAGCGTTTTTTTCTTATTTGAAGAAAGATTGAACTCTGAATGAGATTTCTAGAATGTTTTATTTAATTTTATTTAAAATTACATTTTTAAATCCAGCGGTTATATTGCCAACAATATAATCAAACTGTTTTACAGTTGCTTACATGTGGTTCAAGTGAAGAAAGTATAAACTACACATAATACTTAACGAGAGAGAGAAGCACTCGTATGTTTGAAAATGTTTACATTGTCCCATGTGGATGATAAACTGCAGACAGAAGCAATGTTACGTCGTCTTTTCAGTATTGAAATAAATACAAACAAAACAAAACAGAAAGCGAGCTGTCAGTACGATGAATCAAGTGTAAAATAAGAGGTGACCTTTTTATTTTGATACAACTGGCTGCGATGTTATTATTTTCTGGATGAAGTACTTGCGGTTTCAGTAGATTTAGTGTTGCCATGGGTGATGTAATGCGGGCGATGCTAGTATGGACTGCATCTGAGGAATGCATTTTCTCTCCTCCTCTTCTCTTCCTTCTGTTTTACAATCTCTTTATTTTATGTATATTTTTGTTTTGAATGTCTTTTCTGTCTTCTTTCCTCTGTCTTCTTTGTGTGGTGCTGCTTGCTAACCGGAAATGCAAGCTGGGTAACATGGGTTTGCCTGAATACTATTACTACCACGATTACTTCTTCTCTTACCTGTACAGAGTGAAAAAGTACTTTGAAATGGACTTTTGAGTCTTTATAATGGCAATGAGCCCATGTTATCTATAATCTCCTAACTTTTTTGCTTGAAAAACTTTATTGAATTGTTGATAATTTGTGTCACAGCAATATACATATCTGCCTATATTTCACAAAAGAACAAATAATCAGTTATAATGAAGAATAATGTATTGAATGACTGAAACAAAACATTTAAAACGAGATATAACCATGTTTGTAAAATCATTGTAATGAACTTAAACAACTGATATTAACCATGGATACTCGAGTAAATTTCCAGTGTTTCCCAATGGAGTGTGCAGGGATGAATTGAACAAGCATTTACATGGAATTAGATATCCTAAGAATTAGAAATTGTATTAGGTTTATGAATACAAAATTACTTGGAAGATGTACAAAACTTTAAGGTGAAGTGGCTCTGTTCCGAAGTGAAGAGTTGTAAAAAATATACATATAGTATATGTACTGTATTATAGCAAAGAAATAACATAATGGAAAGCGGGATTGTTGTTACGGTCCCTTAAGTTGCCCGACGCACCTTTAAAGTCAGGTTCGACATTAAAACCAAAGAGAAACACTGCTTTAAACTTTTTATAACTTCATGAACACAATCTATAACCACTTATAAACTTCTTTAATACTATCACCTTTTTCAATCCTCTACCTCCTTTCTTTCCTTGTTTTTTCTACTTACAGTTGTGCTCTCAAGTTTACACACCCAGGCAGTTGTTTTTATACAGTATATATGTTTTGTCCATATTTCAGAGATAATGAAGTAACTTATTTTTCACTCATTGCAAGTGTATTGTTGAGGTTTTGTAAAACAGGTTATTTCCAACATCCTAATAAATGTACAAACTCATCTTCTGACCCTGATCAGAAGCCTCTATCCCCAGTTCTCAATAGCGTGTATTGCCATTTAAACATCTATGAGTCTATTTAGCTAGTTTGGAATGAGGTCCTATATCCTCTCTGTTGGTAAAGTTGCCCATTCTTCTTTGCAAAAAGCCACTATTCACTGTAAATTCCTGGACCACCTTACCTGAACTGCACATTTGAGATCTCCTCAGAGAGATTCAATATTATGAAATATACTTTCATAATATTTTTAAATGACAATAAATAGATTCGCACAACCACTAACCTCTAAAATACCTACAAAAAATGGCCAAAACAATGACTTTTCTGGCTTGGAGTGTAAACTTTCAGGCACAACTGTATAATGGAAGTTCTTTTTTGTTTCCTAGTCATGAGGGATTACACGTCTCTAAATTAGAGGAACATTTGTTATTGTCACCGCAGTGTTATGTGTACGGCCCCGCTAAACCTCAGTACCATTTGGGTTCACTTATTCCTGAACCGAATCATTAACCGTTCAATCTTAAATGGCAACGGCACGCGACTAGTTCTGCCATTTTGCTCTGAGGTTGGAGGTAATGATGTGACAAATTGTACCAGAGGCGTGTCGTAGCAAAGCCAAAGCCCCAGTACCAGTAATGACAAGCAGGTGCCGCTGTTCTGCCCTCTGTTTCATCTACATGGCTTGGATTTACACATAAACATCGGAAACTGGTCTTGTCAAAGATGTTTGGAGTAAATGAGGCTGCAGCTGCTTGAGATGAACAGAGGGCAAGCAGCGACACAAAACACACACTCTAAACACTCTGAATTAGGCCTGCACAATGTAAGGTAATATATTAAGTATGTACATGAATAACGTATAGAATTATCACTTATTTTGGCAGTTTTTTCACAGAGGTTAATTCTACAGCTACACATTTAATAGTACAAATATAATAATATACAAAAACAAAAAGCATTAAATCTGGGTTCCAGCTAGATTTATGTACCCCAGCTTTAAAAGGATAAACACAAAAAGCACAAGTGAGTGTGTTTGTGGAGGTTTTTAATGACCCAATGGACTTTTCAAAAGAGATAATTCAGAATTTGAAAAGTCAAAAATCTAAATAATTTTAGTGCATAAGAATTCTTAATAAATGTTCCCTTTAGAATTTATGTTTACTATGTCCTGAGTAATGAACTCAAGTTATGTGTTTTAAATATGATTTTTGAGCGATGGATTTTGATGAGCAAGTTGATGGTTAGCCCTGATTTTACACAATTCCTTGGAGGAAAAAGAACTCGGAAGTGTCCCTTATGTTTCCTCTAAATTCTTTCTATAATATTGAGAGATGTGTCCAGAATTGCCTTTTACCCCTTGTGCACTACAGTGGCATAATAATATAGTACAAGCCATTTGAACTGCCATAATGTTAAAGATATGTACCTCAAGGACAAATCTAGGTCTAATTTAGAACCTAATAATAAAAAAAGAAACATAATTCACATAAGAACACAGTCGTTTTATATTGTGCAGCCCTTTACTCAAAAAAGTCGAAAATGTGAACACAAACACGCACACCCACACACACACACATATACACACAGGGCTTGTCTTCCACCTCTGCGGACGCCCCAGACTATTATTCATTATTTTGCCCCTTTAGGCTATAGCCCCAAAACTCCCAATATCCTTCACTTCCATACACGCTACTCTCTGGCAGGAGTTTCATTCAGCCACTCTTAGGCCCATATTAAATTATCCTCACCTTTGCAAGACCTGTAAATAGGACTGTCACTTCAAAATAAGTGTGTCTTATGAGTCCAAAAATATGAAGAAGTGAAATTGATCAAAAGAACTTTATTCTATTCAGTCCTTGATTTGAAACTGAAACCAGGAGATGATTTGATTGGAGCTTTATGGATTTGTTCTTGCTTTGCCTGTAATATTTCCCACACATATTTATGTTTCTGTAAATGGACTGAAAAAACTAGGATGTGTATATTATTTTTTTTTTATGCATTTATGTTCCATGGATCTGTATTTGTAAGTGCTAAAAAGAAATCTACTATTGTTTGAAAATAATTGGAAACATAATACTCAAATCATCTCAAACAGACCTGAGGTTGTTTTTAGAGCTAATATCAGGAACTTCAGACACAATGTCAGACCTCGGACACATGTTACTCTGTGCCCTCTGTCTGAAAGCTCCTGTAATAGTATGATGCCATTGTACCTCACTAACCACACAACACGCGCAACTAAAGATGAGAAAGAAGATTTGATCGGGACAAAAATAAGGGATTTTTTTATGATTTACTTGAAAACTTCCAATTTATACCAGTGAAATATTCTAAGCAAAGCAATAACAGAAAACAGAAAATTATGCACTAGAAACTGTGGATTTCTTGCAACAATCTGAATTGAGTTCTAGTTACCCAAGAAATGTATGATTGGTAGAGTTCATACAATAAACTCAGAAATATAAAATATATATAAAATGTGCATAAATCTATTATAAACTTATTCATAAATAGTCCAATATTAGATGCACACATACACACACACACACACACACACAGAGACACACACACGCACACACACACACAGAGACACACACACACACACACATTGACAAGTCTGCACTGGTGCTGATCTGTGTTGCCTTTCCTTAAAGCCAGCTGATTCGTCCCACTCTTCCTCCTCCCACCCCCCTGTGGTAAGGCCAATGGTACGCTCCGACGGTAACATCCGCCTCCCCTTCATCACCCTCTCTCGCCCCACCCCCTCCATGGGGTACCCTGACCGGGTCACTCTCCCGCTACACCCTTGTTGTGGTGGTTGTTGGTCCGTGTTGCTGCAGCATGTCCACGGGTTTGCCGACGTGTGGTGCTCTGGGAGTCTTTGAGATTTATGTGTTTTTATTGCTGTTTTCTGTGTATGTTTGTGTGATATGTATGTTTGTGTGTGCGTGTGAGTGTGTATGTGTGTGTGTGGGTGATATGTATGTTTGTGTGTGTGTGAGTGTGTATGTTTGTGTGTGTGTGTGTGTATGTGCAGAGGTGATAAAGAGACAATTAAAGTTTTCAGATACTGTAGTAAGAATGCAATACTAGGCATATGATATTGGTCAAGGGAACTCATTTGGCCGTTTATTCATATTCACGATTCACTATTTTATTTTTACACATTAAATTCAAATATGTTTGAATGCTTTTCATTCTGTACCTAAATATTCTACCTTAAAATATGCCTGTATAAACAATGTTGATGTTGCATGACATTTTTTACATGTCAAGTGATGAACGCACATGAAGATTTTTTTTTTTAAGATACCTTTTAATACAGTATTTATTCTTTTGACTACATTGTAACATTCCAGAGACTGCCGGACACTGTCTTACTCAACAGTTGTCTTGACCGGACTAACTGACGAACTGAAGTGAAGTCTTAATAGAATAGACTTTCACCTCTGCTTTGTGTGTGAGTGCGTGTGTGTGTGAGTGTATAGTTGTGTGTGCGTGTGTTGCTTTAGTCCCATTAGCTGTTGTGCTGCCTGGCCTGTGCCCCCAAAGCGCTTCTGTTGTGTTCATGGAGCTTCCTCACTGGTGTCCTTCCTCATGGTCACAGCCTCATAAGTCCTCACTCCTCTCACGTCACTGGACTAAACATCTCTGTACCTGTCTTCTCTTGTATCTGTCATTTTGGTATTTTCTGTCCCTTCACTCTCTCTGTTTCACACAATTCTGACTCCTCACTGTTGTAATGGTGACGTGGTGGCGCCATCTGTGGTGACGTGGTGGTATTGCAGTGCGCGCTCCTTTTCAGAAAGCGTCGCTGTCTGGCGCATAGCAGCGGAGTTTAGGACAATCGCGTGGCTGTTATTTATACTATAATATAAAACAGACATTTTATTTAATACCAATCAACAAATTTCATTATTATTTTAATGATGTGATGTGAAATATAGTTAAAACATATTTGATTATTGTTAAGTGTTTTTTAGAACTTAAACACTTAAACCGGGGAAGTTGAAGAGCCATTTTAAAAACAGGACATTTGGACCGAAATTGATATTTGATTAATCCATTAAAATTATCTTGTGTTGTTAATTTATGGAGTAAAACCATTTTATTTATTTTTTTCAGTTTTTTTTATTTATTATTTTTTATAATAATTCCAGATTTTTCTTTTAAGATACCTTATAATGTCAATGTAAATACCTAGTACTAAATTATTATGACATGGTAACATATACTGATGCTTCCCCATAAAGAAGTTTTGAGTATGAGATATTAAAATCCATTTTCCTCAACAATAATAAAAAGTGGTTATCATAATTGATCTCAATGGGGATCATTTAAAGCTGCCTGTGATCTATGTATTATATATATCTATGTAAATGTTTAGCTTCTGAGATAGGGGTTATTTCCATTTAGGTTATTTGGTAATGATTTGACTTGAGCCACAATAATCAGTGCAGGGTATATGCCCGCCGCGTGTTGTCCCAGGCTCCACTGCGAGCGCATGGACAGCGAGGCTCTCTCCTCAGGAGTGCTGCCAGCTCTTCAAAATAACTCATGGCCTCTGTGGGAAAACACATCTCAAATGGCAACAAACAGCACCTTGCTCATTGTGTGCTGTTAAAGGAGGTTTTGATCAGAGAAAATAATTATTCAAAGAATCAAGAGATTCACAAAGCAATGCTGGATAGTTAGAATTGACCTTGTATGATTTAAAATTCAATTACTGAATCAGGCTTCAGCCGAATGTCAAGGATTGTTTGCAATGTTGGCGACACGATGGCACGACAAACGTAATCAAGCCATAAGCTAATTCCAGAGTATTTACAGTAGCTGTTTATTCAAATTCACTGGCCCATTCAAATAAATTGAGAAACATATATATAAATGATTATCTGTACGTAATATGCACTCTTAGTGGTTTTATAAAGGCATTACAATTACAAACAGACTTTTGGGGGTTTAGCCAGAAATGGTGACTCTGTTGGTTCTTGTGAATTAAGAAAATACATTTTAAATCAAGTACATTGCATCTAATGAATTGGTAACCCAAATGAGAGCCTCACTCTGCTTTCTGATTCAATAACCTTTGTAAACAGAAATAAAGTGTAATATAGAATGTTACTATAACATGTTACTTATATTGTTTTCTTTTGAATCTCCACCTAAACTCATGGATGACGAAAAAAAACTGTCTTGTCTTGGAGCAGTTGTTTATATTTGGAACATTTGCATTGTGGGCATGAGTTCATAATAGTAAGCTTAACCTATATCTCAAAAGGATCCGACCTCTAAAAATACCAAATGAATAAATCTAAATGGACGTAAAGTTGAGAAAGTTACGATACCAAACACAGAAATAGAAATTCCCCCTCTCAGTGGCATCTGCAAATGTGGCATTTGTTTTGGAGCAAAGGAAGCCGCAGCATAAATAAGTAAATTAGTTTGAGTATAGGGCTCAGTGAAATGGCTGAATATTTCATCACGGCTTGTGTTCTGGGGAGTTCTCGACGGGACAATGAGCAGCCCAGCTCAAAAACCTCATGTGCCACATTGCAAATACAAATTGACATCTAAAATAGTTGTTTATCCCTTCAGAATTCTGCTTTAGCACTGAATGCAAGAAGCCCTTTAATGGCAGCATTCAGTAACATGCATTTTTGAAATTTCATCATGAGAAATAGTGTGTGGAAATTAATGTCAGGACGGCCTCAAGTTTATAACTTTATTTAAAAAATGTCATATTCCAGGGCTTTTTTCATCCAAACATATATTGTTAATGACCAGAATAAAGAATTCCAACACTATCAATATATAATGAACAGTACTAAAAGTACTTACAAAACTAAAATTATATTCTATATATATATATATATATATATATATACATATATATATATATATATATATATATATATATATATATATATATATATATATATATATATATATTCAAACAACATTGACACACAAGATTAATCAATTCAGTTGACATTCTTTACAATTACACGCCAGCACTTAGATTACTTAGATTATATCTATCCGTATTAAATAAAGGGCGACAGTAGCTCAGTTGGTAGAGCATTGGCCTTAAGGCCAGAAGGTCGTGGGTTCAACTCCCACCTCTGCACCTTCTCCATCGACTCCCACTGATGACTGCTGTCGTTGTGTCCTTGGGCAAGACACTTAACCCCACTTTGCCCAAAAAGCCCCCACTGAAAGATCAAGGCTATGCTCACACTCAGAGAGCAGCCGTCCTCCTGTGGACTCACCACCTGCAGAGGGTCAGTGAGGGGCTGGTGCTATGAGACTTGGGTGGCATCTCTGATTGCCACCCCCCTGACCCAGAAATGGATTAAAGGGCAGAAAATGGATGGATGGATGGATAAATTTTCCGCGTCTTCTTCTACTCTGCAATTTTCTAGTAATCTCTCTTAACATTCCAAAACATGAAATTATATAAATTTGAAATATCTCCCATATTTGTTCTTTGTAGTAAACTCTGTTGAATGATAAATATAAACCAATATCAACTAAATGTAGGTTTAAAAAATAAAGGAAAGTTCTTCTAAAGTCTTTGACATGGTCCTTGCTGTTTGTTGCCAGGTGAGTCAGAGGTGCAGCTCTGAGCATGATTGCCCGGTTCTCTCCCTGATCTCTTGTTACCAGTACAATACCAGTACATTCCCAGTACATTTTGATGGGATTTTGTGGGACGCACATTGATTAACTGTTTGTGTGTGTTCTTGTGGTGAGTGCCTGTGTCCTGTGGTCTCAAATTCTGCAAGCTCATGGGTAACAATCTGGTTTAGGGACCACGTAATAATAATATAAAGACCCTATATATGTTACGGTTTAGTTACACTTGTATTTATTATTTCTTTTATTTCTACCAGACTGTGTGTTTAACAAATTAGTTTAAAGGACATTAATGGGTAAAGAATAAAATATTCTTTAAGCATTTAGCAAAACTGATTTTGAGTGTAAGTAAGTAATCTTTATCTATAGTAACTATCACAGACCAGAGTCATAAATCACTTTACAATTGCTGTGGCCATTTGTCTCTCACTCCACACAGAGATGGGAGTGGGTCGCCGTACAGTGGGAAATATATCACTATATTCTATCACAGTGTTCTAGGAAATATGCTAAATTCATTACAAAATATAAAACCAAACAATAATGGCAAAAAATCAAACAAGCAATTATACTTATACTCACTTAATTTCATATACAAGTTAAAAGTTATATTTCAGTTACAATAGATTTACAGTAATTTGAAATGTTTTGCAATAGCGGAGAGTTGACCGATTAAAAATGATCCGAATATTGTTATTGAAAAGACAGATATCCACCACTTCTAATGAAAGGCACACTATGTACGTTTGATAAAATAAACACAAACTTTTCACTTCACTCAGTTAGCTTTAGCACATGGTCCTGAAACAAAAGTCTCATTAACGGGGCTCTGTGCACAGGAGCGGGATAGCTGGCTCGCTGCAGCTTCACGGTGGCATCAGCACCACTGTTACTTCTACAATTTATATTTTAATCACTTAAAATATGAAGTGTAGATGGCTTTGGTCTGTGGTGCTGTAGTCATAGAATTTATGATACTCCCAGATAAACATTCGCATGCCTTAAAATGTTTGATATTTTAGACTTTATTTTTTTACAAAACACAGCCACAAGAACAATACATTAAATATTTTCACATTTTCATCCTTATTTGCTCGTACATAATTCATATAGTTTCTTCTTGGTTGTAGATTATGACTTTTCAGCAACCTTGCAGAAAATATATTTTGACAAAGTTGGATGGACTTTTGAAGAAATTGTAGCTATTCTATTCAAAACATGTGCCATTCCCATTCCAAAACACATTTTCACATATTTTAAAGAAGCTATACCCGATTTTTTTAGTTAAGTAGTTAAGTAGTTAAGTAGTTAAGTAGTTAAGTAGTTCATAAAAATGCTTCTTACTACATACAAGTTGTATTATAATCCGTAATTTAATTGAAAACTTGAGGTCATTGATTCAGCCGTGTATGAATTCAGGCTGTAAAAAGTGCTGAGTAGAGTCTTAGCGGGACGCTCGTTCTCCGAGCAGCGAACAGCCTGCGTCCTCTAGCCTCTACAACGCCGCTAAACACTAGGGCTTTGACTTCGAAATTCAAATATAATTCTAAAATTAAAAAAATATATATATTCGAACAAATACTAGACAGCCCTTATAATTCGAAAAGTATTTAATGACTGCAAATAAAATAGTTAGCTCCCAAAGGTTTCACTGTGACGTGCTAGGCAGGTAACAGCTAAGCTAGCTAGTTTAAAAACTCTAGAACTACATGAAAACTGAACAAAGAATTCTGAACATCAGTGGTGAGTTACCCATTTATATACTGAACCTAAATCCATCAGATCCTCTTCAAAGGTGTCCTAAAATGTTTGATTCATGTTAATGGTAACTTCCGGGTTTATCGCGATCGCTTTAAACTTTAAAACTTTAACAACACATTTTGAAAACTTCAATGCATGTGTGTTAAGGATGTATATGTATACTGTATTCTCCGATTAACATTTAAAGGTGGTGATTGATTGATTGGCATTTGTTTATTGAGCGCGGCTAGCTCCGCTAGCTTCTCTGCACAGACAGAAGTAGTGACAGGCGCTGAAAGCTCGTTGTACTTGCGGAGTAATGTTAGTATTTTTACACACCTGAATTACAAACAGAGATTGCATTGCCATAGGGCAGCGGTCATTATTAGTTTGAGGGTTCTGTTATCAAGAAAAAATGATCGGTTGAACGTTTTGAAATTACATTCAAGTCAATGGAGTGTTCTACTGCTGCTGTGAGGAGCTGTATAATAAATTATAATTGAATTTTCAAATATATTCTAATGTTTAAATTAATACATTCGGACACAAAACGAACTGTATTCTTTTTCCTTATTTATTGTGTTGGCATTGCATTGCTTTTGAACCATTTCATCAGTGATTGTTGCACAGCTTACAAGAAGTTGCGCTAATGCTAATGTTAGCATATGTATCAGATCGGAAACAAAACTAGATGGCTCTGTGGGATGAGAGCGTAGGGGAAATGAGAAGCCTCTGAGAGAGTTGGGGGGCGGTGCTAAACATTCAAACCTTGCAGGAACGGGTATAGCTCCTTTAACAATTTTAAACTAAAACTGAGATTGAATCTTTGTGTTTTTTTTTGTTTTTTTGACTTGGTCGCATCCTTAGATCATATTTTTCAGACAGAAACGTGAAGTAGAGATGACCATACTTTCTCTGCCAATAAGCTCACAGCCTAGAGAGTCGTATAATGACTCACAAGGTCTTTTCTTAAATGTTTGAACATGACACGCCAACACTGAGTGAGCCCTCTAGCCTGCTCCTGTGCACAGAGCCCACTGTCATTTAAAACTGTCTCCTTTGAATCAAGAAGTAACTGTGTATGTGTGTGTGTGTGGATGTTTTCCTTTGCGTCCTGTGTTTTTGCTCATGTAAAAACAAAACAAAAACCACCAAACCCCACCAAAAGGGACTGCAGAACTCTGAAGAGAACGCCAGGATCTCCATCACCTTCTTCCGGCTTTTCCGCGTGATGAGGCTGGTCAAGTTGCTGTCGCGCGGGGAGGGGATTCGGACCCTGCTGTGGACCTTCATCAAATCCTTTCAAGTGAGGGGAGAAGCGGACACCACATGCCAGACCTTAGGGCAGACCAAGACCACCCAGGCTTCTTTGCTTGCCTCTTCCCTCTGAGCCCGCCTTTATTTGGCAAACCTTTAATGCAAAATACCATCAACATTTGAATTTTAGGCTACTCATGTCATGAAGTGCAGTAAAGTGCTAGACTGAACTAAACAAAGTGCCTGCCTATTGTTGAGAAAGAAAGTGAAAAAAATATCTATAATATCGCATTTCATGTAACTACAGTTGTATCAGGGAAGACGAGTGACCCAACAAAGCAGTTTACTATTGACGTCAAAAGAAAGGGTTATAAAATATGTTCAGTCCAGATGTCTAGCTTAAAAAAAAAAAAAATCTATTATTGTAAAGCTGGAAAGTTAGTGTCTCGCTAAAATAAATTGTGTTAGCCGTTAGCGTTGGTTCTTGACATCTGTATATGATCTTTCTTTATCTAAAAAATCTTTCCATTAAATCCAAGTTGTCATTCTCTAATATTTACCACTGAAAAAAGTGATGTTTATGTTTTATCTTTATCTTTTTTTTTTTTTAAGATTAGAGCGGTGCAACCAAAGGGAAGAGCTGAGTAAACAAGTGTGAACGGTCGATCCAGAAAGACTTGCTGTGTTCTGAATTACAAGGCAGAGAATTCTTCATGAAATCGAGTCAAAGCAGTAGACTTTCTGAACTCTCTTTCTCCACCTCTCCAACATCTAACCTCTGCTCTCCATCTCCTTTAGACATAAGCAGTAGATAAGTCTGACAAAGCACTGCACCAAAACATCAAATCATTTGATAGCGAGTCCTAGAAATACAAGGCTGCTCTCTCCTGTGTGTCCGCTGTTAGAAGGGCCGTTTCACACACTGAAGAATGAAGTTACAAACGCCTCCAAAAGTTTAGTTTTTTCTCAAATGTGTAACAAAAAAAAATTATAATTAAGACGCATGGGAAAAACCTTCAAGCCGTTGTAGCTAACTTAAAAGCATGACTAAATCCACTTCAAACTTGTAATAATGTACTTAGATGCATGGCTCACCACTAAATCTTCAATGTCAATACTGTCTGTATAGCCAGCTGTGCACCTTCATTTATATAACAGGCTCCATTGCGTGGGTATTGTCCTTGCCAGCTTCTAGAGAAAAATCTCTCAAGCAATTATAAATACCCCAGTGGTGATTTTGGCCTGTTCTTCCGGACACACGGGTAAACTTGACCAGGAGCTCAGACTTTGGACCTGTATGGCCTATAGACTGATCTTGTGGCCAATCAGAGAGCAGAATGCAGCTCAGGGTCAAGTGATTTTTCTTCTGCCTGATTTTGGTGTTTGTGCCATGTTGGCTGGTCACTATCTTTCACAGATGTAGTATTTATTCATCTATAGAGTCATCATTGAAATGAATTGAACTCTTACTAACATTGGATCAAGCCTTAGAGTTTGTTTTAGTTTATCACCACAGCTCCACTACACTTGCCAGATGATAAGAACAATACTTGTACTTTGGCTGTAATGTTTTCAGAATTTCTCAAAACGAGGAAAACAAACTGAATGCTCTTTTTGTGCATTGATAGTGATCAGCCCCTCGCCTTTTCCTGTGTGGAATTGCCTCTTTGAACTGTTTTAACTTGTCCCTCTCCTCTTCAGGCACTGCCCTACGTAGCTCTACTTATAGTGATGCTATTCTTCATATATGCTGTGATTGGGATGCAGGTAAGACGCTCCGACACGACCCTTTTCTGTCCTGCTGTCTTTTTCCCTTCTTTTGTAGCTGGCCTTCTTCCTGTGTCTTTCCTCATTGTGAATTGTGAGTCATATAATTATTTTCCCCAACGGTTTTCTGTTATTTTTCTTGTGGTGTAGTTCTTTTTGGCTTGAAGCTGTTGGTCTTTGAATATATATGTGCTGAGCATTATCTGAATAATGTCCTTTTATTTTCTTTCTTGGGATTGCTTGTGCCTTTCTGCAGATGTTTGGTAAAATAGCGCTTCGGGACAACACTCAGATCAACAGGAACAATAATTTCCAGACGTTTCCTCAGGCTGTGCTGCTGTTGTTCAGGTAAAGGGTTCACAATTCTCGCACATGCTCAGGGAAAACAGTGAGAACATTAACAAAGCATATCCGATTGCGCAGAGGGGGTTTTCAAAGGCGCCTTGTAACTTTGCGGTATTACTCACACTTTGGAACTGGAACTGGAAATAAAAATGACAATCTTCAGATCTAACATCTTCAGACAAATCTTCAGACTAACATCTGAAACTTCCAAAAGTCATCTTAGCCTCCATCCATCCATCCATTTTCTTCCCCTTAATCCATTTCTGGGTCGGAGGGTGGCAGTCAGAGTGTTCGACCAGTTGCTTGCAATAAGTAATTTTTCTCGTTACTCGTTACTTCTTTTAAAAAGTAACCTGTTACTTTACTTTGTTACTCTCTAAAGAACGTAACTTTTTTACTTTACTCTCATGTTACTGTTATTATCTTCGACCACAGAGCATGTAACAGGGGGTTCTGAACACAGCTCTCCCTCGGGAGAATCAGTTTAGGACCTCTCACTCTGAGCTTTAAATACTCAAGTACCTCACCGTCTGCGCTAAAGGACGCTGCGTCTTCATTGAAATTTCCCCACTGTGGGACAAATAAAGGATCTCTTATCTTATCTTCCTTATTTATATTTCTGCTGTAAATAAAGAAACTTTATTTTACGTCACTATAAATATATATATATTATATATATATATTGTTAACACGTTAACAAAGTAGTTACACCTGTTGGGTGTAACGCATTATACCCAACACTGTTCATGTCTTTTCTTCACAAAGACAATAATGAAATCATGCGAAACATGAAATTCCAAAGTCAAGATTGTCAACACATAATGACTACATTTAATATACTCCACTGTGTTAAAACACAGTTAATAGACCAGGCCTCAGATTCCTCTTTTTGCATTTATGAATTCTAATGATGGTAGAGAGTGAAGAAATATAGTATTTGTTCGTGTGGGATTTCCAAATCATGCTCTGTGACTGAGACACTTGACATAGCCGACTAATTTTGCATCAGGAGCCTGGGAAGAGTTCACGCTCATACCTATAGAGTTGATGTGGTAGTCTTCACACGTGTGGGCGCTTGTGTGTGGCAGGTGTGCGACGGGCGAGGCCTGGCAGGAGATCATGCTGGCCTGCTCTCGACAGCGCCCGTGTGAAAAGGGCTCCACGCACGAGCACAACAGCACTCACCCAGAGGATTGCGGCAGCCAGTTTGCCATCATCTACTTCGTCAGCTTCTACATGCTCTGTGCCTTTCTTGTGAGTCATAGATGGGTTTTTATATTATCTGTGATTTTGAAAGCTTGAATGAGGAGAAATGGTACAGATTGGAAAAGATATAACTGCAGCTTGGAGTCTGAATGGATGAAAGTATGTTAGTCCCCTTTACAGTAAGTATTTCAAAAACACACAATCCTTAACTTGTGTTGGGGTGTTACTTTAAAAATGTATGTAGTCACAGAATACAGTATACTTACTTTTTTAAAGTGGCAAAGTGTGACATATTCTGTTACGTGGTCCAACCAGAGTACTGTTTTCCGGATACCTTTATACAAGTATTCGGAGTACTGCGTTATATTTTATTATATTATATTTTATATTTGAGAAGGATAACACTCACATACTGTACATCACTAAACTTTAGTTTTTGTATAATCGCTTTTTCTTCAGTGTTAGTATTTTTTCTGAATTGCACAAAAAGAAAGTGAATTCCAAATACAGAAATTCAAAAGCAGTTTGCTGAATATTACTGGCTCATATATTCCGAAACTCCCCAATACTGTGAACTGACCATTACAAATGTGAGTCAACACTTTTATTCTGTTATTCTGTTATATGCATGTAAAAATAGTGAGTAAACTGTCTGTAGATCATCGGCTCAAACATGCAGCTCGAGGGCCCTTTACGGACCGCAAAAAGGTATTTTGAGGCCTCCTTGTGTACATCAAATCTAAACGTCATACGGCCCCCACTGAGAGTCTGGGCTAATATGGCATATCATACTTCATTTTAAAGCACATTTTATCGAGAAAACAACCGCGCCCTTTCTATTACCATAACGATTGAACCCTGACCACAATAAGTAATATTTCATAGTAAACAGCCTAGCAGTCTACAATACTGAGCCTTAATGCCTTTCATCCCGTTTTGTTTCAATCCAAGCAGCTGCACATTTTATTTATAGAAATATATCTAAAAAATGTATATATGCAATACAATAATATAAATAAAAGTAATTATTTGGTCAAAATACCTTTATGATTATTAAAAAAAGGTCCCAGATGTAAATGAGCTATCAACAAACTTTCCACGAACACTTTCTCTAATGTCATTGTTCATCTCTGCACGTCTCTGTTAGGGCTGTCAAACAATAAAAAAAATTCATCGAGTTAATTACAGCTTAAAAATTTATTTATCGTAATTAATCGCATTTCAAACTATCGACAAAATGATGCCATATTTTTCTGTATATGGCTGTTTGAATGGAAAGATAAATGTCAACATAGTGTACATATGTACTGTATTTGTTTATTAGAACAATAAATCCATTTAAATGGCATTAACATTATTAACATTCTGTCTTTCTGTTTAGACTTAGACCAAAACTATTGTTTGTTACAGATGAGGGACATTTAAAACAGTCTGAAGCAGAATGTCATTAAATCTGTCATGAACTGGTAGTGAAAGGGAAAATTAGGTAGCCCAGCTTTAATTTAGCGAGTGCGCTCCGAGAGAAGACACGGAGGAGACACAGGCTCCGTTGTCCAGCTTCAGTGCTGTATATATTTTGGGCACCGGTTTTGCAAAGACACATGCGCTCACTACAAGCAGAGAATAGTTCTGTGCGTGTATGGTCTTGGATATGATCACTTTACGTGGCGCCGTTCGCCGGGATCACAGCGGCTGGAGGACCTGCAGTCCAGAGCGCCCGCCACTCAGCTGGCAGAGTTCATACAAGAAACGCGTGTATTCTTCTAAAACTTGAATTCCCAGAGACCTGCTCTGTTGCCATCTCACACACATGTGTCCATGGCATTCTGAGTGTTATTATGGGATGCATGGGCATGCGTTAATTGTGTTAATTTTTTTAACGTGATTAATGAAAACAATTAATTAACGTGCGTTAACGTGATAATTTTGACAGCCCTAGTCTCTGTACATCTTTATGTTTAACAAGTGAGAGGGCTTCTATTTCAGGACTTTTTAAAACATTTTTTTCTGCTACAACTTTTCTCTTTTGCTTTTTGTTGAAAATAGCAAGATAACAAAGTAAAGTAAAGTATTAATGATGAATTTAATGCCAATTGTCAAGTATAACTATTTTGCTTTTATTTATCAAAAAGGCTTTATATTGATGAGAAAACTGCATTCTTACTTTGAGGTGGCTTGCCTCTCCACTCTCTGACCTGTGTCTGTCGTAGATTATAAACCTGTTTGTGGCTGTCATCATGGACAATTTTGACTATCTGACCCGGGACTGGTCCATCCTTGGCCCTCATCATCTGGACGAGTTCAAGAGGATTTGGGCTGAATACGACCCAGAAGCCAAGTCAGTGTGACACACATTCAAAGATCTGAAACCACTTTGATAATTTAAAGTGAAAGTAAATGTATTTTCATCTGTTCCCAGGGGCAGGATCAAACATCTGGATGTAGTGACATTGCTTCGGAGAATCCAGCCTCCACTAGGCTTTGGGAAACTATGTCCGCATCGAGTGGCCTGCAAGGTAGTTTACAAGGGCTGGGATATTGTACTGTTTCACAATTATTATCATTATTATCTCATATCATAAAGCCATAATGTACTTCTTTGGATATGAAGAGGAATTCTTGGAGGCAAGAAAACGCAGAGTGTAGAATACCAAAGAAGTGCAGGGTGGTATTTCATATAGCAGTGGACGTAGCACCTATTGCGTCATTGAACAACGTGCCTTTATACACAGTTAAAAACACAGATACTGAAGATCACAGAGTCGGCATTACTCACATTACAGTGCGATACAAGAACTCCCACGACTGTACACTACGGAGAGAGCAAGGTTATTTACTATTTATGTAATCAGGGAATTTTCTTTTTCATCTTAAGTGTCGCTCTAGCACTTTGTTCCTATATGCACTGCCTGCCTTGAGTTGAGTTGTTTTATTTTTGAATAAAAAGAAGGCAATATGTATCATTTATTCACTTAGCTTACAGTTACAATAATGTTTTTTTTTATGACAGGTACTGACTCCTTCTCTGTGGTTCAATAAAAAATACTTCGGAATTTGGCAAATTTGTTTATTCAGTAGTTTTTGGGGGTTTATTTATCCTGTAAAAATATTGAAACGTGTTGGAAGCTCAAGTTTGAATATGATTATATTGCTCAAAATGAATAATAAACTTGCCATAGTCCATCATGATGTGATACCAGCAGTGCAGTCCAGGACCGGACCGTCTATTTTATTTTGACACGTTTCTGTCTTCCCCCATCATCTTGTTGAAGGATGAGTGAAGAATTTTACTGCAGAGGTTTTGTTATAATTATTACAGTAGTAGGTTAAGATATTCAGTCTGCTGAGCTCATATCTATGTAATTATTCATGTGTTTGTGTTTGTTTTCATTATAGCGCCTGGTGTCCATGAACATGCCCCTGAACAGTGATGGGACAGTCATGTTTAATGCCACGCTGTTTGCCCTGGTCAGAACTGCACTCAGGATAAAGACCGAAGGTAACAGACAATCAGAAAATGTATCATAAAGTAATAACTTGTTCCCATTACAGAATGGGAATGTCAATATCAGCTTTATTTCTAGAGCAACAACATCAGCTGCCCAAAGTGCTTCACATGCACAAAAGAACCATGAAAACAGCATCATATGCACACAAATACACACATAAGAAATGATTGCAAAAAAGACACATCTGTAGATGATAGATCCTTAGTTCCTTTGGCTGTCAGACTGTACAACAAACCTGGATGAGTCTTCTGCTACTGGACATTTGAATTTCTCCTATGGGGGATCCACAAAGTATCTATCTATCTATCTATCAGACGTAAACTATTCCACAGTTTGGGAGCAGCAACAGCAAGGCCCGGTCTCCTGGAGTTTTGAGAGACCCAGGGCCTCTGTAAACATTACCCTCTTGCTCGTGTCGAGTAGTCTTGAGTCTTCTACATCAAGTCAGAAAACTTTGATGACAAGTTTATAGTATCAGCAAAAAGTTCTTGTTACAATGAATTAGTGTAAATCACCCAGTCGAAGCTTCATTGGCGCTTGTGTGTGCAGGTAACCTTGAGCAGGCCAATGAGGAGCTGAGGGCCATAGTGAAGAAGATCTGGAAGAGAACCAGCATGAAGCTCCTCGATCAAGTAGTGCCCCCTGCTGGAGGTACACAGTTCTGTCTATTTATTTGTAGACACTAGTGAACAATCATGCAAGTTCCCCCTTTGTCTTTTATAACCATTTCCACAAACTTTTCAGATGATGAAGTTACAGTCGGGAAGTTCTACGCAACATTCCTCATTCAAGAATATTTCCGCAAGTTCAAGAAGAGGAAAGAACAGGGGCTGGTGGCTAAGGTGGCCCCCAAAACAGCCCTATCTCTGCAGGTACAGTGGCCAACGGATTTAGAGTTTGTGTATGAATGACCACATCGTACATGCCTCATTTACTTTTTCAATCATTGTTTTGATAAGCTATTCTGGGCTGTGCAGAGAAATCCTCAAAACTTGAAAAGATATAGTGATAAGTGACCAGTAATTAGAGAAATTCAACCCTATAATGCTGTGTCTCGATTGTAAAATCTATTGTTTGGGATGTTGGCAAAAATATATGTACAATATTGTCAGGAGGCTCACAGTATTGTATAATAGCTGACGAAATATTGGGTCTTTCTGAGGGGAGATTTGGGTGTTCTCCCTGGGTCTGCATAGGTTTCCTCTGAGTGCTCTGGTTTCCACTACCAGTAAAAACATGTACAAAAGGTCATATCCTCAAGTCCTGACCAAGCCGAGCATCGACATCTGGAGATGGGTCCCCAGGCGCTGAACTAAAAACTACAGCGACCACTGCTCCTGAGTCCCTTGGGTCAAATGCAGAGGACACATTTCCCTAACAATATTGTTACTTCCATAATTAGCAGCATATAAGAATGTCGACATACAGTAATTATATTACATTTCCCATTATTCTATTGCTGGGTTTTGGATTTAAAATAAATATTAATAAGGGCGAGATGTATACTATATTTTATGATTATAGAGTAAGTTCTGGGGAACAGTAATAAATAAATAAATCTCATTAAAATTAACTGCAACTGCAACTGGAAATGTTATATTTCCTTGAATATAAAAAACACTCATATCAAATCCAAAAGAAAGTTCAAATGTATTTTACTTTGTTGTGGTAGGCGGGCCTGCGGACACTCCACGACATCGGGCCGGAGATTCGGAGGGCCATTTCAGGGGACTTGGCGGTGGAGGAGGAGTTGGACAAGGGGCTGAAGGAGCCCGTGTCTGCAGCTTCTGAAGATGATATCTTCAGGGTAAAGGTTGGACACACACCCCCACACACCCTCCTCAGAGAGAGGGCCGTCACCTCCATCACATGGGCCTCTGCATGCTCGTACCGCTGCCAAGAGGCTACGAGGCAGCAATGGCAACTCTCATGAGCATCTACAAGCAAGCTTTCTCAGCTCAGCAATTCTTTCTTTGAGCTTAATAGTTTGGCTTTGCTATATTTGCTCATTTACTCAGTCTGCAGTCTTATTTTACAACTCTTTTGACAACTCTTCAATTCATAAAACTATGAATGAGTACTCGACATGACACTGATATTTCTTCTCAAACCCCTCCTTTAGTAATACACACAAAAATAAAAAATTCAAGCTTGACACAGATTTGATTGGAAATTTAGTTTTTCTCCACAGAAAGAGTAACATCACAACATGCTGTCTTCGTCGTATTCGCAATTGTATCTTTTGCATTTATATAAGAAAGTTTCCTGTGAGTCACTATTTGACGCTTTGAGCTGATTGGCTGAGTGAAGTTGGTCCTCTTGTTTTCACTTTTCCGTCTGAAAGGGCTAATCTAACAATGGGACAGAGGTTAAAAAAAAATGCATGATATGTGAAAACTGTTTTCATGGAAAAAAAATTTTGAAATAGATTTTATTACAGAGTTCCTTTTTGTATGGTTTTATTTTTATCTTCAGATTTAACGCTGAGACATCCCTGGGGACTCTTTGTGTACATTTTTCCAATTTTGTTTTTAATTAAAGTTAAGAATTCATGTCTCACCTATGGTCATGAGACTTTCCAGGGAATTTTGTTTATTTTGTTCATCCATCCATTTTCTTCCCCTTAACCCATTTCTGGGTCGGGGAGGTGGCAGTCAGAGCTGCAACCAATTCACATAGCACCAGCCCCTCATTATAAAATGGTTCCTATAGTTCAGTTGAGATTATAATAATTTGACGGAGAGGGGAAAATGTACTGTAGCCATATCTCCATCACATACACCTGCTGCGCTCTTGCATTTGGATCATATTCCTAAAAAGGCTATCATGCTCAGCGTGTCCATGTGTGTGTGTATAAAAGTGTGACTGTTGTTTCTGTTCTGCCCACAGCGCTCTGGAGGGCTGTTCGGGAACCATGTGAACTACTACAACCAGAGCGACAGCCGCGCCTCCTTCCCCCAGACCTTTACCACCCAGAGACCCCTGCACATCAGCCAGAAGGGTTCTCCGTGCGATGAGAGCCCGTCCCACGAGAAACTCATGGACTCCACCACCTTCACCCCCTCATCCTACTCTTCCTCTGGTTCCAACGCAAACATCAACAATGCCAACAACACGTCCATGGTCCCTGGGCAGGGCCAGGACAGCCGCTTCCCCAGTCCCACCATCAGTACTGTTGACGGCCACACGGGACCGCCCCTCAGCCCCATCCTGCTGCCCCGCTCTGCCTGGTGCTTCCCTCCAAAGAGGTCTGACACATGCTTACACACAGCATTCTCCGTCCTCTTCATACTTTCACCTTTGTGTTGTTCCTTCTGTCTCTTCTGTCTCAACTAAGCTCAACAGTGGAATGACGCCTTCCAAATGTAGAAGTCATATTCAATAGGTTTAAAAGAGAATTCAAGGAGCAGCATGTAAAAATCTGGCCAAAAGTGGTACTGCTCTTGTTCTGATTCAGGTTGCCAGATATGCAGACGAATCCAGCTGGGCCCAAAATATATGAATAAAGAGTTTTGTCAACAACAAAGCTTTAATTAACACCAAAATAGAAATCCTCTTTGAATTCCTTGTTTTGTCACATGTTACTACTTTACCAGCTCAACGCGGTGAGTTCTGGCAACCCGGATCACAGACTTTCTGATTGGTAAAACGGTGGAGGGTGGGACATCGAATGAAAACAATAACAAGATTCAGTGGCTGTAAAACTAATTTTATTTTTTGAAATTCAAAAATCTCAGCTGAACTACTATTATCAGTGAAAGTATTGGAAAAGAACATGGTTTATTAATGTCTTTTGACAGATTAGGGCCATTTAATGATGACTTGACATGAAAATCTTACATATTGCTACTTGAACTGTAAAATGAGTCGGCCCTATATATATATGCTTATATATATATATATATATATATATATATATATATGCTTATATATATATATATATGCTTATATATATATATATATATATATATATATATATATATATATATATATATATATGCTAATAATTGTTTCAAGTGGGCCATTGCTCTGATGATCCTCATTTTCACTTTATATACTTATAATGACAATTATCTGCTGCTATGTCTCTATATAAATCATTTAATGCAACGGCCACTCAGAGCACTCAAATCACTGTAGGTTCAGGGGTATTTATTTGAGGAGTAAGATTTGAACCAGGTATCTTTGGATTAGCAGTTAGGCACTGCTGGATCAAATTAAAATGAAGTTTGGGTAAATCAACCCTTTTGAATTTGCTGTGTGAGATTAAAAGAATGATTTTAAACATTAACATACTCTTTATCACTATATACTGTATTGACACATATACACATACACTTCCTTTTGTTCCCACAAGCCGCAGTCTCTGCCCACTGTTGAGCTTTGGTTTCCAGTGAGGATTTGAGATCTCATGAAGTGTATTTGACATGATTCTTTTATATTACTATCGTTAAACCTCTGGATCACTTCATTCTTCCTTTTCCCACTTGTTTCTCCTCCTTCTTGAATGGGGCTGAGCAGGACGTGTTTTTATGACTCCCTCATGCGGTATGTGACTAGGGAAAACCGTGTGATACTGCTCTTTTCTCTATAATGCAATCTCTGCTGCCAATCTCATGCCAAAACCATCGCTGTACGTGAAGTGCCATAGCAACACCGTTGGCTATGCACTTCAACACCGCTTTTACAACTATCAAAGCTATTGATTTTAGCATGTACATACAGTACATGCACAAGGTTTATGAACTGGGCTACATATATCCAGGATAAAGATACTGAGCTATTGCTGGAGTGCTATTCACACGTGCACCAGGTCCAGAACATTCCAACAACCGTTTTTGTCAGACTTGGCAAAACATAACCAGATGGAAATGAGAAATATCATAATAAAGATCAATTCCTCATATTTCCAGTCAAATAAAAGAGATTCTCATAGTAATTTTGTTCCTGAATCATCGTCACAAAACAACTGAACTGGGAAAGATATGTATTGTACTTTTTGACAGTTTTTGTTTCATGTGACTTGGCCCTGACTTTTGACAGTTACCATAGTTACCAGGACAGAGACAGAGCTGTCCTTTGTCACAATGGGTCATTCTTGTGCACACCTTCCTCTAACCTTTAGAAACTTTCACAGAAGTGATTATATATATATTTGGGATAAAGTGGTGCTCTAGTGCAGCGTTGTCTTACCGGGGGGGGCACATACATGGTTTTCTGAAGACAGGTTTCTTCATAAAAGCAGGAAAATCAGTACCAAGTTTAACTTTGGAAACATGCAGATGTAGTCCCAATCCCTTGTGCATGGCTTTGTAATGTAATGTAATGTAATCTATTTGAAAGAACATAATTTTAATTCGTTTCAGAAATAGCTGAATTGTCACATACTCAAATAAAGAATACACTTTGCTAGCCAAATTGTTCTGGGTGTCCCTGTACACGGACAGCTGCAGGTGATTTGAGCTAGCTATTCTTGTAGTTTCCAATTTTAGCTCCATTTAGGCCTCAGCCTCAACATAGTACAGTAGCTCTCGGCAGGTGCTTGCTATTAGCCATCTCACATATGCTATCATCAGACTTTTTCTACAGTGTACGTTTGAATGAAAAATTCAGAGACAGTGACATATGCGAGCCTGTACATGCAGGAGTGTGGCCGCTCTGGCTCAAATGTGTTTCTCCTGCTACAGTCCATCCTTCACTTCAGAAAATGGGCTTCCCAAACTTTTCCTGTTTATGCTTTGGCTTGTCACTTCTCTTTGTTCATGCGCTGCAGTTAAAGCAACACCATGTAACATCTATCGTCTGGCAAATATTCCAGATCTGGCTTGTATAAAAGGCTTTATCAGCTTTATCAAGTAATTTCAAGTAGATTTTTTTTTCCAGACATTCCTTGAGCAGTGACAAAAACTGACATGTAAATTTCTCCATTGTGAGATCAATAAATGTGATCTTATCTTATCGTATCTTAATCGCCCAAATCATCTCAGAAAAGGTGGAATCCAGTCAGATTTACAATTCGGGTCGTCGGCCCCTGGACGTCCAGTCCACTTGTCCACTCATTGTCTGATTTGATGGCACAGTATACATTTGGCTCTCAATATTTATCATCTGTAAAAAAAAATAAAAACCAAATTGAAATAGAAGGAAAAGTCTTCAACCTTAAGCCAATATTGTATTGGTAAAATCTTAAACACTACGTAAATTACGGCTCACTTATATTTCTCTTCTCGTGTCTCTTTATGATTACATACAAACATTTTTATATGAATTTCATTGGATCTAAAATGTAATTATGCATATATCAGTATAAATAAATAAAGTAGTCTGAATCTGAATCTGAATACATATTGTAACATATCCAGTCAGACACTGTTATGACGACGTGATAAAAGGTTCCATGGTGTTGTTTTAGCTGACTCCTCGAAGCTTGTGTCTCATGCTGCGTATATATCTGTGTGTGTTTTTGTGGTCCATGTTTACGGTCTTCTCTACGTCCTCTGTGTGTGTGTGTGTGTGTGTTGGCTGGTGTAGCTCGGACTCTAGCGACAGCCGCCTACCCATAATCCTCAGAGGGGACGGGTCCATGGAGGATACGTACGACGAGAGCTTCGCAGACGAGAGGGAGTACCCAGAGGACACCCACTCGCTCTCCTCAGACATGTAGGCTTGTCACGATAACACCCATAACTGCTCACATGTATCGTTGTTGGTCTCTTTAATTGAGTAAAGCTGGGCTACCTGCATTTTCTGTTTCATAAATCAGTGGTCCCCTACCCCCGGTCCGTGGGCCAGTACTGTACATTTGGTTTTATTATCCAAATCTAAATGATTTTATTGTATTAAGAATCGCGTAAATGTATTTAAGTAAAGAATGTGCTGAAGAGCCAGGACCAAGACATTGCCTTTTGGACAAACACAGCCGCACCAGAGCTGAGGCCAAAAGCTGATGGGGAAAACAATGTACAGTCTACAAGCAAACCTGCAGACTGTAAAGGCTACAGGCTATTTATGTATATATATATATATATATATATATATATATATAGATGTATATATTAGGGCTGTCAAAATTATTGCGTTAACGCACGTTAATTAATTTTTGTCATTAATTGCGTAAAAAAAAAAAACGCAGGTTCCAAATGACTGGCACACCGCGCGCGTGACCACGGTGCAATTGCTGTGAATGGGAGTCCACAGCGTTCTGGGGCAGCTGCGGCCGCTTTGGACAGCGGTTCCCACGTCCAGCCGCTGTGAGCGGCTTTCAACAGCACGGGAGCGCGCAGCCGTAAAGTGGCCATGTACCCAAGGCCATATACACCCACAGGACCATACTCTGCTTGTTGTGTGCGTGTTTTTGCGTGACCAGTTCATGCAATAAATACAGCGCTGCAAGAAACAGTCAATCTCCTCCTTGTCTTCTCCCGAAGCGCAACGAAACTGGGGTACCTAACTTTTGCTTTGCACTACCATTTCAAGTTGGTTGTGCCCAAAAGTAAAATGTTGTGAGCAAATCAAACAGATTTAATGACAGCCATTGGCTGACGTGCATTTCAGACTTTTTACAAATGTCCCATTCTCATCCCTGCTACAAACAATAGTTTGTAGAGGCACAATAATGAAGAGGATCCACAGCCTTTATGAGACAGAGAAGAAGAAGAAAGAGGAGGCTTTAGCAGATGTGGAATATGTCGTGCTGAAAAAATAGTGTCTACTACAGAAACACAGAATGTTAATAATGTTAATGCCATTTTATGTGGATTTATTGTTAGAAATAAACAAATACAGTACATAATATGTACACTATGTTGTCATTTATCTTTCCATTCAAACAACCATTTACAGAAAAATATGGCATCATTTTGCCGATAGTTCAAAATGTGATTAATTACTATTCATTAATTTTTAAGCTGTAATTAACTCGATAAAAAATTTTAATCGTTTGACGGACCAAAAGTTTGGACACACCTTCTCATTCAAAGAGTTTTTTATTTTCATAATTATGAAAATTGTAGATTCACACTGAAGGCATCAAAGCTAGGAATTAACTCATGTGGAATTATGTACGTACAAAAAAAAAAGTATGAAACAACTGAAAATATGTCTTCAAATCTAGGTTCTTCAAAGTAGCACCTTTTGCTCTGATCACTGCTTCGCACAGTCTTGGCATTCTCTTGATGAGCTTCAAGAGGTAGTGACCTGAAATGGTCTTCCAACAATCTTGAAGGAGTTCCCAGAGATGCCTAGCACTTGTTGGCCCTTTCGCCCTCACTCTGTGGTTCAGCTCACCCCAAAACCATCTCGATTGGGTTCAGGTCCGGTGACTGTGGAGGCCGGGTCATCTGACCCAGGACCCACCACTCTCCTTAGTGGACAAATAGCCCTTACACAGCCTGGGTGTGAATCTACAGTCAATAGTTATATTTTTATTTTATTTTATCTATTTAATGGAATTTAGGACATATTCATCAATGTGTCTGCAAACAGCATCAACATAAATATGCTGGAATTAGCATAATAGCTAAATTGCATCCATTGACCTATATATATATATATATATATATATATATATATATATGTCATCAGTGGGGGCGGGTCCCAGCTCAAAAGTGGCCAAAATGACGTGCGCTGACATGCTTGCAATACCACCCCGGGCCGATGGGGGTAGACCCAGAAGAAGAATTAGCCAATGCTAACATATAGCGTTGGCAGACCTCTCGAAAACGTCTTTACAGGATGGACCAAAAGTTGGCTCTTGGCCCAAAGCTCCGTTCCACATGTGTGTCAATGCTGAGGGGGGTGGATTTTTTTGGTCGACTCTAGTTTACTCGCGGTGAATTTTTTAAGTCTCTCGTTCAAATGAATGGAGCTCTCGCCGGCTGACGCATGCGCAGCTGGGTTTTTTCACAATTTTCTTGTGGGTGGGATCACCCGCGGCCATTTTGGATTGCTCCATGAAAGCACTTTTCATGGCCAACTCCTATGAACGGCGGAGATAGGCGTGACTCTGTCCGTTAATATATACAGTCCATGATATATATATATATAATCACCACAGTAAGAAAACGGAGCATTCAAACTCACATGCTATTCAGGAACAGTATTTTGGTAATTATTTTGTGGAGTAATTTGTGTGTATGGCATACTTTATGCTTCAGTTTTGTTGACACTTTTTACAACATTAGTTCTCAGAACCAGGTCAGATATTCTTGAGCAGCCCTGTTGCATATCACTGTCATAAATAAGTCTTAATATAAAATGTTGAGAAAAAATTGGACCACATCTTGTTCGACGTTATATCTTTCGGTTATGTCAAAGAAAGAGCCATGTCAGTCCTGTCAGATTTGCCTCACTGAAAAAGCTGCTCTAAAGAGGTGAGGCCAAAAACAAATGCACTGAGACCCTAAACACAGCAGCAAGTGAGCCATATGTTGAGCTGAGGAGAAGCCAGCACATGTATGTAAATGTACACCCATACAAGGAAAAAGTATTTCCCCTCTTCTCTGATGAGTGGCGCCATGGGAGCCTCAAAACAACTGACAACAACAACCTGAAAGCAAAGTTTGTTCAACATCATGGTTTTCTGGGAAAGATACAAAAAACTATCACAGAGATTTAAGCTTTCAGTTAAACTTTGAGGAACATTGTGAGGATTTGGAAGACCACAGTGGCAGACCAAGAAAAATCTCAGATAAGCAGCAGCGAGAAGTCAGTCAACTAGTGAGGGCGGGTCCCTTAAAAGTGTCTGCAAGCATGTGTGTTGACCTGCTTGTAATTTGGCTTCTTTCCGGTGGTGGCGTACCTGGAAACAAAAGTGTCCAATTAATTCTTATGGTGCCTTTTTTCTTCTGAAAAACGGCTTCACAGCCTGGTCCAAAAGTCGCCAAGTTCCAGATGCGTCTCAAAGCTGAAGGGTTTATGCACTGTGGACACTTTTGTACGAACGCATTTTTTCAGCCATTTGTCAGGCTGGATCCATCCAACGCAGATGATACAGTCGCCACTCCGAAAGCTGCTTGTGCCAGCAAACGCATGCACAAAAGGTACATGTTGATTACACATACATTTCAATGGAAGAAATAGGCGTCACTGCTTTACACTTTATGGAGTCAACCCACAGACCAGGTCAAAAGAACTAGAACATCAGCTACTGCAGATGGTACAACAAGGGCCGTTATCCATGGAGGAAAAATAACAGCATTCCAAGAAAAACTTTTGCTACCTAAAGTAAAATTTGATGGTGGTTCCATCATGATGTGGGGCTGTTAATCTTTAGGGGCGCGTGGATTCCACTCAATATCAGAAGATTCTGGAGAACCATGTCGAGAAATCAGTGACAACCTTGGAATTGCAGCAGGGCTAGATCTTTCAAAAAGGCAACGACCCTAAACACTGCTCAAAATCTGCAAAGGCATTCGTGCAGAGGAACAAGTAGAGCGTTTTGGATTGTCCATCTCAGTCTCAGACTGAATGATCAATGATCAGTAACGCACACACACCAGACTCATGCTTGGAAATGTGGTGAAGTGCTAAGAGTATAACACTAGTGTGGCATTTTACAGCCACGGCTGCCCCACTGTGGCACCTGGTACTCCTGCATGGTGGTGATGAGCACAAGTGAAAATCCCTTTTTCTTTTTTATCTTTGTAAGCGGACTTATGAATCTCTCTATCGTGACAGGCCTACTGACATGTCCTGTCTGGAGTCATGTGCTTTGTGTTGTGTATGCACAGCCAATGTGCGGTGCGTGTGCTTGCGCATGTGTGCACACTCCGGTGGTGGTTCTAGGATGATGTGGATGTGTGTTCTTCAGGCTGGTGTATCAGGATGACACGTGTAAGCAGCTGACCCCCATGGAGGAGGTGGAGGAGGCAGGGGAGCGCAGGACTGGAGGAGGCTGGCAGTCCCCCAGGAGAGTGTTCCTATGTCCCACGTCTCTTGGTGAGGCCCATTGATCTACACAGGAGCCTACACACACTCACGCACACACACACACACACTTTGACCATGACGCAGAGGCCTTGCCCGTTTTCGGGTGATTTGTTTTCATTAATTACAAAAATATAAGAAGCTAGTAACGTCGTAGTATCATCAAGTACCAGTAGTTATAGCTTGATCTTGATAGTACATTCTAAAGATTTTCCAATGGGACAAGAAAACATGTATTTATTATTTTTTGTGACTACATCTTGACTACCACTTGAATGCTGGAGGACTGTAAATTACCTTTCACAATAATATTAAAAAGAAAAGAAAAGAAATAATAAAAATCATTTCAAGGTCTGTAGGACGTTTTCCTATCAAGTGAGAATTTGCTAACATAAATGTTTATTTATGTTTTTTCCACTGGTAAATCTTGTTTTAACACAGCCAAATGAAAAATGAAAGTTGTATCAAAATCTCTTCCAGTATTATAAAATGGATGTAAAAGTGATTGTGGTCAGGGTTTGGGTGTTCACCATCACCCACCAGTGATACGTCTGCTTTAATCTTGTTTCCTTTAATGGAGTCTTGATGCCAGAGATGTGTGTGTTTCAGGGAGGAGAGCGTCCTTCCACCTGGAGTGTCTCAGGAGACACCCAAAGCCTGATGTGTCACAAAAGACAGCCGTCCCTCTGCACCTCGTACATCACCAGGTGTTTACATCATTCAGACCTCACTGCTTTGCTGACTGTCCCTACTTACTTACTTACTTACTTTACCTGCTTCTTTTTAGGCTTTGGCTGTGGCAGGGCTGAGTCCACTCCTCAGACGGAGTCATTCTCCCACTCTCTTCAGTCGCCTGTGCTCCACGCCTCCAGCCAGTCCCACTGGTACGTCCCATGTCTGTAGTACTGTCCACACTGCCCAGTGCCATATATACTATAGTATACAGTATATGTCATATAGTATACTACATACTATATAGTGTATAGTATACAATATACTATAGTATACCTCACACACTGTTTACTCACTGTTCACTATAGAACAGCTGTCAGAAAGTCCTGACTGATAGTGTGTGTCTATATCTCTTGTATGTTACTTAAATGTGTTTGTGTTCCGCAGCCTATGGTGGTGAAGCCTCATACCAGCAGGTCCCCTCCTTGAGATTAGAGGGCACTAGCTCCCATGAAAAGCTCAACACTAGTTTGCCCTCTGTGAACTGCGGGCCCTGGTATAGTAAATTATCTCTGGCCTGTGTGTAGTGCTCGATGGTGCTGTTTACACTCTTGTTGTGCTGCAGGTACAATGATAGTAATGGGAACAGTCGGACACCCACCCCCAGCACCTCCGGAGTTCCAGGCAGAGCGCCCCGACCCGTGTCCCTCACAGTGCCCTCCCTGCTGGGCACAGACTCCTGCTCTCTGTCCCATGGCAGTGCAGGCAGCCTGGTGGAGGCCGTAAGTGGCACGTTGTTTCGTGCATTATAAGTGGACCGTCATGACTTCACGTGTCTTGTCTGTTGCAGGTATTGATCTCAGAAGGCCTGGGCCAGTTTGCACAGGACCCGTCCTTCATTGAGGCGACCAAAGCCGAGCTGGCCGACGTGTGTGACATGACCATCGAGGAGATGGAGCATGCGGCTAACAACATCTTGAACGGGAACACGGGTGCACACACCCAGGGCAGCTCCACGCCTCACTCCAGCCTGCGGCCTCACAGCCCAGCCGCACACAGGGACCAGAGAGACCAGCGGGACCAGTGGAGCAGTGAGACCGCTCCAGCCTCTGAGGAGGAAAGGCAGGAGCTGCTGGCCCCGAGCACCAGTGTAGAGGAGGATGAAGAGGAGGACAGCTCTCTGCTGCGGCCCGAGGCTCAGAGGAACAGTGGGCTCATAGAGGATGATGAGTGTGTGACCAGTTTGTAGTCAGTCCTCTCTGTGGTGCAGACTGAGGCGCTTATAGCGCCACCCGGAGGCCCATCACTGCCTCTGCCCCGGGACACTCAGGCAGGGACTGTGGCGCAGTGACCAGCCCAGTACAATGTTGGTCGCGTGTGCTTCTATGTGTGTACGTTTGTAGTAAAGTATAAGCTCTATACTCTCTTCTACTGCGTGTATGCGGTGTGTCTGTGTCTCTAAAGTGCCTCACAGTTTGTCCTCAGACGGTGAAGAGCAGACAAGAAGCATTAAGGAAAGAAACAGGAGCATTTTTTGGACTTCCTGCTATTGATCTGGTTTTATTTCCTCCTTTTCTTTGTGGTTTATGTGGCACCCCAAGGTGTGGGGACAGACAAGCTCTGGTTATGAAGCGCTGTATTGAACATGGGACCAGGCGCTCCCTGTTCGTTCTCATCTCTCCTCCTCTTCCAAAGCTATGGGGCCTGGAGCACAGCCCTGCCAGCCTGGGAGCCGCCTTCACCGCGTTCTGCTCCCAGACCACACGGGAACCACCACACCCAGGGTGTCGGACAGAGACATAAGCCCCTGGTCTGGCTCTGGTTTCCTGAGCAGCTACTGCAGAGCCAAGGCCTGGCTTCTGCTCATACCTCCACCTGCTCCTCTCTGCTCCATCCTCTTCACCAATGAGTCCACCTTTAGTTTTGCATCAGAGACTGGGCGTGCGCCACATGTTTTGAGGAAGAGGATCAAAACTATCTAATTTGACGAGAATTTCTTCAAAATCTCTCCAAATATTTCCTCCTCTTTAAAACATGGCATTCTCAGCCACATCCTCTCTCTCCTATGTATTTAAAACTTGTATTGTGAAAAACTGGCTCGCCATGATATGTTGTTTCTACAATTTATCTTTGGGGTGCCGGTCTTATTTACATGTCTTTTTTGCTCAGTTTCTTTTAGGAAATGTTAAGAGGTTTAAGTATTGAAGCAGGGCATAGTGTAGATTACTCTATGGGTGTCTGCGTTTTTGTAGTACCAAGACAAACGCGTGAATGAGCGACTGAATGAATTTTAATGTATTTTACCGAGCGGGGGGGGGCTTTCTCTCGATTCGTATGCACCTTTTACAGATTGTATCTATTTATTTATTTATTTTTCCCCAAGAGGAGAGAAATGCGTGACTGGTTACTTGTATGCGTTCATGCAAAAGATTTTAAGCCTAGACAGTGATTTTAAGGTAGCATTCAAGACGTTTGTGTGTGTGCGCGCGTGTGCGTGTGTGTGTGTGTGTCTGATTATACGGGCCTCCTTGACACAGGGTTTCCATGGACAGACATGCTTCCAAAGTGATTTTGTTTTGTATAGTTTGACTTTAAGACAAGCTGATAAAAAAATTGCATTGCTTTACTTTTTTTGGTTTTTTTTGTTTAATTGAGCAACAAGCCAACATCCAATTACTATACTGTTTAGAATGTACTTCTGAAGAGTAACAGTACAAGGACCAGAAATGTACTGCCATTATCAAGGCAATGACTGAACTTATATATAGATGCTGCAAGATCGTATAGCCTCAAACCATCACCATTTTGTAATAATTTTCATATTTAAAGGGTCAGAAAATGCGTGGAAAGCAAAACAAATGGATCACAATAAACCCTAACTTTACTGAAAAATTAGCCTATAGGTTTTTATCCATTTATTTAACTGGTAGAGTGTGAAGAGAAGCATTTAAATACTAGATTTTCTCTAGGTCCTTTCACAAAATATATAATTGTACATTTTGATGCTTTGGGGCCCGAGTGGGTTTAAAAGGAGGCGCATGAAAGAGCCATACTCCTGACATGAATATGCAAATTGAATGTGAGCAAACAATATTCTTGCTTTGAAACATAATTTGTTGGAGAAACTTGACCATTTTTATATCCACTGTAACTGCTTTATTGTAAGGTGTCGGGTGACATCACAGTATTGCGCTAATTGGAGGAAGGTATACATTTGTATTGTTCATCTGGGAATGTTTTTTTTCTCGGGATACAGATTATTAGAACAGTTCACCCAGAAAAGCATTTACCATATAATGTGTAGTATGAGCTTTGGTGAAAAGTGATACTTTTAAAGAAGACATAACATGCACAAAGGGCTTCCCACGCTCTACAGTTGTGCTCCAATTTATCTATTCGCCGCAGTTCCACTGTTTTTGACTTTATAATAATTTTAGATCAATATAGATTTAATCTGTACTAAATATGTATTGTTGAGCCTCTGGTGTCAATCTTCTTTGTGAAAGTGTTCCTGCCCTACTTTTGTTGTTGTTGACCGAGTAATAAGGCCATAAGTTTATTTGTATTGCACAGTTCATACACAAGTGCTTATCACATTTGATTATACACAGATATAATAGAAATAATCACCGTACATTAAAAAGAGTGAAGATACAATCCAGATTTGTACATTGCAGAAGCCTGTCTTACAGTTTCAAAAAGACAGTTTCAAATTTTAGCTGCATACATCTGAATAATGAACTTGAACTTGAACTAAAGCTCCAAACTGTTTTATTACTGTGTGAGTTTGTTTAAAACTAAACAAGAGCTGATAACACCATAAAGAGCTGTCTAGCCGTGTAAAGCTGTTACCACCAAATGTGGGCTGTTGTAAGCACTGCTCTTCCCTTTAAAATTGTCCTTGATATTTAGAAGACTTATTTTAAAAGTCAGAAGTTTGTTTTGGACTAGTCTTCCCTGTGGTGAATAGTCCAGGGCATAAATATTGGCTCTGCAGAATAAAAAACACCCATATATTATGATTAAAGATTCAACAAAGCAATGTTATGTCTTCTTTAAATACACAACCAAAAATAATGGTTTTGTTAATGAGGCTAATAAAGAGTTAGCCACTCCCTGTGCTTTCTACAGTATTACAGCTGTGCTCTTCCCTCCTAATGTCAGGTGGTTAGGCAGTGTCCGTTTGTGTTTGGTCTGAAACCGCAGCATGTATTCGGAGTGTTGGAACTTGTGGAGGAGTGAGTGCTGCGTCCCATGAGATATGCAAAAACAATGCAATAATATGACTGTGTTCATGGTCCTGTAGTGATGTGTCTATACTTGAAATTCAGGTACATTAACAGTGCAGTATAGTGAATATATAGAGGTATTTATTTTGAAACTTGTGCCAGGATGTCCATTTCCACTTTAAACGAGCACTATGTCACCTTTCCTGTGCAGGGGTCCGCCATCTGCTTGTAACCATGGAGATGTATGCTATAGTTTTTACCTACATGTTCTCTAGCCTGTAGCATATGCACGGTTAGTGTCCAAATACAAAGTATGTATACGATCAGAAGCTGCCCCACTGTACGCAGCATAAGTCTATCCGACACACGCAACACAGACAGATAAGATATAGTTATTGACTTTGACACGTGACAGGGTTCGTCTTCAATTGAAAGCACACAGGCGGGAGACATAAAACTTTCATCATGACATCTTGGCTCTTAAATACTGTTCATTTTTGCATTCAAATTTTCTGTGGCTTTTGCCCTAATCAGCGTCAGTGTAGCTGGCATACACATGAGCTGCACAGACATTTTTAAAAGTCCGTACAGAATGAAGAATCCTCAAAATACGAATCACGGACACTGCTTTTTTCTGCCAAGTATTGAAATTCAATTCATTTTGCGAATCACTGCAGTCAAATTACAATCTTTACAAGCACCACCTGAGATGTTTCAATATCAAAGCAGAATGCAATTTCACACTTCTACCACCAGGTGGAAGTGCTCATTCTATTCATTATCATTGCCATTACATTTTAACAACAAGCAGGTGGTGGATCCTCCTTCAAAAAGGTTCCACAGTGCTCCTTCCGCATTATTGCGTATGAAGTCAGAAGTTAATGATATTTGTGTGAAAATTGTTATTTTAGTGTGAAAAGAATCTCACCTTTTCTGACTTATGTATACTTTGGTATCTCTTTTCTTTGGTTAGGGCTGCATGGGTCTAACATTGCTATGAGTTGTTTCTGTTGATTATGGACTTAAAGTAGCTATTTTTTTCCATTCAAGACAGTGAAACACACAGGTACTGTACGGGAGAGTGACTGTATTATATTGTGGGTCAGCAGTTTCTTTTTAGGCTTGATATTTATTCATGTGTTCACTTTTAGAGGTGGGTAGAGATGGCAATAGTTACATTTTGCCAAAGGGGGAAATGGCTGAAATTTGACACGTCTCATTGAAAACTATGCAGGACCAGATTATATATGTGAACATACACTGTACTGTCAGATACAAGTTTGTTCATAAAGGTTTCAATACATTTATGATACAAATGGACAAACACTTACACTAGCCGAACTAAAAAATAATAAAATTTTCTCTTGTGGCAATCGTGATAGCTAACTTTGTCACTGTACCCACCTCTGTGTCCTTTTGTCTGTAGGGTATATTGAGACAGCAGATCGGCATTGACCAAAAGGAGGTTGGAATGACTACAACATGTCTACATTATGGCTTGTTTCTCAAGACAATCGAGACGCAGACGCTTCAGGCTTTGTAAGGTCGGAAGCTGGGCGTGTTTGAGAAGTTTTATTGAAGAAGGCTTTGATTGAAGCCAGTATTATAACCAAGTAATGTCTATTAGGTGCATGGGTCATGTTGTGAATGATATCGTGTCTCACCACTTGCCAACGATTGTATATTTTTCTATGCCATGTGAATATAAGTACGAAGATGTAGTATTATCTCCAGTATGTTAAGAAAAAGGCTTTGGATATAGTCGTGTTGTAGGCCTGCTGTTCTGGAGTCAGTATGGGATTTTTGCGTCTTTTGGATTAAATGTGCTTGAAGAGAATGTGGCAGAGGCTCAGGAGGAAAAGAGAAAAGTTTTGGAGACAATATAAGACCAGTGCATGACATTCACTTTGAGGGTAAGGGTAATTGATTAGAAGACCACAAATACAGCCCAAATGCTGATTCATTGATTATAGTTGATATTTAAAGGGACTGTAACTGAAATTAGACACACAGCAACTGTAGCTTTGCCCTGGACCAGAAATTTAAAAGCAGCTCCTAGTTTGAAAATGACAATAAAATATAGTAATTTCATCCCATGCAAAGCAGTAAGTGCCATTAAAGCACTGTTAGCGTACTAGTTATTGTTAGCAGTGGCCAAACTCTGCTTAGAACGCCTTTTGAAAAAGTATTTAGAGGATATGTTTGTACGCAAATAATCGGTGTACATCATAACCTGAACAATTGTTGTGATTTGTGTCAAGATGTGAAAGGCAGCAGAGGACGGAAAAAACACTAGTGACCTTTTCCAGAGAGGCGGTACTTTCAGCAAAGTCTCCCTAAATACTTTGTCAACAAGGGACACTGTATGATCTATTTTCAACAATGATGTATTTAGAACAGTGCCTCCTGTTAGCTGTAGTGAGATGCGGCAGTAGAATAGATAGACCAATGATGAAGGACCACAAGGATTTGAATAGTTTTGACAAATAAGGAAGCTGCAAAGGTGGGCGGGTCTAACCAGTGCCAGTCCTCAAAAGGTTTCGTCTCTCTTTACAGTCCGCAAAGTAACTGACATACACTCAAAGCAAGCATAAAGACTGTCATCATTTAAAACTGTTCCTGAACATGGCGCTCCACTGTATTGATCCTGTATTGATCCTGTATTGATCCTGTATTGATCCTGTATTGATCCTGTATTGATCCTGTATTGAGCTGTAGCCAAATGGAGCAAAGGTTCATACAGACTTGGACTCGTGCTGTTTGTTTGTCCTTCTGTAGCACTGTTCACGGTTTAGAAACTCCGACACCAAAACAAGCGCTCCCACAACAACCATGTAGCTTCAGCGCTTCCTTCCAAAACAACTTGAATCACGTCTTGGTAAAAACAGTTAGAAAATAACGCCCTGGTGACCGGAGCTTGGCACGAGCAGGACTTTAAAGTGGACAAAACGTGTAAAATGGATTCTTTGATGATTCTTGTTATTCTTGTAATTATAAATATTAAAGGGACTGTATGTAATATTTTCATTCTTAATTACATATTCAATATGTAATTTATAATGGCATGTGCACAACATGTACAAATCATATATGACCTTGTCAGACAAAATAATGTACATGATGTTTAATGATGAGATAGCCTGTCTCAGATAGCCTTTATTCATCCCTTAATGGGGACATTTTGATAATTTTAAGAAGATTATTCAATCAGAGAGCAGAATGAGGCTCTCATTTGGGTTGTCAGTTTGTTTGAACTAAATAAATAGTCATAGATTATACAGTTTTTGCTGTTTCTAGCTAAACCCCAGCAGGTCGATTGCATCAGTAATCAGTGCTTAGGCGCTGGAAGATTCCGGCAACAAAAGCGTGACTTTAATGACTTTATTTCACCACTATGTGCACATGTTACGTACAATCCCTTTAACTTTTCAAACAATCGAATTTGTGGATGGGGTGTTTTCTTTCTCTCTAACATGGTTGAAAAACAAGCCAGAGAAGGACACATTATATGATTGCATATCCAAAGACGTTTGGATACATTTTTATGTAGTAATGGGGCTGTCGACAGTTCAACTGCATTTTGTCCAAAGCCATTTTGTGGAATCATCCCGGTCTGAGCATTAACCCTACTGTGACTAGAATACAGCTGAATTTAAGCCATTCACTTTGTTGAAATGTATAATACTTAGTTGCTCAGCCCAATTTCAGTTGAAATAAAGCTGGGATGCCTAACTTTAAAACCACAAAAACATCAAATCCGGTGTTCCTCACATCTATAACAGCACATGTGTAGTTTTGGCCTCTGTCACATCTTTAGACCAGCCTTTTCAGACAGAAAAGCGACATTGAGAGGACCGCCCTCACAGCTCTCAGTCCGAAGAGTCAAGTAGTGACTCGCAAGGCTTTTGCTTTCAAGTATGCAAAAGATGTTTTATTGGATTAAAATGAAGCATGTTTGATTTGTTTTAGTGGGCGTATTATTTATGATACAAAGTTAGGTAACTCAGCTTTAAGAGTCTTTAGTTGATATAAGCCTTAATAATGCGTGAAGTAAATTTACCAAACCAGTTGAAAATTATTTATGTTTTGTGAATTTTGCAACTATAATTTGGGATGAAAGAAGTTTTTAAACTTAAAACATTGTATTCATTCATTCTTGGTATACATTAGTGCAAATAGTACAATATTTATAATCCTTTGTTGATATAATCCTTTTGTTTTGCCTACGGCACACATACTTACTGCACATACATTTACATACAAGCAGTATTTGCCAGAGTTGCACCTATACTATTTGAAATAATCCTCACAAGTAAGATTGGCTGGAGGAGAATAGTTAGACCAATGTCTATCAAGGATTTGAAATCATTGTGTCCAATCAGAAACCGGCGCTTGCATTCGAAAAACCTCTCTCCACAATTATTCTTAGTTCATGTTTTATTAGGGGCGAGTTCATATGAAATATGGTTTTGTTTGATAGATTTGTGAACAAAGCACTTTTTCCAGTTTTAAACTTAGAATGAGATGGACATGGCGTCGGGCCGTGGGACGTAGGTGGCGCTGTTGCAGATATTTCTATTTTCTTGTCAGACATTAACGGGCGGTTGTCTGGATGCGAATATAGTATTTAAAGAAGACTATTTTGAATACACATTTTATTTTTGGTGTTGGTAAAGTATAAGTAAAGAGATTTAAAGCTGAAGGTGTGAGAGGAAAGTTAAGAAAAGGTCTATTTCTCCTAAAGTATAATAATTATGAAATCATTTATGGGTAAATGTCAATTATAAGGTGGTTGACTGGATATGAATGGAGGAAGTGTGTGTTATTAAAACATAATCAAAAGTGACTGAAATTAGGATATTATTAAAGCGTTTACCAGCCACCATACTTCCCCAAATTAACTCCAGAAATATGTTCAAGCTAATATTCTCAAGAAATCAACTGCATTTATTCAATAGATTCAATGGAAACAAAATCCCTCAGCAACAGTACAACGGCTTCTTTCACATAATGCTGCGCTTCAATGCAAAGATTAGTCTACAATAAAAGTCCTGGCATGAATTAAAGGGACAGTATGTAATATTTTCACTTTAAGTTACATCTGATTTAGCCACAAGTTTGAAGTGGAGTAATCCCTAATTCCAAATACAACGGACACGGTTGGGTCATTTGGGTTTCCAGTCTGTGAGGTGAAAGTTTGCTGGTTTTAAACAAATTTCACTACAAATAGCATCACACATTTGTTGAAACCAGATTTTAAAAAGTAGTATTTGATTGTAAATGTGTTGTCGTTTTTAGAAGAGTACATATTACACACTGTCCCTAGGTGTAGTCTTGGCTGGCTTTTTTCAAGGTTGACCAGTTTACATTGGATAGAAACGACAGAGAGTACGCTGCAGCTCAGAGAATGTATACATTATATGAAACTGAATATTTGCAATGATAGAAAAAAAGGAATATTTACATTTTCTATTGGAATGTAACTTGTTAGAATGCAGGTGAACACTATCAAACCTTGACATAATGAAGCCTATTCTTAAAATGGGATCATATTGATTTCAATTCAAGTAAGTTGATAAAAATTGGCATTTCATGTTTGGTTTTATTGCATGATATTGTTCTTGGTTTGAAGGAAATGGTTGGTAACGAGGCCTTTAGCTCCTTTGTTCGAAACGTCGCTCTTTTCATCTCTCTTTCATCTCTCACCAGTCTGACACAGGGCTCTCGTGGGGTCAAGGATTGAGACAAAATACATCCAGATTGTTGCAGACTTAATAAAGTTGATACACATTTTTTTATATATATATATAGGGGACATAACCTAAATATGGACTGTTCTCAGCTTTTAGCCATGTTATAGTTGTTTTCCCTTGTCATTTACATACAAAAAGCTTTTTGACGCAATTCACACACGTTTTATAGAATCCTCATATACAAAGACTGCCATTACTCTCCTCTCAGTCCTCCTTTAGCCCTTCCCTGGGATTTACTTACTTTCTTTGGCAATTTTCACATGCAAGGATTTACCCGATAAAAGTAAAATAACATAAGCAGCCTCTGATTTCCTGATGCTTCACCAAAGGAGCGGGGCAAAGGTCTAAGGCGACTGAAACAGTGGTCATTTCTTGTATATCATCCTTGTTGCTCAATCTAAACATTTCATATAAGCCATATACGTAACAAAGAGGACTGTACGATAGACCGTTCATTTCATGGAGAACGGAGGTTATGTCCCCACTCTTTGCTTTCTTGTTGTTTACAAGCCAAAATGAAATCCATAGAATAGTCCATAACCTTTTCATGTGTCGCTGGTGAATGGATGGAAGTGTGTGAAAAATAATTCCACAATATTGTCCTAATGTCTGGCTGGCTGCACCATGAATGACTTAGTGCAGTTGTCCTGTGTTGAATGTAGGCCTGCCCTGTGTCCCATGTGGATATGCAGCCTCCTCTGAAGCACTCGTGACCTGACCTGTTCCTTTCTACACTGATGCGTGTTCAAAAGCCATGGGAGTCTGTAGTTTTCCCAGTGATGGTCCCAGAGCTGCGGCGGCAGAGGGACCTGCCGTCTTACTGCTGTAGCACTGGAGGCTGGCAGCCATTTTCACTTGAGTTTTTTGACATAAGCCACTCCCCCTCGCCTTCTGGGGGGATATCATTGGTCCTGAGACTCCAGTGCGACTGCGTGGGCTCGGTTTCTTCTCTTTCTTTTCTAAAGGAGAGACGTTGATAATTTTGAGTCATTAATTTCTTCATTTTCGATTATAGGAAGAGAAAGCATACAAAGTAAATAGATCAGAATATGAATTCAATCACTTTTCTATGCCTATTTTCAATAAAAAGTGTAATAAAAAACAAACAAAAAGTTTATTTGTAAATAAGTCATGTACAGTTTGTATCTGTAAGTTGTCAGTCTGTCATTGGTGACAGAGTCTGTCTTGCTTATAACGCACGCTACCAGTAAATAAAAAAGGAAAAAGTATATTTAGACTGTATGGTCCCTTGAAAGCAAGTTTTAAATGAATATCTGATGTATATTCCTGTAACATTGCATTTTTATCTGAGGAATGATGTTATTAAAAAATGCAAATAAATTGCATTTCCTACTCTTGTGTTTTTTCACTTCCCAAAGGTGACCTCTCGCACAATTCATTTTCTGATGGGGCTCTTTATTTTATTTAAAACATCACTTGGGGGTTTTAAAGACTTCGACAATAGTTAAAGGAGACACCACTGATCAGCTGATCACTGATCTTGAGGCATGAGACTAAACTCTCCTTACTGTGTCAAAGCTAGAGTACTTCACTTTGAAACTAAGGATTCCCTATGTAATAATGGTGATCACTGTCCAACTATTGCTCACTCTCAAAACAGTTATGTTCTGTAGCTAGTTTTCACATGAATGTATTTAATGCCAGTGTTTGGAAATACTAACATCATTTATTTTTAGTTCATATTTTAACCTGACTTACTTTTCACAGTGCTGTTTGAAAGACCCAGGACATGCGGAAGGCCCCCTGGTTCTCCCCAAGATCCCACCAGATAAGCAGACTGCCTGTCTGTGTGTAGTCTGGGCCTCCGCTCAGACTGCTGCCTCCACAATACGGCCCCAGATAGAGTGGAAGAAAGTGACTGCATACAGAAGACAGCACTGAAATATGTTCATAATATGAATTTGATTGTTCTAATTATAGTCATAGATATTGATAATATTTCTGAACAGGAGAAGTTGGAGGAGGCTTAATTTTAAAGTGCAGTCTTACTTGCAGCCAGCAGAGGGCAGTCACATAATTGAATGAGAGTTCGTCTAGTTCCAAAGGGCACTTGTGTTTGTGTTATTTTCCAAACAGAAGTTAGTGTGTGGTATTATTTCTATTGACCTGGAAAAGAGATGTTGGTGTTCGGGTTGGTAGTGACAGACTCCTCCATGTTGTTCTCAGAATGTAAACGAAGTACAGTGTGTTTACAGAAGGTGACGCGTGCAGAGACATGCACCGTGCGTCTGGGTGGAGTGCCTCAACACTCACTGCGCTCATCCCTGGACCTGCTGCTTCACATCACATGCGCCGCGTCCAGGATGATCTGCAGGAACTTTACTCTTCTTTAAACTTCAAACAACCACAGCAGCAGCAGCATCAGGAGTCATGGGGAACAGACGCCGCCCTGCACCGGGGAGAGCCGAGGACTTCAGCTACGTCAGCCCCGTAGTCAAATACTTGCTCTTCTTTTTCAACTTTCTCTTCTGGGTGAGTGCAAATCATTCCAAACAGAGATCAAACGTTGCATAGACTTTGGTTACGTTTGTTTTAGAAAGTCAAAGCTGATTTGTCACAATAGAAAAGGCAAAATGTCGTGATCAAATCAGACCACAACATGAGATTTTTACCTCATTAATAAAACGTGACATTATACATACTATGTATAATGTCACGTTTTATTAATGAGTCTTGTGAGTCATCATTTGACTTCAAACACACAAACACACAAAGCTTTGGGCTGAGAGCTGATTGGCTGATAGAGACCCAAGTAGAAAGAAGCCCCTCCAGCAGGTAACTTGTTTAGGCCAAAGTGTATTTGCCTAAAGTTAAATTGTAACTGCAAAAGGGAAACCAGAAAATCAGTAATCCAGTAAGGCTGTAGTATAATTCCTCCACACATACAGACCTCCCATAATGCTCCTAAATCTGGTTTGAGTGCAGCTTTGTTTTATTATCGCTCGTTACAGAAAAAAAAACTTTCTCACAAAGGTACAGTTGGTTGATAGAAAAAAGGGGGGCTTATTTTTTTCTAATTGATATGACAGCTTTACAATATGAATATTCTAAAACCCCAGGTTGTACTGAAAAAAACAAAGTATACTGCTTGACTCTGCATCAAAAGATAACTGTTTTATGAGCAATTATACACAAAGAAAACCAGGCCAGGAAAGTTCCCCAAAAATTACCCTAGACTGTTTTTTTTTTTGTTTTTTTTTTTTTGTGGGAACGGGTTCACGTGCCACAGAGGTTTTTCTGTGATATCACAGACTCATCCTTTTATCTCTCAGAGATAATTGGTTTCAAGAACGTGTGGATGTTTTCTGAGCTGAATGAGGTATTATGGACATCAGGTCAAATTAAAAGAAGAATATAGAAGAATTGTCTTCTTCTGGGTGGATCATTTAGACTATTGGTCCTCCTAATTGTCATTCATTGTGGTGATGCGTTTTAATAGGTGTTCTCCCTAAGATGGTTCTTTCCTAAAATGTAGTAACATCCTCCTATACCAAAACTTATTGTTCAGAAAAGCTCTCATATGTGTACATATATGCACTCATATGAGATGTCTTACAAAAGGACAATGATTCACTGTCCCTTAATTCATCTGCTTTGTTGAATTATTTTTCATTGATTCATTGACTCCTGTAAACCTGACTGAACAAACACAGTGTGGATTTGTGGGTCAGGTGCTCAGAGTTGCAGTCCTTAGTCCACCCCCTGCTCCAGTGTTCAGGCGTGTTCAGACCACACAGCTCCATTTACAGGAATGCACTGTTTGTGATGCCTTCAGGCTCCCCTCCCACACACTCAGGAAACTGCAGATCCATGTAGAACCATTAATAACAATATTTTTCAAATGCACAGGTGTAAAATATTCTACATTCTAAAATGTAGAATATTGTTAAAAAATGTATTGTTTATTTCTATAGTTCAATGTGAAACCAATATACTGTAACATACTACATGCACACATGCAAAGCCTTATAATATTTGATGATGATGATCGTGTCTTAAAGTCCATTATCAAACATTTTTGGGAGGAGAGATTTGTCACTCCAGGGGCGAAGGAATTAGTTTCCTACGGGTACAACTCCCTCCTGAGAAACACCACTTTTGGTCTGGCACAGTTGAAAAAATAAACCCTTGAGCGTGGGTCGTCTTCACACCCCTGTGGCTTCTTCTCCTAAACTACCTCCCTGGTGGATGGTCTGGAACGAGGAGGTGGGTTGCAGCACAAGTTAAGCTGCTGCTTGGATGGTGCTTCATTGTGATATGAAGCTGTTGCAGGGCAGTGCCTGATTGCTGCAGGTGAGGATTTTTGTGTGGCGCTGTGGCTGCGTGTGATTGACTGATGCTGTTGCTGTGGGCAACAGTGGGAGGACTTTGAGCGTTGTGAGCTTAGTTCTCTTGTTGACAACTATTTCAATAACTGATTAGTTGTGATCAAAAGAATAATCAGTTTCCAAAATATTTTTTTGCCTCAAAATAAATGTTATCAGCCAGTTATAGCAAGACATTGAAATTGAAAGCCTATTTAGTAGTGAACATTGATTTCTTTGTGAATAAACAATATAAAGCACAATATACCTTCAGCTCTGACTCCAGGTCGCATGCAGCTGAATGGATTGAGTGTGAGTGAAAAGCTGCTGTGAGACAGTAACCTGAACTGTGTGTGTGTGTGTGTGTGTGTGTGTGTGTGTGTGTGTGTGTGTGTGTGTGTGTGTGTGTGTGTGTGTGTGTGTGTGTGTGTGTGTGTGTGTGTGTGTGTGTGTGAGCGTGGGAAGTGTATTCACTTGTATGCAGCAGAGAACTTTTGTCATATAGGGCTTTGTCCAAGCCTTCACTTCTGCTTTACCCTGTTTTAGTCATTAAAAAGAAAGATAGATTGATACTTTTTTGATCCCTGTTGGAGAATTTCAGGTCTTCAGCTGCAAAAACGCATCCATCCATGCAAACAGAAATATACATAATTCTAAAAAGTTACTTACAATAGTGCACATATTCAACTCAGTCTGATCTGTCTCATAGCAGTAGTAGACTGTAGTCTTATAGCCAAAAGAACAAAGGATTTCTTAAAACTGCAGTGCAGTGATACAAGCCTGTTGCTACTGTCAAGATGTGAGGCACATGTTGGATTCTCTATTCTCTATCTGGATATATTCAGTGAACAATATTCCCTTTATGGGACGTTAACAGTTGAGTAGAAATACAACATCTTGCAAGGACATTGTATTGTTACTTTGTAAAAAAGGGACAATAGTTAGACAATATTTCAGAATGGGAACACTGTCCATCTATTGGCAATGAAGATAAGAAGCACAGCTACTGATGAAGATTCTGGGAAGGCCCAACACAGGGGAAAAGCATCTAAATCTGTTAGATGCTAATACGGAGTCTGCACTAAGGCCATGTTTAGGCCTAGACGCAGAAAACTAAATGAATGTTGCAATTTGTTTTTCATTGACTGAGTGACATCTGTTTTATCTTTTGAAAGAGAAATTTCCTCCCTCCTGTATTCTCGCTGGTGCAGCTTAAACAACAAAAGTAAAATGAACTGAACTTTGAACTAGTTCAGAATTAAAATTGTGAACTTTGAATGTGAACTGTTCACTTTGAGCATGTATGAACTGAACTTGAACTAGTTCAGAAAAGCTGTGAACTGGCACAACACTGGTCTTGAGTTACTCACGCACACACATATACACACATACACACATCCATACCTTAGCACACGTGTGGAAAAACACATTCCTGCATACACAGAGGCATCAACACACACACACACACACACACAGCTTTTTTTACGAATAATAAAATAAAATACCTTTATGTTGTGTTGTCCCAGATCATCGCCCTGGTGATGGTGGGCATAGGTGTGTATGCACGGCTGATGAAAAACGCAGGTGAGCAACAAACACTCTCTTTTCTGCATTTTGGACTCTTAGCCCCCATTTAGACAGAGACACTGTGGAGACGGTGCAAAGCAATTAGCAAAAACGACCAGGCTTCTTATTCAAGTGCACAGCGTCTACACCACGTTGGAAAACAATGTAGTTCTAGTGCTCGGCCTGTAGTTGGCAGCATTGGCAGCAGCAGAACCACTTCCTCAAAAATATTCTCCTCAGGCCACGGCAAAGACGGGAAAGAATGCACCAACATCATTCTGCATTTAACAGCAGTTGCGGAAATTGAAACTACAGCGTTGCGTGGTTTGGACAAACGAAGGAGTAGAATCCTCCTCTGTGTAGCGCTCGAAGCACACGTAGCATTAGTGGACTTTCCCTCATTGTTGTTTAGGTTTGTTCTTGGCTACAGCGCATGTCCAAATGTATGAGCGGGGAAGTGGAGGTCATAGCAGGCAGAGAATTCACACCTTTTTCCTCAAACGGCTGTGAAACAGTACCCCACTGCGCAGCGTATCTGTTCTGTTCCATTCTGGAGGCTGTTTCTCAACGCTTGCGTTTTCACCCACCTGAAACCGTTTCCATGTCAACAGAAGGCCAAACTTAACTCTACCGATTTACTGTTGCAGCGTCTCCTTCTAAATAGGGCCTTTAAGTAGTAGTCCACAACCTGTAGGTGGAGGTCCGCTTTGGGCTGGGGTCCATCTAAATGTGGTTGTTTTGGCAATTGGTGATAGCTCACAATATGCTTTTTAATACAGTTAATTAGATATAAAAACATGAGTCAATGTTTTATATTACAAACAAAAAGACATATCCATGGCAACCCACAAGTAACAGACACTATCAGAAAAGTTGTGCAATGCAGCTTTGAAATTATTTTAAGAATATTATTATTACAAGTATAATGTTGTGACCAAATAGTTCTTTTCCAACGCTTTAATCCAAGCGTCTGTGGCAAAGGGTGTGGTCAGAGAGCGCTCCACGGCCAGGCTTCAGGCTATCTGTCTGACATTCTGCTCACACATAAACCGGGTCACAGCGTCAGGTCTGCCAATCAGCTCCAGTTAACTGTTCCATGGGCTAAAAACAAAACACGGAGTGACTGAGCTTTTGAGTCGGTGGCACCAAAGTTATGGTATGCACCCCTCCTGGATCTTACAACCTTAAAATCCACAGAAAAATTCAACGCACATTCAACTACTCTCTCTTCGTGACCTGCAGTCTGTTTGCACTGGGATGTATTGTATTTTGTTAATGTGTTTTTAACTGCCCCATTTTAGCTTGTGAAGTGCCTTGTAAAGGGCCATCTGTAATCAAAGATTAGAATATTGTACAAAATGTAATTCATTTCTGTAACTCAAAAAGTTAAAGAGAATATAATATATAATATAGAATGATTACATGCAAAGTGACATATGCCACGCCTTTGTTATTATTATACAAAGATAAAACAAATTAAGACTGGATATATCCCACTTCTGTAAGTACCTCACTTTTGTATATACTGAGTCATATATTTGTTCCACATCTTATGTTGAATTACAGAAGTAATTAGACTTTTGAACAACATTTTCCAACTTTTACTTGTTGAATCAGGTGCAGAGATACTATGCAGCTTCTCTCTCCCAGTGAGGAAAAAACAAGATTATACAGGCTTGAAAAAAGTGCACAAATGTTTAAGATATGTTTGCATATTTCAAAGTAAGACGATAATGGGGTGCGACCTCTAAACCAGTGGTTCCCAAAGTGGGGTCGCGACCCGGGAACCGCTGGGGGGTCGCAAGATGATTTCCTAAAAAAATTTTTTTAACAAATATTCAACCCTTAAATATTTATTTTGCATTTGATTTGATTCAAAATGGCTACTTGTAAAATTGTGTTTGTAGAATATATTTTAATTACGTTTGTAATTTTGTCCCAGTCATTGACAGCGTCAATCAAAATCAAGTTACGCAGCTTACATCATGCGCAGCGTGAAGAGGTCAGAACATTAAAAGCGGGTGGCTGCTTTATGCTGTTACTTACGGTAAAAATTGCAATCATGTGCGGACTTCTTTACTGCTGACTCCGAAAAGCCGGGTCTCTTTACCGCGGTCGGAGAACAGTGAGGGCGAGCCGCAAGAAATGCGCTCCACCTCTGATCAGGGGGGAGCCCACAAAGCCTATCACTGTGTCACTACGCGAGTAAAAATATGCAAGCCTCCTTTTTTGGGCTGGCGGGTGCAGCTCGGTAGTGGCGTGATGGTGCTTTCAGTCAATGGTGCGCGTTCGAGGGTCAAAATGCACGAACATCTCGGGACGCACGAACGGACTGCTCAGTAGAGACGCACGGACTGCACGGGAAAGTCGAAGGGGAGGAGCAGGAACGGAAAATGGACGCACGCAGGAGATAAACTTTGCTCAACCTTTCCTCGGGACGTTTGTGCAGCGACCAATCAGAGAGCCACAAAGTGGTCACGGGGACATTAGCGGTCTGAGCGAGCAGACTGAACATACTGTAAACAGCCAAAACGGGAAGGGCTGTTGAGGTGGGGGGTCGCGGGGGAGCAGCGCATTTATCACGGGGTCGCGGGCTAAAAACTTTGGGAACCCCTGCTCTAAACCATCAAATATTGTTCTATTTATTGTGGCAAATGGTTCAGGGCTGAGTAGAGTTGCAGGATTAATTCAATTAAAATGACTTAACTTTGCTTGACTTGAAAATGTCTGGCTTGGCCACTCTAGGACCATGAAATACTTCTTATGAAGCCACTCCTTTACTGCCGGGGGCGGTGTTTTTGGGATCACCGCCCAAAAACAAAATGTGTGTCTTCACAAGTTGGAAGAAGGAACCATGGAGGACCACAGTTATGTAAAAGAACCATGGAGGACCACAGTTATATAAAAGAACGATCCGAACAACAATCTTTTAGAACAATAATTATGCAGAAGTCCAGCGTCATAGCAGCAATGTGTCAACAGCGCAAACCACACGCACTGAAAGACAGCGTTAACACAACAGGAGGCACAGCCACGATTCATCTTCAATGCCGATGCTGATGGAAGGAGGTCTTCATTCAAAATCTTACAATACATGGCCCCATTCATTCTTTCCTTTACACGGATCAGTCATCCTGGTCCCTTTGCAGTAAAACAGCCCCAAAGCATGATGTTTCCACCCCCATACTTCACAGTGGGTATGGTGTTCTTTGGATGCAACTAAGCAAATGTTCTTTCTCCTCCAAATACAACAAGTTGAATTTTTACCAAAAAGTTCTCTTTTGGTTTCATCTAACCATATGACATTCTCTCAATCCTCTTCTGGATCATCCAAATGCTCTCTAGCACACTTCAGACGGGCCTGGACATGTACTGGCTTAAGCTCTCTGCGGATCATTCCCTTATCCCCCGTGTCTTTCTGGGATTTTTACTCACCGTTCTTGTGAGATCTTGCATGGAGCCCCAGATTGAGGGAGATTATCAGTGGTCTTCTTCCATTTTCTAATAATGGAAGACAAGGTCTTGGCCATATTGGAGTTTCTAGTGTGACTGTTTGAGGTTGTGGACAGGTGTCCTTCATACTGATGATTTCAAACAGGTTCATATTGCAAGTAAAGCTTCATATTGCAAGGAATAGCAGCAGCTTTTTCATTCATGCTGCAACCCTCCTCCTCCCCATATCCGCCTCGTAAACTGGTCCAGCTACTCCCTTCTCTAGCTACCACCAGGGTCTAGGCCTCGGGGGATTTAATCTCATAATCTATACATTCATTTCCCCTGCTGCAATCATCATGCAGTGCTCTTCCAGTGTCTAAGCGCCAAATCTTAACCACATTTCTGGTACAGGAACAATAAATTAAATCATGCAAATGTCTTCTGAGTCGTATGTACTACTTTATGTAATGTCAGTTAATTGCCAACCAACATACAATTCTAACAAAGCCCCTGTTTTTTTCTGTTCCAGTCTCTAATGGTAATCCAATAATCTATAACATGCTCCAAACGATACTTTCCCAAATGAGTATCTAGTTTTGATACTACTTTCAGTATTAATTAATATGTAGATTTTTGTATATATGTAGACTATATATGTAGACTTTTGACCAACCTGAGAGTAGCTCAGGACAGAGCGTCAGTTAGTGACTCCAAGTGTGCCAAAGATAAGATGTGTGATAAGATGAAGACTGCACGATGCAGTTTGAACACATATGCGCTGCTTGTCTGTCAGAGATGGCGTTGGCGTGCCTGGCCGTGGACCCCGCCGTGATGCTCATGGTGGTGGGTGTGCTCATGTTCGTCATCACCTTCTGTGGATGTGTGGGCTCACTGCGAGAAAACATCTGCCTCCTGCAAATGGTCAGTCAGTGTTTTGGTCATTATTTTACATCATATTGCAAAAAACGTTACTTAAGTCACAAATAGCTTTTACATATCTGGATGTTTGTTATAGACTTAAGATAGATATCTCTTTGAGGGCGAACGATAGTCCTGCTCCATGGACATTTCAAACTCCTCCCTGTCCCAGGTTTCCTCTGCAACATCCCAGCAATGGCACACTTTGCCTGCTGGTACTGGACAGCTGCCCACATACATGCATGACAACAGTTGAGTCTATGTATTGTTTACCTATTCTGTGATCACACCAGTTCAAAGCTTACACAGCTCACATTAGACTCTGTCACAGCCACATGAGGCTTAACCAAGTGGTGTGGCTTGTTCAGAATATTGTTAGTGGATCAAAGATCTTCAACATTAACAAGACACCAGTCCTCTCTGATGAGTTTGAAGTGAAGAGAACAAACTGATAGCAGCCATATTTTCCATCTTTGCAGTAAGTAGGATGTGATTATAAACCAGACACTGCAATCTGCAGAGGTGCATCAAACAACATCTGTTGGTAATCCTACATTAGCAAATATTCAGATGCATTGACCGTGTCCTTTTAAAAAAAGACAATCTTTAAAAAAATATATCAGAAATATAAGTTTTATATGTCTTAAAAATGCTATGGGGTGAGAGATCCAAATGTGTCAAAATAAAAGTATACCCCTTGTTAAAACATCTTACCCAACCTATTTTAAACTACATACTGGTATTATATTGAACCACAATAATACAGATAGAGACTGGATAGTGTCACTTTTAATGATGAAAATAATGTATATTATAAACCTATATACCTATATACATATACAAAGTATTCGGCCCCCTTGAACCTTTCAACATTTCGCCACATTTCAGGCTTCAAACATAAAGATATAAAATTTTAATTTTTTGTCATGAACCAACAACAAGTGGGACACAATCGTGAAGTGAAACGACATTTATTGGATAGTTTAAACTTTTTTAACAAATAAAAAACTGAAAAGTGGGCGTGCAATATTATTCGGCCCCTTTACTTTCAGTGCAGCAAACTCACTCCAGAAGTTCAGTGAGGATCTTTGAATGATCCAATGTTGTCCTAAATGACTGATGATGATAAATAGAATGCACCTGTGTGTAATCAAGTCTCCGTATAAATGCACCTGCTCTTTGATAGTCTCAGGGTTCTGTTTAAAGCACAGAGAGAACCATGAAGACAAAGGAACACACCAGGCAGGTCCGAGATCCTGTTGTGGAGAATTTTAAAGCCGGATTTGGATACAAAAAGATTTCCCAAGCGTTAAACATCTCAAGGAGCACTGTGCAAGCAATTATATTGAAATGGAAGGAGTATCAGACCACTGCAAATCTACCAAGACCCGGCCGTCCCTCCAAACTTTCATCTCAAACAAGGAGAAGACTGATCAGAGATGCAGCCAAGAGGCCCATGATCACTCTGGATGAACTGCAGATAATACAGCTGAGGTGGGAGAGTCTGTCCATAGGACAACAATCAGTCGTGCACTGCACAAATCTGGCCTTTATGGAAGAGTGACAAGAAGAAAGCCATTTCTCAAAGATATCCATAAAAAGTCTCGCTTAAAGTTTGCCACAAGCCACCTGGGAGACACACCAAACATGTGGAAGAAGGTGCTCTGGTCAGATGAAACCAAAATCGAACTTTTTGGCCACAATGCAAAACGATATGTTTGGCGTAAAAGCAACACAGCTCATCACCCTGAACACACCATCCCCACTGTCAAACATGGTGGTGGCAGCATCATGGTTTGGGCCTGCTTTTCTTCAGCAGGGACAAGGAAGATGGCTAAAATTGATGGAAAGATGGATGGAGCCAAATACAGGACCATTCTGGAAGAAAACCTGTTGGAGTCTGCAAAAGACCTGAGACTGGGACGGAGATTTATCTTCCAACAGGACAATGATCCAAAACATAAAGCCAAATCTACAATGGAATGGTTCACAAATAGACGTATCCAGGTGTTAGAATGGCCAAGTAAAAGTCCAGACCTGAATCCAATCGAGAATCTGTGGAAAGAGCTGAAGACTGCTGTTCACAAACGCTCTCCATCCAACCTCACTGAGCTCGAGCTGTTTTGCAAGGAAGAATGGGTAAGAATTCCAGTATCTCGATGTGCAAAACTGATAGAGACATACCCCAAGCGACTTGCAGCTGTAATTGCAGCCAAAGGTGGTGCTACAAAGTATTAGCGCAAGGGGCCGAATAATATTGCACGCCCCACTTTTCAGTTTTTTATTTGTTAAAAAAGTTTAAATTATCCAATAAATGTTGTTCCACTTCACGATTGTGTCCCACTTGTTGTTGATTCCTGACAAAAAAAAATATTTTTATATCTTTATGTTTGAAGCCTTGAATGTGGCGAAATGTTGAAAAGTTCAAGGGGGCCGAATACTTTCGCAAGGAACTGTAGACTGTCGCCCCCTGCAGGACACCCTCTCTGCTCTGGAGAGCAGCTTCAGTGACAGACTTATTCACCCTCGCTGTGTGAAGGAGAGGTTTTGCAGGTCTTTCCTTCCTGCTGCTGTCAGACTGTAAAACAAGAACTGCTGAATCTGTACAAGTGTCACTTATAATAATTCACTAGTCACTTTACCTGTTATTATTATTACACATCAATCCATCTGATACTTCTGTCATTCACTAGTCACTATCTACTGATATTGTTACTATTGTTTATTCTGCTCATATTCTCGGCTGCTACAATTTACACATCTGTAAATACTTCTGAACCGAGTGCAATTATAGCTCCAGATTTTATTTTTCTTTATTCTATTACCATCTTATAATTTTTGTTTTATTATCTATTATCTTAAATAATAGCCTCTATGTTGATGTGTGAAATCTGTGTGCTCTTATTTCCTTCTCTGCTGTTATGTGCGCAACGATGACACTGAAATTTCCCCTCTGTGGGACGAATAAAGGAATATCTTATCTTCTCTTGATAGAAAAACAATTGAAGGAAAAAAACCAAATGAGTCTTACAGCAATCCTTTTATTTCTGCATACATGTCTGTACTATAATAAGATTGCTTGAATCAGACTTTCCTGTTGTCCCTTGTTGCACAGTTCTGCATTTGCCTTACCATCATCTTCCTGCTCCAGCTGACTGCAGGAATCCTTGGCTTCATCTTCTCCGATAAGGTATTTCTTAGAGAGAGCCATATAGTATGTGTTTGTAAAAATATGATATTTTCAAAAATGACATTACACTTTAGGCTCGCGACAAGGTGACCGAGATGATCAACAACGCCATCACCCATTACAGAGACGACATCGATCTGCAAAACCTCATCGACTTCGGCCAGAGGGAGGTGAGCGGAGTGGACCAACAAGTCTGGGGTAGCATCACAGACAGATGAAATTATAATCATGTTACAAATACACAACCAAAGAATTGCTGTGTGCAATGCTTGGTGTTATTAGAATTATGGGTTCAACTTTAACCACAGTTGCTTCAAAGTGTCATAAGTGTCCAAACTCATATAATAATAATCCTTCTAATATTTCTTATATGGATAAAAACATGTCTCACTTTGCTGGGGTTTTTCCCAGAACTCAACTCTGAGTCAATGAGCACACCCAGGTTTCTAACGCTGATTGAGAGTGAGTACTTTGTTGAGTACTAAAAACAAAGACAAAACAGATGTACGGAGCATTTACCCCAGTGGTAACATGTTATTTGAGAATAAATGGGATATCAAGAAAGAATACGGATAAAATACTGTAAAATGGTACAGGAACATTGACACAGAGTATTATTTTTGATTGAACATCTCTATGAACAGTGGACCAGTGCTGTCTTTTCCGAACTACTGAGGGACCTTACGGACCGTGCTGGGAAGTCGAAGGGGAGGAACGCAGGGGATACATTTTGCTCAACCTTTCCTCGGGACGTTCGTGCATCGACCAATCAGAGAGCCGCAATGTGGTCACGGGGACAATAGCGGACTTAGAGAGTAGACTGAAAATACTCGTAAACAGCGAAAACAGGAGCTACATCAGGACTAAACCAGGGTTGACAATGGGGGACTCTGTGCTTGTCGACATGTGAGTTTTCATGCTCCCGTGACTTTATGCAACTGCTTCGAGTGTGTTCGCCGATGCGGAAGTACCATTTAATAATAAAATAAACTTATTGCGCACCTCTGTGAACACATACTACTGTTATATAAAGTCCGTGGAAGGTCTCTGAACACAGACACCCTGCCAAGCTGCATTATTGGAGAAGATCTGTACACAAGAAGCCGCCAGCTAAACTCTGTTAGCATCAGAGCCCGCCGGCTACTTCCGGCGCGCACCAGGACCTCTAGTCTGAAGACCCCTGCGTCTGAAAACTAGAGAACGTGCGTTTCAGCGTTTGCGGTCTGAAAGCACCATAAGGTATGTCCTCTGCTGTGGATCACGCACATGCTCTGTTATGGTGCTTTCAGACCGCTAACGCTTTAAGGCTTTGCATTAAAAGCCGACGCAACGCATGATCTGGTCTGAACGCGGCATTATGGTGCATTCAGACCGCAAACGCTCAAACGCTGAAGCCCCGCTCACCAGACGCGCATTCTCTAGTTTTCAGACGCAGAGGACTTCACACCAGAACGTCCTGGCCAGCACCGGAAGTGCCGGAAGTAGCCGGCCGGCTCTGATGCTAACAGAGCTATGCTAGCTGCTTCTTGTGTACAGATCTTCTCCGATATGCAGCTTTGCTCTTTGTTCAGAGACCTTCCACAGGCTTTATATAACACTGGTATGTGTTCACGGAGGTGCGCCATACGTTTTTTGTATTATTAAACATTGTTTCCGCATCAGCAAACACACTCAAAGCAGTTGCATAAAGTCACGGGAGCATGACAACGCATATATTCACAAGCACTGTGTCCCCCATTGTCAACCCTGGTTTAGTCCTGATGTAGCTCCTGTTTTCGCTGTTTACGAGTATTTTCAGTCTGCTCGCTCAGTCCGCTAATGTCCCTGTGACCACTTTGCTGCTCTCTGTATGGTTTCCGCACGAACGTCCCAAGGAAAGGATGAGCAGAATCCATCTCCTGTGGGCGTTGATTTTCCACTCCTGCTCCTCCCTTTGACTTTCCCACCAAGTCCGTGCGTCTCTACTGAACAGTCCGTGCGTGCCGAGAAGTCGGTGCGTTTTAACGCTCGAACGCATGTCACCATTGACTTTGCATTGAAAGCGGCATTAGACCAAAGGTTTCCATAACAGAGTTGAGCTCTTTGGTATCTCTATTGTCAACAACATCCATATGATATCATATCAATAATTACTCATAATGATTATGGCATTGAAATCTACGTATATGACTGAAAACATCTCAGAAAAATCAACAGGGGGTCTACAGTATATACAACTAAAAAGAGAATTTTACCTGCTCTATTAGGAAAGGCTCCAAAAGAGCACACACGCCTCCATCTTTCAGATTATTATTTTTACATCTGTAGCACGAGACAGATTCATTGTAATAAGGAGATTCCCCTGATTAGGTGTTCTGACCGGTTCACTACTATTTGGTTTAGGTCTAGTTCTAACTTTTGGGTACAAGTGGGAGTACAAGGTTTTACAGGGCCAAACAGAGTAGGGCCAGTGTTTGCACCCTTGTACTCACCCGGTGCCAAAGAGAAAAAAGCAGAGCCATGTGGGCGAGACGGGGGCCGCCCTCCAAACAGCATGGATATATTGGTAAACATTAGCTTAACGGAGTGCACTGTACAACGTGACGAAGGTAGTCTACCAACAACCTTTATGTGGATCCGAGCCATCAGTTATGCTACATGAATCTCCAAAAGAGGCCAAAATGATTTACCAAAACAAAGTTGGATAAAAATGTACTTCTTTGTGATTTCATACTGCTGCTATTTCATATCGGTAATACTCATATGCACAATCACTTTAGAGATGGTGTTGGGCAGGGACATGTTTATACTTCCCCTCTACCCTTAAAAGAGACATATTTTGCAAAATGTCATGTCATTATCACCCCCTTTATTAATCAATTTCTGGTTAAGGGTCCTCATAACACCAGCCCCTCACCAATCCTCATGCAGCTGGTGGGTCCATGGGAAGATGGCTTCTCTGTCATCAAAGACACAGACTTGGTCTTTCAACAGGGCCTCAGGCTAAGTGGGGTTTAGTGACTTGCCAAGGGACAGAACAATAGCACAAATCAGTGGGAGCAGGTGACATTAGTCATGGGGGGATCGAACCCACAACCATCAGGTGCTAAGATCAATGCTCTACCACTGCCGCTCCTTTTTGCATTTGATGTAGTTTATATATTCAGCAACAGTTCTTAGTTAATTTTTATTTTCTGTGTGTGTGTGTGTGTGTGTGTGTGTGTGTGTGTGTGTGTGTGTGTGTGTGTGTGTGTGTGTGTGTGTGTGTGTGTGTGTGTGTGTGTGTGTGTGTGTGTGTGTGTGTGTGTGTGTGTGTGTGTGTGTGTGTGTGTGTGTGTGTGTGTGTGTGTGTGTGTGTGTGCGCAGTTCGGCTGCTGTGGAGGTGTCACGTACACAGACTGGTCTAAGAACATGTACTTTAACTGTGACTCCACCAACCCGAGCCGAGAGCGCTGCTCCGTGCCTTTCTCCTGCTGCCAGGTCACCAAAGACAAGGTATTTCAAGTCGGAAGAAGTTTGTTTACCCACACCACCTAGAGCTTGAACAATTATTACATATTTACAAGAAATCCTGGTGATTTATTTTATGGAAGCCAATACCATCGCTTTTTTAATAGTATTTTATTTTTTATATATTGTGCTTTTGTTGCAGCAGAAATTGCACATGCTCAGTCTAAAACTCGAAATTACGACAAATTTTGAGTTTTAAACTCTTCCATATGTGGAGAGGCCAAGGTTATAAAAGTAAATATGTAAGTTAAAGTATTAAAGTAATTCCCTGATTTAAGTAAAAGTAAAAGGGTGAAAAAAATCTAGGTATAGGAGCATTTTTGCTTGGTTATAGACCAAGAGTATATTCATTTTATTCATTAATAGCTTACTACTTTTTAAAAAAAACTTCAAACTTAGTTCAGCTTTTTAATTTTTTTAATTTCAGTACTTAAAGGTACACCGAGACTGCAGTTATCTGGGTTGTAAACAGTTTCCCACCAAAACCTGCACTGGGAGGAAAGACCCCTGTAAAGTCGTAAAGGCTGGGGGTCGCGTGTGTGTGTTGTAAAGTTTCTCTGCCCACTATTGGCCGGGCGCTAGAACTACATCGTTTTTCAATCTCTATGAACGCTGAGAAATTTGCATAAGGAGCCTGGTCGTTTCTGTTAATAGCCTGGAAACGTCTGTGCAGGGTCTCAGTATAAGCCTTAGTATCACAGTCTCTTACCTGTTATGAAATGGTCAGAACAGACCTTATAGTGCAGTCTTTCAGGGGGTTAGGGTTGAATCCCTCTCGGTTGATCCTCGCCAACTAAACGGTCTTTTTACTTACTACTACTACTCTTTTCTCCGTCCCGAGTCACTCGCCTGTCTCGTAATAGCCTTCGGAATGTCCTCACAATCTGCGCGGTTACTGCACCCCCCAAACGATGCAGGCAGTCGGCATGTTTTAGCTCAAAAAAGTGAGATACCGCTCGTTGTTTACCTACAACTATAGCGGCGGCTAGACTTGTAAAATGGCGTACTGCGGAATTGTGGGTAGTGCGTGACGTCAGTGGAAAACTATGTATGGTAAATGTTTAGAATAGTTTCCCTTATGTTTGGGATGGGTTGAAGAAATGTTTAAATCGGCAAGAGAGATGACTGCAACCTGTGATGTCATTAAATGAAAAGACATCATGTGACAGTTTTACAGTTATCCAACAAGATAAAGATGGAGTAATGGAATCGTCTCATTGACCTATTGCTGAAGGTATACATGGGCAAACTGCGAGCTGGAGGCCAAATGCGGCCACCTGGACCCTTCCCAGTCATTTTTTATATTATTTTTTCAACAAACTGAATGTTCCTCAGATGGAAGCAGACATGCTGAAAGTTTTGGAAGAACCCTTTCATATTTACACTTTGCTATATATTAACTTAAAGATGCAGATTTGAAGAAGTATAGAGTCGTTCTATGACATTTCTCCACTGTGAGACAAATAAAGGATCTTTTAAACTTATTCCAAATGAATCTTTTCAAACTAAATCTTTTAAAGATTTAGGTTGAAATATTTAAAAGTTCTATCATGAAAAATTAAATCCTACCTTTGTACCTTGTTCTCATTATGTGATTTTGTGTGATCCTCCAGGAAGTCATCAACACCATGTGCGGTCAGGGTATGCAGCAGCTGGACTATGTGAAGGCTGGAGACTTCATCCACACTAACGGCTGCATCGACAGACTGGTCGACTGGATCCACAGCAACCTGTTCATCCTGGGGGCCATTGCACTGGGGCTGGCTATTCCACAGGTAGTTTATATGTATATGTTATAGGTTTAGAGGACCCCCACGAAAACGAGATGATGCATCTCATGGGGTTATTCCTCTTTAAATAAATGTCTAAATAAATAAATATGTGAGATAGAAAAAAAAACATAATTAATCACAGTACATAAAAAGTTAGTTGTATGCCCCGCTAAACAAAACTGGATTTGCACATTATCAGGGTAGAAGCCTGTCTCACATTTTCAGGAAGACTGTTCCAGATTTTAGCTGCATCAATTTGTAACAAGTGGAAAACTTTGCATGATTCTATGACAGGTGCGTACAGGCTCCGCACACAGCTTTGCCAACTTTGAAACTATGTACTTGCATACACTAGTGTTTTGTTTTTTTACAGCAACGTTCAGCCGAAGCTCATGTTTTGTGTGTTGTGCAGTTGGTGGGGATCCTCCTGTCTCAGATTCTCATCAACCAGATCAAAGACCAGATTGAGCTCCAAAACTACAACCAGAGGCACCGCTCCGATCCCTGGAGCTGAGACCCCATGGCCCATAGACTGTAGAAGGCTGCAGTGCTGATGTCATCCATTTGCCTTATCTCGGAAGAAGCTGGTCTGTTCTCACTTGTGCTGTTTGTTGATGGAAGACTCCTGATTAGTTGTTAGGGGACAGGGCGGAGTTTTACAAAGACATGATCCAAATAATACACCAGGATCATACAGAGCGTCGAATCACAGATTGTTCAGCCCAAACGGGTGAGTGTGACACAAGCAGTTTCAAAGCCACTGGGTTAACACTATCCATTTCTACTGTATATACAGTCTATGCCAGGGGTGTCAAACCGTGTAGCTGCAGGTTTTAATTCCAACCAAGCCGGATGCTTGGTTGGAATTAAAACATTAACATTTTAAAACATTTGCAACAGTGGTTCAGTTGGTAGGAGGTCATGGGTTCGAGCCCACCGTAAGACCTCCTTCACAACTCTCACTGATGTCGTTGTGTCCTTGGGCAAGACACTTAACCCCACTTTGCCTGAAGCCCCACTGAAAGATCTCAGCTCCTGTGGACTCACCACCTGCAGGAGGATCAATGAGGGGCTGGGGCTCTGTGTACTGGGTGCAGCTCTGACTGCCACCCCCCCAACCCAGAAATGGCTTAAGTGGAAGAAAATGGATGGATGGACCACACAGGCCCTTTCTGGAACCAGTTTGATAACCCTAGTCTCTGCACTGGAGCATTTTTTTCTTGAATTGGGAACATGTCATTGGAAAAGACAGCTTTGGTTTTAATTTGAGCACAGAACCATGTTGTTATTGTCCTAAAAAAAATATGATAGCATATTTTGTGTTAATTGTAGCCCCTAGATTAGAGATTAGAGATTAGAGTATATTTACATATGTATGTACTTTACAGTCATGTACATATATAAAAGATGAATGAAAAATGAGAGTAGCACTGCTCCCATTTTGTGGTAGGAGTAGGAAAACTAATCCTGCTATTATAGTGAACATTGAATATGTCTAACTTAAGGAACATAGTTGTTGAGAAATCCATAAGACAGTAAAATGAGGCGATACAGTTGTTTGTAATTGTAATTGTTTATCGTGGTCTGATGATTTGTCATAAACAAGTTTGAGACAGGAGCATTTAGGCAGAAGTGACAGGGGTCGTGTTCCTGTTATAAGCATGGATGAAGCTGGTCTGATGAAGGCGTGGTTGTTATTGAAAAAGGACACCCATTTTTGACATCAAGTTTTGTCCTCAAAGAAGACTCACTTGAAGCACTACATTTCAATCTTTGCAGTATGCTGCCATCTCCTGGACTATGAACGTCTGTTACCACAATGGTTTTTACACGTTTATTTTATAAAGATTTTATATGAACACGATTGTAATTATTTGTCACTGTGAATTTTATATTGTATCATCTGAAAAGGGACAGACTTTAAAGAAAGGCTCAATAATAAACTGCATTTACTATTCATGTTTCTGTGTACACACATACACCCTCGGATAATTGGGACATAGAAAACAGTTTGGACAAAACAACACAACACAAATCTGTTGGTATAATGTATTTTGTATATAAAATCATTTTTATTTGAAGTAGCAATATGTAAGATTTTCATGTCAAGTCATTATTAAATGGCCCTAATGCACAGGTGTCAAAGTCAAGGCCCGGGGGCCAGATCCGGGACTTGAGACAGTTTCCAGTGGCCCTTGAGATGATTTTAAATTATTATATTAAATAGCAGAATTAATGGTAATAGGCGACAATGGCATGTTATCCATTACTGAGAAAACAACAATTTAATTAAGAAATATTAAGCCAACATGTAATTAGAAGTTAGTATTATGTTTTGGTTTTTTTTGAGTCTTCATTTACATTTCTTCTTAAAGAGGAGGATTTACAATTTTTCTCAGGAAAGAACCGCCCCCTCCACTTTTGAACAAAACCTTCTGGTCTTATTGGACGAGCACAAATCACCGGAATGATTAACAATTGGGAGGACCAATAGTCTTGTTGATCCACCCGGAAGTAGAAATATACCCTCAATATTTGGTCCAGTCCACAAGAACTGAACTAATTCTTATCAGAAAATAATATCCAGTCATTAGTGAAACAAATGACTTGTTTCACTAATGTGAAACAAGTCATTTATTTAGATACCTTCATATTCCAAAAAAAAATTAAGAAATGAAACCCATATTCTTTCGGCCCCTGACCAGCCCTTTCTTTTTTTATTCGGCCCTCAACCAAAATACGTTTGACACCCCTGCCCTAATGTGTCAAATGACATTAACAACACATGCTCTTTTCCAATACTTACCTTTAACAGTAGTTCAGCCGAGATAGTTGCATTTCAAAATTATTTTTACAGCCCCCAAATCTTGTTATTGCTTTCATTTTGAAAGTCTTTGATCCAGGTTGGCAGAACTCGCTGCATCGACCTAATTTCACTGGTAAAGTAACAAGTGGCCACAGAACAAAAAAGGTCTCGGAATGATTCTCAAATCAATAATGACAAAACAAGGAACGAAATTAGGATTTTGTGAAAAAGGTGTTGGTTATAGATTTGTTGACAAAACTATTGTCTGTTCATATATAAAGGTCCCATCTGGATTCTTCTGCATATCTGGCAACCTGAGTCAGGGAGAGTGGTAGAGGTTGCAGTACCACTTTTGGCCATATTATTTTTACATACTGCTCCTTTTAATTTTTACACTCAAATTACATTCGTCTATATTAGTGGGTGATTTCAAATATCATGCCATGTTAGATTTGTGTGAAAATCTGGTAGAAAGTAATTGTGTCAAAGTTGAGATCCGGCCCTCAAAGTAATTGTCTAAGCCATAAGATAATATTGGATTATTCATTTAATGTTCAAGACATGTGTTTTCTCTTTGAAGGAAGTTTGTTTTTGTCTGTAAGCCCGCAGAAAAAGATTTTCACTTGAAACTACGACAGAGCCATATAAAAATATTGGATTCATTTCATCATTATATAAAATACAGTACACTGTTAGGTCTTGGTTTAAGATGTTAAATGCAAAAATGGTAATATGTTTTGATAATAATCAGATAATAAACCAGTCCAGCCCTCAACCACAAATTAGTTTTTTTGGCCCTCTGATGTATTTGACTTTGACATCCCTGTTTGAAAACATGAAACACAAGACCATGTGTATGGGCCAAATAACTATATCTCTATCAAAAACATGTGTTGTGTTTTATGTTGAATTAGAATTATTAAACTATTTATTTAAAAAAAAAAGTGGGTGGGGGGGGGGGGACGCAGGAGCATGGTGACTTGATTTCTGATGTCACTGATATGTCGTATATTCCTAAACATTGTCTTTGGATTGCAAACGGGCTTCCATCCTATTCCTCATTCAGTCGACGAGCTCTCAGCTGAAAGCGTCAAATATTGACTAACAGGGCTCTTTCTTACAACTATGCTAAATACAACAGGGTTTCTGAAGAGATACAAACAGCACGTTGTGATTCAATTATTATTCTTTGTTGGGGCAATCAACATGTATTGTTTATGGGGGAAACAAGTTAGTAATTGACATGCTCTCCTGAGGTGAAACTTTGGTGGGTCTGCTTGCCATAAGCCACATTCTTCCAGAGAGAGGGGGATGGGGCTGAGAGTGGGAGCTGGGAGGCGCACAGGAGGAAGGCACATTTCTTCCAGCAAGATATAGGAAAAAATACTTATACAGACTTAGGGTGATGCTATTAAAACCAACAAAGAGACAAAGACACGCCACAAAAAACTGGAACTAAACAATAACAATCTCTCCAAAAAAATCACTGCAGTTCGTTTTTACCCGCACGTACTAAAAAGGGGGGTCCGGACGACGAGAGGAGGTGCTTGGGCTCCAATTACACGCATTCAGACGTTTTCAACTTTTTGGGAGAAAGTGGGGGAGGGCGACCAGGCAACTTTTATTTGGTACCAATTTGAGCAACTCAAAACACAAATATCAAGTTTAAGCCATTTGTGTGTGCTTATTTGGTGCGCGTTGTCTGTTGCGTGCGAACTTTTTTTTCCCAAAGATTTGACTCGTCGGAACGATGGATACTTTGGACCAGCGCGAAAACCAGAAAACACCAGGATTTCTAGACACAGTGGGGGATTCTTTTTTTGGTAATATAGTGATTATTAGTACAGCTGGTGATGAGGATACTTTTTACAACCCTGGAGTTTCCCAGTATTTTCTCATGGTCTCTAACTAAACCCACTCAAAACTCTAAACCGGGTATTCCCAAAATGTCTTCCCCCATTGTTGAGCGATGTTGTGGGGTGCTCTCGCCTGGGGTCGCCTTGCTACTGCTGTGGTTTTTATTCTCCATGTCTGTTTCGGACGCAGTGCTTTCCACAAACGGGACTCTTTTCGAGGATCGGTGTAAAATGACCGCGACGTGTGAAGCGCTGAAGTACAACGCGTGCCTGGGGTCCCCGTTGCCCTACACGCACACGTCCCTGGCCCTGGCTGAAGACTCCACGACCCAAGAGGAGGCTTTTGAGAAGTTGGCCATGTGGTCTGGTAAGGATGAGACACGGATCTGGGTGGAATACAAGTGCAATATGGGGGGGATTGAGGTGCGTGATGGGTGGTCCTGTGTTGAACTGTACCACTCACTGCTCATTGTTCTGCTCTGTTGCATGCATTGGGGTGGTTTGAAACTTGTTTTAATGAAGAAGAAAAAAGGATCACAACAAAGTATTACTTTTATGCTTCCCGAGTACCAATAATCAAGCATCAAATCTAAAGCACACTCTGAATAACAGGACATTTCTGGATTTGATTGACGGCTGAGGTAACAAGTTACTAGTGTCTGTACTGAACTTGACCCTTTATTTCTTTGACCACTTTTACCCCACTCCCCCCAGGCTTAATGTTTGAACATAGATATTTGTGCTTTTTTATCCCTGAGGCAACATTTATTTAAATATACAGTATTACAGACAAGTGTGTAGTGTGAAGAGCAAAGCTGCTGGAATGAGTTTGTCATATGTCCACATGGAATTGAATACAGGGTTAAAATAGTTATCCGTGCTTCTAAGTTCATTAATTCATGTACAGTGGGGCAAAAAAGTATTTATTCAGCCACCGATTGTGCAAGTTCTCCCACTTAAAATAATGACAGGTCTGTAATTTTCATCATAGGTACACTTCAACTGTGAGAGACAGAATGTGAAAAAAATCCAGGAATTCACATTGTAGGATTTTTAAAGAACTTATTTGTAAATTATGGTGGAAAATAAATATTTGGTCAATAACAAAAATTCAACTCAATAGTTTGTAATATAACCTTTGTTGGCAATAACAGAGGTCAAACGATTACTATAGGTCTTTACCAGGTTTGCACACACAGTAGCTGGTATTTTGGCCCATTCTTCCATGCAGATCTTCTCAAGAGCAGTGATGTTTTGGGGCTGTCGCTGAGCAACACGGACTTTCAACTCCCTCCACAGATTTTCAATGGGGTTGAGGTCTGGAGACTGGCTCGGCCACTCCATGACTTTCAAATGCTTCTTACGGAGCCACTCCTTTGTTGCCCGGGCGGTGTGTTTGGGATCATTGTCATGCTGGAAGACCCAGCCACGTTTCATCTTCAAAGCTCTCAATGATGGAAGTAGGTTTTGACTCAAAATCTCACGATACATGGCCCCATTCATTCTTTCCTTAACATGGATCAGTCGTCCTGTCCCCTTAGCAGAAAAACAGCCCCAAAGCATGACGTTTCCACCCCCATGCTTCACAGTAGGTATGGTGTTCTTGGGATGCAACTCAGTATTCTTCTTCCTCCAAACACGACGAGTTGAGTTTACCAAACAGTTCTACTTTGGTTTCATCTGACCACATGACATTCTCCCAATCCTCTGCTGTATCATCCATGTGCTCTCTGGCAAACTTCAGACCGGCCTGGACATGCACTGGCTTCAGCAGGGGGACACGTCTGGCACTGCAGGATTTGATTCCCTGTCGTCGTAGTATGTTACTGATGGTAACCTTTGTTACTTTGGTCCCAGCTCTCTGCAGGTCATTCACCAGGTCCCCCCGTGTGGTTCTGGGATTTTTGATCACCGTTCTCATGATCATTTTGACCCCACGGGATGAGATCTTGCGATCGAGGGAGATTATCAGTGGTCTTGTATGTCTTCCATTTTCTGATAATTGCTCCCACAGTTGATTTGTTCACATCAAGCTGCTTGCCTATTGTAGATTCACTCTTCCCAGTCTGGTGCAGGTCTACAATTATTTTCCTGGTGTCCTTCGACAGCTCTTTGGTCTTGGCCCTAGTGGAGTTTGGAGTCTGACTGTTTGAGGCTGTGGACAGGTGTCTTTTATACAGATAACAAGTTCAAACAGGTGCCATTAATACAGGTAACAAGTGGAGGACAGAAGAGCTTCTTAAAGAAGAAGTTACAGGTCTGTGAGAGCCAGAGATCTTCCTTGTTTGAAGTGACCAAATACTTATTTTCCACCATAATTTACAAATAAATTCTTTGAAAATCCTACAATGTGAATTTCTGGATTTTTTTTTTCACATTCTGTCTCTCACAGTTGAAGTGTACCTATAATGAAAATTACAGACCTCTGTCATTATTTTAAGTGGGAGAACTTGCACAATCGGTGGCTGACTAAATACTTTTTTGCCCCACTGTAAGTGGTTAGCCGTACTTCGAAAATCATGAGTTGTATTTATATTTTCATTGATATTTGTTTATAGCAGATAGCCATGCTTCTAAGTTAATTATTTCAAGTGGTAAGTAGTTAGCTGTGCTTTTAGGTTTGTATAATGGTAAAGTGGATAGCTGCACTTCTAAGTGAATAAACAGGTCATTGACTGAATACACTGCAGTATTTGGTACCATACCCGAGGAACCTACCCACATGATAACCTTGGTAACCATGGCTTCCAGCAGCACTCTGGCCAATCACTGTCAGTTTGAAGACTTTAGTACCAGTTTGGCCTGGATAGGACCAGGGCCAAGCAGGAACTAAAAAATACCTAGTTGAACAGGCCTGGTGGAAACAGCCCAGTTAGGGTAGATTAGAGTAGGGCAAAGTGGGGCTGGTGGCTTAGGTTCTGTTTTCTCTTTTTTATTGTCTTTGGTCAATCCTTATGGCTCATATCTAAATGTACAATTAGAAGCCTTAATTCGCAGGAGAAATTACAGCTCTTGTCAACAAGGTTGAAGACCAGAACCTGTGCTTTTACTGTGGCTGTGCAGTAGTGGGTGCAGCTGGTATTGCACTGCTTGCAATAATAAGTTACATGTTATGATGACGTACACACGTTTTATTCCATAATGAGTAAGACTGCCAAAGGATCAACTGCAATATTTTCATGTGAACTCTCAGGCTTGTGTAGGTGCAAGCGCACTCACACATTGTAAAAAAATATTCTGTTAATTTTACAGTAAATTTCTGGCAACTTTTGTTACCAGAACATTTCTGAAGAATATATAGTAGCAATGTAATGCAAATTACAGAAAATGCGTAATTACATTTACAGCATTTGATATCAAAGCTAAATTACATTCAATTCAAAAGATGTATTATCAATTCTCATCACAATTTATACGAGTTTCTCTTAAGTTCTCAATCTTAAAAAAAACGTAAAAAAATTGTATTTTTTTTAACAATATTTCAATGTCATTTTAACTGTCATTGTGACTTGTACAGTTTTTTTTGTTTTTATTGCTGTGATTTGTTGCTTTTCCGAGTAAATCTCTTATGGTCACATAAGTGAGACTTTGAGCCAGAAAACATTAAGTAATTAAAGCATGGGAGCACATTTTTCAGCTTTAAATTTTCATGTATTTGGCTTTTTTACATTCAAATGTTCAAAGGCATCTCTATATTTCAGCTTTTTTACTGAAGTACAAATATTTATTTTAAAGTAAGGAAGGTGAGTGCTGCAGAGGGTACGAGTAGTAGGAGGCAAAGATAACAGGTGCTCTTCAAAGACGGGTCAATCTACAAATATTTACAGAGAATACTCTTCTCTGTACAGTATTTTTTCCTGGCATTCATATTTCACTTCACCACTTATTTTTCGGACAATTTTTTACTTGAATTCCCCATTTTTAAATTAAAATACCGGTGCTGTACTCCATCCATCCATTTTCATCCCCTTAATGCATTTGTGGGTCAGGGGTGTCAGAGCTGCCACCCACCAGCCCCTCGCTGATCCTCCTGCAGGTGGTGGGTCCACAGGAGGATGCTCTGCTCTGAGTGTCCTTGATCTTTCAGGCAAAGTGGGGTGAAGCGTCTTGCCCAGGGACACAGTTAAAGCAGATATCAATGGGAGTCAATGGCCCGAAGGCCAATGCTCTACCACCTGAGCCTCTGTCGCCCCACTGTCTACGATTTACATTTTAAGATGATGTAAAAAAACGGTTTTAACTGATTAGAATGCTTTTATGTGAATGAATTTTCTGTGATATGCCATGCTTCTAAGTTTAGATAATTATTATTTTATGACAAAGCTGGCTGCATAGCTAATACTAGCATATTTACAGAAATGTTGATTGGTGTGAACTGTCAATGTTCTAAAAAAATTAATAATGAGTATTCTCAGTATAATTTTTTCAAGTGTTTCAAAGGAAACTCTTAAACATTTCTGATATATTATGCATCAATTATTTAATAGAATTGCATTTTTTCTGGTTTTTCACACTGGTCAAACTCCCAGGGTTATCGACCAAAAGCTCTTGGCTATGGAATTTAAAGCATATTTCCCTGACGCTCCATCAGAGGCCGCTCTATGTAGCACAAGTGAACTTTAAAGTTGAGTTTTGCAACTAATTTCTTCTTCAACATAATTTTGGCTCAATCTCAAAATTTGACCGAGAGTATCCTCTTATAGAGAACCCTCTTATAGAGAACAGAATCAGGTTATATCTGTTTTAATGTAAGGGAATGACTTTGTAGCAGGGTTGGGCAAATATTTTTTTTTCAGGGGCCACATTGGGATATTGTGAAGGGCCAGCTCCAATTTAATGTGGTAAATATTTTATTTTATTTGGCAAAAACCTACTAAATGATGTATATACTTTTTATTATGATATGAACATTTGTTTAGAGCCAGTTATTACCATAACATTTTGGCTTAATTAATGTGAACAGAATAAATAACAGGCCACAATAACTTTAATATAAGTTAAAGCCTTCATTATTCGTGTAATGAGCCTTGCGCTGGGAAGGGTCCGGGGGCCACATATGAATTGGCCGGCATGTAGCCCCCAGGCCGCACTTTGCCCAGGTTTGCTTTATGGTTTGCTTTACTTAAGACTAGTCCTTCCCCCCACCGCTTATGTGAGTTAAATGCACGTTTCCATTTAGCTTGATGTGCTTCTGTCCTCTGTGTGTGTGTGTGTGTGTGTGTGTGTGTGTGTGTGTGTGTGTGTGTGTGTGTGTGTGTGTGTGTGTGTGTGTGTGTGTGTGTGTGTGTGTGTGTGTGTGTGTGTATGATTTGGCCTGAGCCGTGATGCTGATTGCTCCGTCTCCCCAGGCCTGAGGAACGCTCCCCGCTGCTGGTCGGTCATCCAGCCCCTGCTCTGTGCTGTCTACATGCCCAAGTGTGAGAACGGACACGTTGAGCTGCCAGGACAGAGCCTGTGTGCGGCCACCAGAGGGCCCTGCAGCATTGTGGACCGAGAGAGAGGGTGGCCCAGCTTCCTGACCTGTGAGCGGTTCCCCACAGGCTGTTCGGTGAGGCCACAGTGCACCCTACATGGCACATGTGCAAGGGGTCTATAATACACCATTATACAAGATAAGCCTATAGTATCTACACAATCTACATTCAGGAGATTGTGGTATTTAGGGAGTGCAAAAATCATCTTGTTTTGAGCTTTGATCTATGTTACAACATTGTTCAGAGAAAACAAGATGATATTGCTCAATATAAAATACATGTCCAGCTCAGATAAGTTCAAGTTTCTACAAGTACCTAGAATTAATAGATACAAATCCTGCGGCACACCTAGTTTGACACAATTGTATTCAAAACCAAATAAAAACATTGACAAAAAGATACAATAATGCCAAAATAAAAAACCTCTTAAAGCTTTATCAGTTTACTTTTTCACATATCCTTCCTGCTTTTCATTCACTTTCATCGGCCATTAATTTTCAATAGTATTTGCAGCTGATAAGAATCGCATTCAAGACAATATTCAACCTGGTGTATTGATTTTCTTCAGCATATAGAACACGTTTTAGTTCAACCCAGAAATTCCCATTTGGGTTTAAATCTGGAGAGTTTTATGGCCAACACATCAGTTGGTGAAAGACCAAGGCCATGTCTTCACTGACGGAGAAGCCATTATCCAGTGGAACCACCACGTGCAGGAGGATCAGTGAGGGGCCGGCGCTCTGATTGCCACTTCCCCCGACCCAGAAATGGAATAACAAAGGTGTAGAAAATGACATGACTTGACATGATGACATTAGGTGGTCATATTAAATGCATTTTTGTGCTAGTGGTCAAGTTGTGTGTCGTTAGAGGCATGTGATGGAGAACAATTTTGTATTTCTTCTCGTACCACTGTTTTACTTGGGTGCTCTCAAGGATATTTCAGTAACTTTCATAATTGATTTTCACATCCTGTTCTACTCTGAAAGGCCAACAACCTCACTGTTGATTATTCCTGCCCGTGCTATATTTCCTCCACCACCTTGTTGTCGCGTTCTGTCCATGAACCAACATTCTCAGGCCTATTGGTCCGGAGTCCGGACCATCTAAATTCAGGGACACACCTCTGGTTTGAAGAGTCTTCTCTCCTTCTTCTGCATAGATCCCTATCACTCAGTTTCCGTCTTTCTTCTCTAATATTTTCTTTCACCCTTCTTGCAAACTTAAAATGACGCGGCACAGTCCTCTTATTTCTGTTCAAAATGTTCAGAATTTCTCATACTTAGTCCATCAGCAACTTCACTATTTTATCCTTTTGATCAGAAGTTTAGTCTGTTTAGTCAACCTAATCTTTAGCATCATGTCTTTGGTACCTATTCTTTCTACCATGGTTTCAACTTCTATGAAAGTTGGCACTAGAAAATCCCTTGTTCTGAAGCAGTAAACTTCAGTTTACTGCAAACAAATTAAAAGCTCAAGCCTATTCTATTCATGGGTTTCAGATTTCAAGGGCCTTTTTACCATTCAAAGAAATCATTGTTTTGTTTTATGAAAACGCTAATATACAACATTATTCTTCATTATGAAACCCGTGGATTTCAAGGCAACTACAGCGCTATTTTAAAATAAACGATGAGAAAAAAATCCACAAGGCATGTTAGTTAGAGGCATGTGTGATTTTCTGTTTTTCTTTCTACATGTGGGCCTCTATGTAGAAAGAAAAACAGAAAATCACTTCGTACCTTTGTTATACCTTGAGGTAAAGACTGCTGTACATGCCGCGAGCCTCTCCTTCTGCTCTTCCTCAGAATGAGGTGCAGAAATTGAAGTTCAACACTTCGGGCCAGTGCGAGGCTCCGCTGGTGAAGACCGACATTCAGTCCAGCTGGTACAAGGACGTGGAGGGCTGCGGCATCCAGTGTGACAACCCCCTGTTCACAGCCGAGGAACACAGCGACATGCACCGATACATCGCCTACTTTGGCACAGTCACTCTGCTCTGCACCTTCTTCACTCTGGTGAGGCCCTGCAGCTGACTGCCTGGAGGTCTGCTGTGGCACCAGTGGACCATCACAATTAGCCTGTACTATTTGTTTTCCATAAACTAGTCCCTCACTCTCAAATCCATTTGACATACATGTCATATTTTTCATGTCAGCTTAGGAGACATTTCATGCAAAATTGTCTGCAACAAATCTTCAGACAAATATTTAGATTTCATGGACAGTCTTTTTTGACTTGATATAATCAAAGTGCAAGCTCTACATGGATTTTGTGAATTTTAATCAATCAGAATGTCATTTCTAACTTCCACCATAATATGGGAGTGTTCTGTCGAAATCACCAGTTTACATATTCATTCAAGGTCTTTTCTCATTCTAAAACATGACATTGTAAAGTCTTAGGCTTAAGGTCCAAAATGAACATTAGCTTTGATTATAGAAGTGATCTTGCCATAAGTACTAGCTTGAACTATATTATTATTATTCATTATGTTTTACCTTAAAGGACAACTAAACACCAAATAAACTGCATAACTATGTTTCTGAGAATTTCTGGTGTGTATAGTATTGCTTTAAGCCAGCATCGTTTTTTCTTTTTGTTGACGGCTCGCTTGTTGATCACAGCCTAGACCAAGCTCAACTCTAAGCGTTGAGCATTCTTGTCCCCTGGTCTGCCAAACAACTTTTTTAGACAGATTTTTCTCTATGCGTTGTAGTCTGTTTGTTGAACAGTTAACCATAACTATTCAACATGACACTAGTGAATCGATATCATATACTTTAAAGACCATTTGAGATCTCAATATTGATCTTAGATCATTTATTCAAATTGCCCTCTTGTTGCCTTCCCTTTTACGCTCTTGTACCACGACCACGGGCTGCATCAGAGTTTGCTCAAGTGAAGTGTAAGACCTTTTTAAGATTTTATAAAGTGTAATACAGTATAATACAATCAAGGAAAGGAGAAAGAAGGATTTGGAAATGTAGGAAGTATTTTCCTTGACTTTGGCTGAAACCATATTTGACTTCACAGAACACTAAGTATAGGATTACCATATTTAGTTAAATATTATAGAGATTTCATTAAACAATACAAATCATCCTTTCAAGCAAACAACGTCTTCTTTCTTCCAGGCCACATTTCTGGCAGACTGGAAGAACTCAAACCGTTACCCGGCGGTGATCCTCTTCTACATCAACGCGTGCTTCTTCGTGGGCAGTATCGGCTGGCTGGCGCAGTTCTTAGACGGAGCGCGCCAAGAGATTGTGTGCAAGAGCGACAACACCATGCGCCTAGGAGAGCCCTCGTAAGTCACACACGATACAATGAATTCCATCTATTTATTTCTCTTGAAGGTATATAAACGGGTCTCTTCCCGTTTATATACCTTCACAGATATAGATATCTGATAGATTACCGTTATTACCAACATAACAATGATGCCAAACCAAACCCTCTGTAGCATGTGTCTCCAGCTGGATCTCTGGATTTAAACAAGAGGCCAGTCTCACATCTTCAGGAAGATTGTTCCAGATTTCACCTGCATGAATCTGAAATGCAGCCTCCCCATGTTTAGTTCTGACTGTGGGCACTAGAGGAGTCCCGTCCATGTGATCCTCTCCGTCCACATGTCACTAATATATTCTGGTGCGAAGCCATAAGGACTTGTACTCAAGCAGAGCTGTTTTAAAGTCTATTCTCTGAGCCACAGGAAGCCAGTGCAGAGACCTGAGGACTGGACTAATATGGTCGTACTTCCTGGTTCTAGTCAGGACTCGAGCTGCTGCGTTTTGAATGTACTGCAGCTGTTTTACAGCCTGTTAGTAGAGACCTGTGAGCAGGCCATTACAGTAGTCTAACTTACTAGAGACAAATGCATGGATAAGAATCTCTAAGTCTGCTTTAGACACTAGGGGGTGTCTAAAGGGGGTTGCGAGCTCCTGGTAGCTCCCAAGCAACAGGTTGGAGACAACTGCTCTACAGGATGTTAATTGTATACCTCATTAATAGTTGATTTGGGCATCTATTAGACATTTGTGAGTGAAAACCACTCTATTGACTGTGCTTCCAGCTCCTCTGAGACACTCTCCTGTGTGACCATCTTCATCATCGTGTACTACTCACTGATGTCCGGTGTGATCTGGTTTGTGATGCTGACCTACGCCTGGCACACCTCCTTCAAAGCCCTGGGCACCACACACCAGCCGCTCTCTGGGAGGACCTCGTACTTTCACATGATCACCTGGTCCATCCCCTTTGTGCTCACCGTGGCCATCTTGGCTATAGCACAGGTCTGTACACTAGGGCTGGGAATCTCTGGGTCCCTCACAATACAACATGATATACCATACATGGCTTACAGTACAATACATCACAATTTGGCGATACTGTAATTATAGATATATTCTTCATGTAATTTTCAAGGGTATATCATGATTTGTCCCATCCAAAGGTTAGGTTACTGCTCATTTTACCATATTAAACAAATAATGTAAAAATACTGTACACATTCAGAACAGTTGTGCCTGGATTGAAACAGACCTGTAAAAAGTAATTATTACCATTTTCCATGTGGGTTTATTCCTTAGAGTAAAATACATGATGTGGTTGTTTTGGATGAGGTATAATGTAGCTTATACTCGGTAGCTTTAATGTATCTAAGTAACACAGTTGCTTAGACTGTTTGTCTTCTTCACCCGTGGTGACTAAAAACGTTTCCCTTGGCTTTATCGTTTGGATCAGTATGTTGTTATATGCAGTGGTTCTTCTGCCACCACATATATTGCTCTTTTTTAAAATATTGAATAGCTCTTAATTGTAGTGCTCATTTCAGATTTCAGATATAAGCCTTAATAACTACAGATCAAAAAGTTTTTAACAAGCTGTCTTAAAATTTGAATTTGATCATTACCACTTGCCTGGAAAGTAGAATTTGTTTGTATTAACAAATGTAGTGTGAAAGCAATGGCCGGGCTTATCCTAACCATGTCTCCTCTCTTCATATTAAGATGTCATGCTCTCGCTTTCCCACAGGTGGATGGAGACTCCGTGAGTGGGATCTGTTTTGTGGGATACAAAAATTACATGTACAGGGCTGGGTTTGTTTTGGCCCCGATTGGAGTGGTTCTGGTAGTCGGCGGTTACTTCCTAATCCGAGGTGAGTCCAAACAATATTTGAGTTTTTTTGTGTGTTTGGTGTCTGTGTTCACCAAACTGTTGTATACTTAGGTGCTTTCATGTGGGTCATAGAACTACATGCTCTAATCAAAATGTGGGCTGTTGCATGCACTGCTCATTCCTTTAGCTGTCCTGTTAAGTTGAGCATGTGAAAAAATATGTTTGAAAATGTTTAACTTGCCACAGTCATTCAAATCAACACGGCTCAAAACAACACTTAAATTCTTTCCCAGGAAAAAATTTCATTTCAACCAAAGATGTCTGTCTTTTTTTTATGCATCTTAGGCGTAATGACTCTATTCTCCATCAAGAGCAACCATCCAGGATTGTTAAGTGAGAAGGCAGCCAGCAAAATCAATGAAACCATGTTGAGACTCGGTATGTGCTCAGCTTCTGTTGAATTTGTCCATTTTCTTAAAGTTTGAAAAATTTTCTTTCCTCTAGACATCCATCAATCCTAACATTTATTTTCTAACACCGCAGGTATATTCGGATTCCTTGCCTTTGGGTTTGTTTTGATCACTTTTGGCTGCCATTTTTATGATTTCTTCAACCAGGCCGAATGGGAGAGAAGCTTCAGAGAATATGTGCTGTAAGTTCTTAAGTTATCATTTGATCCTCTTCATGTAGACAGTGCCTTTTGTGAACCTACTCATGCATTTTTCACCTATTTTTGGCTTGAAAGTCAATTCTCATAAGCTCAGAAGAGGTTTTAAGATGATTTTTTTTTCCTGATTTGTCTTCAGCTGTGAGGCCAATGTGACCATCGCGTCCCAGACCAACAAGCCGATCCCGGAATGCACCATAAAGAACCGGCCCAGCTTGATGGTGGAGAAGATTAACCTTTTCTCCATGTTCGGCACTGGCATTGCCATGAGCACCTGGGTCTGGACCAAAGCCACCATCCTCATATGGAAACGCACTTGGTTCAAGTGAGTCCCACACTGCAGCACTTTCTGAACATTGGGGGTTCTGACCCTGTAACTACTTTTTTAACCTGCTAAGCATAGAGGAGGGTTTTTGTTATTTCAATTGGCAACTTTTCAATTAATCAACCATGTCAAGAGTTGTCATATTAAGGCTCCTTCTCTTCACTGTGACTGTATTTTGTTATATTTTTCTGATGTCAGATCAAAGCTGGTGAGCGTATCATTTCAACTGCATAAAAATCAGTGCTAGGGGTGTGTCAAAAATAATGCGATATTTGGTCAACATGCTAATTAACCTCCTCTTAGCAGCAGAACCTGCCGTGGGTCTTATTTAAATGATGGGTAGTCAATGTCTAATTAGTCTTGGAGCTTAAAGTGATTGTCTGGAGTTTGTCAGAAAGAGAGACAGAGAGGTACTTGATTTGAAAAAAATGACGCAAGCTCCTCCCCCTTCCATTCTGATTGGTCTACACCTACGTTTCCGTAACACTTTTAAATGTTAATCAGAGAACACATTATACATTATTAATACACATGCACGGAGGTTTTTAGAATTATTTGTTAACGTTTTAATGAAAGAAATAATGTTTTTATGCACAAAAAAAGCGATCGCGGCAAACCCGGAAGTGCTATTAGTATGAATTGAACATTATAGGACACATCTGCAGAGGATCTGATTATGGATAAAGGGTCAGTATATAAATGGGTAACTCAGCGCGGATGTTCAGAATTCTTTGTTCAGTTTTCATGTAATTCCAGAGCCTAACAGAGGCTTGATTCGGAGGCTCCGCAAAAACAAACTGAGCATGCGCGCAGCTGCGAGCATCAGCGCCGATGATTGACAGCCCTTGGCATGACTCGATTGGTTAACGTGGACGGCATCGTAGATTCTGAGCTATAGCTAAGAGAAGGGAAGGCGTATTATTAGAATTAATAAAATGACTTATTTTATATCAACATTTAAGGCCAGGAGGTCAATTTAACACTTCCTAAAATTTGTAATTCATTTAGAGTTACAGACCTATCATATCACTTTAACCTGAACTACCATGGCAAATTTTACACATTGTCTCAGGAAAACAACATTCATACTCTAAACATTGAACCCAAAAGGCAATTGAGAATAATTTGATTTAGAATAAGGAGAGGCTAGGAGTGCTCAGGGTCTCTATGCCGTGTGAAACCAGTGTTCTTCTGATAGGGCACATAAAGAGTCAGAGGCTCTTGGTTAGATGCAAAAAGTTCTTAGTTTAATATGCCAACGTGTTTCAACTTACTGTTTCCATCAGGGCTTGTGAGCTCACAACATTTGTCGGAATCTTGAAGCGTACAGTCCGTTCTTGGCCGTTTTCCTCAATAATGTCTTCATGTGACCTGTGTGTGACCTCTCTCTAGGATCATTGGGCGAAGTGACAATGAACCCAAACGCATCAAGAAGAGTAAGATGATCGCCAAAGCCTTTGCCATGAGGAAAGAGCTGCACCAGAACCCGGAGAAAGAGCTGTCCTTCAGCATGCACACGGTGTCCCATGACTGCCCTGTGGGTGAGTGTAACCCTCACTACTGCCATCATCATTAATATATCATGATGATAACGGAGGTTTTTATTGTAATGTTACACGACGTTGTATCTGATCAAATTCATACATTAAACGTTTTTAAGTTAGGTTTTATGTTTTGGCTCTGGATCGTTTGTCCTGTGGCAGAAAAGGGTGCAAAATGGCTCTTTTGACCACAGAGGTTGCAGACCCTTGGGCTAGACCAATGATTTTGATGACCCTATTTTTACAATAGTAAACAATGGAACTATGTAAAACAATCCATGTTACTACTGTAGTTCCTCGCTCTCAAAACAGGTCCATCATTAGTTTTCACATGCATGTATTTTTGGCCTCTTTCACACTTTTTGGATCTATGGTGAGTTGCTCTCCATAGCTTTGGATTTTTGGGTTGCTACTCTTATAACAACTTTTCATTCTATGTCTGTGAGACAAAGACTGACAAAATGCACTAGCATGGCTTTTAATTGGCTTACAGAAACGATATCTCTGTCACCATTTATAAGCATGTAAGATTCATTCAGCGTGGATGACTTGATGCACAGTTCCATTGACCCTCTTCCTTTGTGCTGCTCTGATGACTGCCTTTGTCGTCTCCAGCTGGAATCAACTTTGACATCAATGAGCCTTCCAACGACATGTCATCAGCCTGGGCTCAACATGTGACCAAGATTGTGGCCAGGAGGGGAGCCATTCTGCCCCAGGACATCTCCGTCACCCCCACCGGGACGCCAGGTCAGAGAGCATCTTCCGCTTTGATTAGGCTCTAAGTCAGGGGTGTCAAACCCTTTTTTTCAGGGACCGAATACAAAATAGAAACTGATTGGAGGCCGAAAGAATAGAAGGTATATTGACTTAAATGACATGAGTTTCACAATTTATTTCTGGTTGCTTTTTCTGAAAAAATAATATGTGTTTATACAAAGATAAACACATTATTATTATATTTTCTATTAAACTATTTAACTTTTCTGATGATGTGTTTGATTAAAATGTTCAAAGCCACCCTGTGTAATTTTTACAGCTGCTCCATATGCAAAAACATGTTAACTAATAACAAATGTGACCTTTTTAAGAATATTTACCGCCACCATTTTTTTAGAATTGTATTCATAGGCTTAGAATTTACCTAGAATTTCTACCTGGGCCGGATTTCACATGCCTGATCCAAGTGGTCTTGTGCTTTACTTGTATCATGGAGAGTAATCCATTGAGTAAATTATGTTTAGGTTTAATGTACTGTATATTGCAGACATACTCAAAAGCTTTACTGGAGATAGATACATAAATACATAATATAAACAAATCTATATTACTAAATACAAAAATATACTATTACAGTGTATTAATCCCATGGATGTATTATATTATCAGGGTAGGACATGCTATTTTAAGCCCAAAGTGTCAACAAGTGTCACAGGGGTTTTCTATTGAGATGAAGAACAATAAAGTTATGTGTGCCATCTTTAAGACCTATTTAATTTATTCCCTTGTAGTGCCCCCTCCCGAAGAGCGGAACCGCCTGTGGATGGTTGAGGCAGAGATCTCCCCGGAAATGATCAAGCGGAAGAAGAAAAAAAAGAGGAGGAAGAAGGAAGGGCGCCCCGAAGAAACCACAGAGCAGAGCCCACCTCGGCCTTACATGCAGCGCGAGTTTGGCCGCAGCTCTGTGCCCCGGCTGCCCAAACTCCCCAACCACCCCAGCCTGGTGGCCAACCTCAGGCAGCAGAACGAACTGGAGGAAAACAACTTACCGGGGTCTTACCAGGACGTCCCGCTGTCCCAATCTCGGGAGTGCGACGAGACGTACCCTTATCCGCCCTGCTACAAGAGTGCACCCCCGCACAGCCGCACTGTGTCTGACCGCTACCCCGCCAGTGACCGCCCAGAAGACTTGGGCATGGGAGTGCGATACCCAGGACTCACAGGAGGCTATGGCGCGCGGGAGAGGGCTCGTGCCGGGGAACGCTGGGGCAGGCCCATTAACTCACGGACAAACCTGATGGGGGCTGAGCTGATGGACGCGGACTCTGACTTTTGAAACCATTTGAATTCGGGGATATTGTATCAATTATAGTGAGAGTAACGTCTAAAAGTGAACTGTGTAGCCAGTTTAAGTTACTGTGGCTGATCCAGTTTAAACGTGATGCTTGTGGTCGGACTTTAAGACCACAGAGCATTACATCCGTTTACAGACTGTGTCACGGCTCTTTGAGGTCATGCTGTTTCTAAATAGAGGTATCTATGCATGACATGACTGATTCAAGAGCAAGGGAACGACACCAGTTTAAGCTGATTGTCCTGGGTTTAAGGATGAAAGGTGTTTTCCTCATAATTCTTCAGAAGGTTGGAGAGGGGGTTCTTCTACCCTGCTGCAGCTCTGCTCTCTGCTCTGACTTTACAGCTGTGTCTGTGGTCCTGTCTACATGTACACATGTATCTAGCGGGCTGCCACCTTTGCAGTCTGGCTGCATGCCTGTAGTTCTGACTACAGAAATGGAAATACACAGTGGAACCTTATGCAACCTTATGGAACCTTGTAACCCATAGCAAAATACTGCATTTATTATTTTTTGGTTACATCTAAATTACTATAAATTAATTACCTAAATTCTTATTGTGTCATGCGCAAACTACATGGAGTCTTTTTCAGTTTTCCTGTGAGAGGGGCCACTTGTGGCATCAGTTTGAATGGAAAAGATTATTAGCGGCCCATGTTATAGTTTTGAGTTCTCATCCTCACGCAACTGCAGACAGACGCTCAGTGGTGAAAACAAGGATTTTGGACAACTCGGACCCAAATGAAGATTGTCGGGGGTTTTGCATTTAAAAAAAAACATTTGACGTCATGCATGAGCTTACTTTTTATGTCTGGCCTGAACAGCATCCGACAACATCGATCTGGAGAGTGTGCTAAACTGGCTTATTTTCTTCAAAAAATTTAAATCCTGTCTACTCTGGGGATATTTTTTTTTTATTCAACTGGTTTTGAAATAGAGAAAAACAGCAGAGCTTTTCCAGTGTAGAATTTGCTCCTGTGTTTGGATGTGTTTTCGTGTGGAATTTAAATTTCACCCAAATTGTTACTTTACCACACAGGACAGCAAACAGGATATAGATTTAAATGGCTTCGCAAGTGCTGGATACTTTCAAGTCATACGCATTTAAAAAAAAATATTTTATTTTTGTAAAGATAGAAAAATGTATCTTGTAAAGAAGTTTTCAAGAATTGTTTTAATAATATTTTTGTAGATTTTTCATAACGAACATAATGGCAAAAGGCAGCTAAACATGTTCATGGCTTGAAGAGTTACTGATTTTACCAAAATGCCTTTAAATTTGTTTTTTTTTGTACAGTTGAGGTGTGATAAAAATGTAAAATAAGTATATATAAAACACATTTTTTTAAAAGAGGGTTTTCAAGTGTGTCACGATTTGGACAAGAAATTCACAGTGTGTATTTTAAACTCCTGCCAGCTGCGGTTCAGCTTAAATTGGTCAAATGTAGCTCCAATATGAATTTGCACCTTCATATGTTAATGTCACATACTGTACATAGACTGTCTATTAGGTCACAAGTTACATTTTTGTACAGATTTAGTAAGTAAGTAAGTAAGTAAGTTTTTATTTATATACCGCCTTTTCACAGCAGATCTGAGTCTCAAAGCGGTTTACAATTGTTAATTTTGGGCATTTGTCTCTCACTCCACACAGAGATGGGAGCGGGGTCGCCAGTACAGGAAGCGCATGCCAGAACTATTGGACATATTTTTAGTGGTAGGGGAAACCGGAGTACCCGGAGGAAACCTACGCAGACACGGGGAGAACATGCAAACTCCACTCAGAAAGGCCCTGGTCCGACCGGGATTCGAACCCAGGACCTTCTTGCTGAGAGGCGAGAGTGCTATCCACTCAGCCACTATCCACTCTATCCACTCAGCCACCGTGCCGCCCGATATTTATTATATATTATGCATAAAAAGTGGGTAACTGTTTTCAGCTGTTTTGCCCTGTTGACCAAAATGACCATGTATTTCTCTGTACACCTGAATAAATGAAGCTGATGCAGTGCGGCTGGTTGTCTTTAGGACCAAACATTCACAACTGACAAATTATTTAGTGGTTTAAAATGAACCACAGTGATACCATTAACAGCATAAAAGCATTTAATTATATTTCTGTGGGCTTTGTTTGCAGTTGCCTTTGTGGTGTAAGTGTCATGGTTTTACAACATGACAGTAAATGCCTGATCCTATCACATAGGGTGGGGTATTTATAACATAATTTTGAGGTTGAGTTCTTGCATAAAACTAAACAAAAAAACGTGCCCTGCCTAATTTATCCATCCATCCATGTCTTCCCTTAATCCATTTCTGGGTTGGGGTGGCCAGAGATGCCACCCAGTACACAGAGCACCAGCCCCTCATTGATCCTCCTGCAGGTGGTGAGTCCACAGGAGCTGAGATCTTTCAGTGGGAGCTTCAGGCAAAGTGGGGTTAAGTGTCTTGCCTAAGGACACAATGACAGCAGTCATCAGTGGGAGTCGTCAAGTAGGTCTTACGGTGGGCTCGAACCCACAACCTTCAGGCTCAAAGGCCAATGCTCTACCAACTGAGCTACTGTCGCCCCTTTTAGGCCTTTTCTGCCTAATTTATAAAATAGGAAATCAAGGAAAACTAGAACAACGTGTAAAAGTTAATTTAGCCCTGAAATTCAACTTTGCTATTTGAGGTTTTGGGTTGAGAGCATAGACTGTATTGTTGAGAGCTAATATTGAATGAGGGTAGTCCTCTCTTCTGTCTGAAACCAATCTAAAGATGTAAGCAAGGCCAAAAACTACATGCATGTGAAAGCTAGTGTCAGAACTTATTATTTATTTAATCTATTTAATACCTATCTACGTATTATAGAATTCACCCCAAATTATTATTTTTGTCAAATTATTATTGAGGACTTATTATTGAGAGCAGTGTTAAAAACTCACATAATAATCATATACATATTGTGTGACAACTGTGACCCCAAAGTATAGAAGTGAACTGACTGAGGGCAAACCAAGAGACTGTACTGTGCATTAGGTCCATAATGACTCTACACATAAACGGATGTAGCGGTGACACAGGGGGCAGCAGGAGAGGAGCGCACCCTGCACTCAGCAAACATCTGACTGGACCACTGTGTCTGGGATCTTCAGCAGCATCCTCATCGAGTCATTATAGGAAACTGAACCTCTGCAGACAGGCTGCTTGTAGCTCCGCCACAGGTTGTGTATGAAGGAGCACAACATGATTGGAACAAGGAGGTTTTTACATTCACAGAGCACATGTGAATAAACTTCCAAACCAGCATGTTGGATTGACCATACAGTTTACATCTCTCTCTGTGCATATTCCCGTCGTCTGTGATCACTGCATTTATAATACCCTTAAGATACTTCACCTCATCACTGACATTTGAGCATAACCACAAAGAGAACATTCAGGAAATACAATTTCATGCCATTTTTTGTCCTCACAATCATTTTAAAAAAAATTCTGGAGTTATAATTGATGTCATTTTGAGGACCATACTCGGAGCATACATGGAGGACCTGCTGAAGTATACTTCCTCGTTCTTCCTCGTTACTTCCTAGATCTTGAAAAAAATGCCTTTTCTGGGATACTTTCAGGTTTGGTATGACGTAATTTAAACACATTTTAGTTACCACTTAGTTTGAATATAATGTATTTAATATTGTATAAAGAAGAAGGGAGAACAAAGAGAACAAAAGGGGTATTGTTAATGAATACGGATGCATCCATATGTCATCTACTTCCATGATACAACCTTCCCCCTCCTCCCTGCCCCCGCCTGTACCTCCTCCCGCTCGGCTTCTCCTGCTCCGTGTGTGCGGGCTGTCTGTGCGGTCAGTGTGGCAGTGTGGAGCATGTGTGAAGCTGCTGTTTGAAGCCCGGAGCCCAGACACAAGCCTCAACATGCCGCACAAACAGGCCTGGCTCATGCCCGACGAGGCGGACAGTGTAAGACAGAGGAACCAAGGGGAGCAGCCAGGTGAGCTATCGAGGCACTACTTTTCACTTCATTCATTCATTCACACACTTCTTGCAAAAAAGTAAATAATCAAATGCCAGCTTTTTACATTGGAGGAATTCCTAATAATGACTTCTGTTTACTAGACTGAAAATCTCTTACAAACTAAACTTGTTTTTTATTTTTTATTTTTTTATTTTTAGATACATACGAAAAAAAAACAACTAGTTCTCTGCTCTCCAACAGTTTTGTTCTATTATTTGAGTTTTCACATAATTTTCTTGCTTCTGTCACATCTTTAGATCAGCCTTGGTACAGAAAGATATCGCCCTCAAAGGCCAATCAGCTCTCAGCCAATATAAAAGTCAAAATATAGGTTTAAAGCCGCATGATGTGATCTGCTTTGTTCACATTTTATTGTTACAAGACTGCTTCTGTTGGGACAAATACATGAAATATCAGGTACCCCATCTTTAATCCTCCTTTTATCTTTTATTTTACTTTACAAGGTTTTATACTAATTCTGATATATATTCACTTTCAAACTTGTTTGCAAGTTTTGTAATGTAAATGTATGTTTGATTTGATAACACTGGTAAAAGTGATCCTGTCTTACTATGTTTCAAACGTAAATATATGTAAATATGTATAAAAAATGTTATGTACCCGATGCTTAGGGTTTAGAGCTCATTAGCTTATTTAAGAGTGTTCCTTTGTTTAGTTTTTTTCACTTTTCTGTCAGAAATTCACATGCATGGGAAAACTAGGGATAGTTAGATGGATTTTATTAATCAATTTTGTTTTTGGTTATGTACCCCAGGCCTCAGCTTTAGGCATCTTGGAAGAGTAGACATGTTCATGAGGAGAACTTTGAATACTTTCCAAAATAATTCCTCCTTTGCAGTAGTTGTTACTTCAAAGATCTTGTTGGAGTTCGGGTTTTGATTTCTTTCTATCTCAGGTCTACTTTAAGTGTTGCGTTGCATTGTCTTTGTTTAGTAGTGTTCTGTATTTGTCCTGCGAGTCTCTAGGACAGTGATGGGCATATCCCTGCTCTCCACGGCTCTAATGGATCCACTCTGCTGGACGCTGTGCATGACTCTCAGGAGGTTTCTGTTTGTCACACATTTCAAAGAGACCCATGCATGCTGATTGCTTCAGATGCTCCACTATACCATGTCCATTCGAGTTAACGAAGAAGCATAGGTAGAAACTGTGGGACGAGACACAATTTACACAAAACAAATGAGACACAAAGGTCTCAAAAGGTTTGATAAGGTTCAATTCAATTCATTTTTGAAAAGCACTAAATCACAACAGCAGTTGTTTTAAATTCCTGAACAACAGATCAGAAAGTCAAATAGTTTGAATACAGGAAATGCAAAAATAGCAAACGCATAGGGGTCCATAGGGGAAGATGAGCAATATCCTTTTATGTCCAGGATCATCACTACTGTTCTTAGGTCCACCTGTAATGACAAGGAATGACTCAAAAACACTGAGTAAAAGTGAGAAACCTTAGGGAGGCCCACATTAAGAGATTGATCCACTTCCACAGATGGAAAGGCTATAGGCCAGCTTTTTTTGGACACTCACAGACACTTCACATTTCATTATTCTTTCACTCCATCACAATGCTGATAAACTGAAACTGTAGCCACAGCTGCCCTGGGGCACACTGACAGAAGCAAGGCAACCAGTATGTGCCATCAGCCCCTCCGACCACCACCAACCAATCACACAAACACTAGACTCATTCAAGGCAATGTGGGTGAAGTGTCTTGCCCAAGGACACAACGACAGTTTGGCACTTTACGGCCGCAGCCGCCCCACTGTGGCTGGTGTTCCCAGAGGTCAGTGTCTTGCCAAGGACACAACAAATGCAGACATCAGTGGGAGTCGGTTGAGAAAGTCTTGTTGTGGGCTTGAACCCACGACCTTCAGGCTCAAAGGCCTATGCTCTAGATAGATAGATAGATAGATAGACAGATACTTTATTGATCCCCCATAGGCTAGCAACTGAGCCTACCAACTGAGCCACTGGGGCCCTAAACGATACACAGTCCATTGCTGCACATATTTGTTTACGCAAAAGCAAAGGTGAAATTTAACAGGAATCGTGGTGATTTCTGGAGCAAAGCAGAAATGCGAGGATGTAGTCTGCAGCAGATGTGTGAAAATGTATGAGAATTAAAAGCCTAAATGATTTACACTTTCAAGCGTTTACTATGTACGATAGAAATTTTATTTACAATTACGGTTATAAAGTTTGAGCAATAAGAGACAGTTACTCGACGCCATTAATAAGGGCTTCAAGCGGCCTCTCCACAGGACCAAAACAGAAGAGCTGTTGTCTGGATGTTGAACTGCCCAACTATTTTCCACGGGAGTTATCTCACATCGTCGCCATTATTGCTCCCGTGTTTACACACGGGAGCAGCTTCTCGGACTTAGAGACTCCGCTTTCCGGCACTCAGAGAAGCCGGTGATCCCCTTGGAGATCCGTAGGAGACGCAGGGGCTCCAGAGGAGACCGAAAGAGGAAGAAGAGACCGTATCTCCCCTCCATCCTCATGGGGAACGTACGGTCCATCTCTAATAAGACCATCAACTACCTCTCAGACCGACCACAGTACGTGCGGCTGCGCAGCTGTGAGTCTGAGGTGGTAGTCTGCAGCACTGGGGCCCCTCAGGGCACTGTCCTCTCACCGTTTCTCTTCACCATCTACACCTCAGACTTCACACACGACACACACAGCTGCCACCTGCAGAAGTTCTTCGACGACTCCGACGACTCCGCCATCGTGGGCTGTGTGTCTGAGGGGAATGAACTGGAATATCGGTCGGTTATCACAGACTTTGTCGACTGGTGTGAGCGCAACCACTTGTGCTTGAACACCAGTAAGACCAAGGAGATGGTCATCGACTTCAGGAGAAAACCACTTTCCCACACGCTGCTGAACATCCAGGGGGAGGACATTGAGCTGCTGGACAGCTTCAAGTACCTGGGTGTTCACATTAACAATAAACTGGACTAGTCCCATAATACAAACGCCCTGCACAAGAAGGACCAAAGTCGCTTCTTCCTTCTGAGGAGGCTGAGGTCCTTCGGAGTGAGCAGGCCTCTGCTCAGGACTTTTTATGACTCTGTGGTAGCATCTGCCATTTACTACGCTGCCGTGTGTTGGGCCCCGGGCAGCACAGAGCGGGACAGAAACAGACTGAACAGGCTGGTCAGGAGGGCCAGCTCCACTCTGGGCTGCCCCCTGGACTCTGTGGAGGAGGTGAGGGACAGGAGGGTGCTAGTCAAAGTCACCTCCATCATGAACAATACCTCCCACCCACTGCACAGGACTGTAGAGGAGCTGAGGAGCTCCTTCAGTGGAAGACTGAGACACCCTTAGTGCAAATGGCACTTGTCACTTTTGTTGTACATAATTATTGTCACTTTTATTGTACATATATATCCTGCATGTAACATGTTTGCACATTTCCTCCTTTTGCACAATCTGAGTGTCTCTATCCATGCTAAATGTGACATGTAAATTTCTCCTCTGTGAGATAAATAAAGCAAATCTTATCTTATCTTACATTCATCCTCGCGCCGAGCCAGAAACTGTGTGTGACGTCATTCAGGAGACAGTCGCTAAAATTCCGTCACAGGATTCTGAAACATTGATGATTCGGTATTACATATAAATAGTAGAAGTCTATTGAGAAACTTCTCATGAATTAAAGATTATTTAAATGTATAATCAAAATACAGTGTAGTTGCTGTGTCAGAAACATGGTTGGACAAAGATAAATTATCAGATGCGGAACCTTGCCTTGCCATTTTTGGAATCTGTTACTGTTGAAATTCATACGGAGAAACAATTTTTTTTTGAACACTGTAATGTATATATAGAGCTTGTGGTTCTTCTCTAGATATGTTCAATGAATTTGTTGGAAACATGTTCAGTGTAAATGGAAACAAGAGGTACGTCATCTGTGGTGGCTTTAATGTTGACCAGGTGGACCACAGACTTCATCAATAGATTTTATAACACTTCATTATATCCAGTGATAGATAAGCCAATTAGAATAACAACTGTATCAGCAAGATTAATTGATAACATATTCTCTAATGAAATTGGTCAAATTGACAGTTTTTTTAATGAGACATTAGAGACCATCTGCCTGTTTATGTTTTCATAATGTTGCAACAAACTATTCAAGAACAGTGAGACAAAAAACAGCGGAAGAAATTGAATCACACAAAGAAGAATAAAATTTGTAAAATTGTAACTGGGATAAGAATTTTTTTGAATTGACTACTAGATATTTACATGTTGCCCATTCGAAAACAATAACTTATAAATGTAAAGTACAGAAACCATAGTTCACTAATGGAATTATAAAATCTAAGAAGAAAAATATTTTATTCAGGAAAGGATTTTGATTAAAATAAGATTACTCCGGACAGTAGTTCCTACAGTTCGTCAAAAAGGGATTTCACCGCCTTTCACTAACTACTTCTGTCTGTGTGAGAAAAACTATTCCCCCGTGACTATAAACAAGGGCTGCTAACTTGTTAGCTGACATGACAAATGTATTTATTTATGTTTTTCTATAAGAGGCTCCTCTGCCCCATGGATCTATAATAATATAGATATAGGTATTACTAGCTAGCTACTAACTAGTCCCACCCATGGGCACAGGTGGCGCCACTGCAGACTAAATTCACGAGGGCTACCCAGAAAAATGTCCCATAGAACTCAATGTAAACTAAACCAGCTCAACCTCAGCTGAAAAGAATCTACAGCTTTCATAAACGTCGGATATTGTGGGGTTTTTAGTGTTCCTTGTCATCCTGAACTTTTTTTCTTCTTAAATTCTTTGGTTTTCTTCAAATCCGCACTTTACTTTCACAAACTCTGCTCATTTCCTTCCCACTCGGGCTCCGCTCTACTGCAGCCGCTTCATTTTATACTGCACATGGCTAATAAAATGAATCTGAATCTGACATCCACTGTACAAGGAAAGACACTTAACCTCTGGAAACACAGCTACAGTGGGGCGACTGCGGCTGTAAAGTTCCAAACTGCCGTGTCTTAGGCCAGACACTTTATCCCCATTGCCTAGAATGAGTCTGGTGTGTGTGTGAATGGTTGGTGGTGGTCAGAGGGGCCGATGGCACAGACTGGTTGCCTCGCTACTGTCTATAGAGTGCCCCAGGGCAACTGTAGCTACAATTGTACTTTATCACCACTGTGTATGGAGTGAATGAGGACCCCCTTGAAAACGATTCATGTCAAGGGGCTTATCCTCTCAATAAATAAATAAGATGAATGAATATAGACATGAGTGTGCAGTGAGAATGAAGTTGTTGCAGTATTAGTGAATGTTAAGTTCAGTGCAACATGCTATATCTCAATTTCTAGTACAAGTGTCTTCTTAAAAAAGACTTGTATTTTTCTGTGTCTTAGGGTTTTTTGAATTGCCTTTTATAATATAATAATAATAATAATCTTTATTTGTATAGCACTTGATGATTTAAGGCTGCGGGTGGGCTCGTAGGGGGTTTAAAGTTCATAAATGTAGCTTGGTGCCAGACCTAAACGAGCTTTAAAAGTAATCAGTAAAATCTTAAAATCTTGAGTCTTGAATAAAGATTTATTATAATTATTAAAGCATAGTTTTAAACTGGAATACTCCCAGAATGCCATTTTTTGTCTAAGCCAAATTAAAACAGAATCAAAGAAATCTCACAACATCCTATTACACTTTCACAATCTTATATTTTCTCAGGCCAACCCTGAAAACTGAAAAGTATGAACATGATATTTGTATTGCAACTCTACAAACTCCTCCATCATGCTTTAAGACTATATTTTGTGCCACAGAAAACCACGGGGAGTACATTGAGCACCATTACCGCTTCCCGCAGAGACCATCCCAAACAGAGCGCCTCTGTCCAGGGTCCCATCACAGGGATCACAGCCCGTCAGATCTGCACTCTCCAGAAGCATCTGGGCACCACTTCTGCCAGTATACCCCCAAATGCTTCCTTACTGTTCACAAAGGTACTCACTTCTGCTCCAAATGTAGCCGCTTCATTCAGTGAGTGTGTTTACAAAGCATCAGTCAAATTATAATTGTATTGAACAAAATGCAAATAAATCCAGTCCCTTGGCGTAAATGGATCGAACCATTTTTACTAATATTAGAAATGTATGTTTGATCATTGTTTTTGTTTTGGTTTTGTGACATAAGTCAAAAGCAGGAAAACATTTCTAGTTTGCCATTCCTGTTCCAGTTTGAGTGTCAAGGCAAAGTATGAGACACCAGCTAATCTTATGCTTTGTATCGTACTCAGTGATGGAGTCTTTTTCACTTCAGCACAATCTCAAAGTTGATATAATATAGGATTATATTATATATGTTCCTAGGGGGACCTGCAGGCTCGACCCGCTCCACGGCCTCTTGGTATGGGGACGAAGCCTGGCACGACAGCACCACCAGAACCACCATCCGAGTGGAGAATGAAGTGGAGGCACACAGAGAAGCCAACAATTATAAGGTCAGGGTGAATATTCTACAGAATGCATTACTGGAGATGGCTCATGTTGTGTCCCTGGGTAAGAAGCGCCAGTCACTTAGTGTGTAAGGAAAGTACATCAGCTTTAAGAGCAGTGAATAATTTTCTGTCAAACCAAACTGCCCATGCCATCTGTGCATTTCCAAAGGGTGGTAACATAAAAAGGCTCAGTGATTTGAAATGTGAATACATGTTTTTAGCTTTGTTGACACTAACGGCCTTCTCCCAAACTGGACACAATTTTTTTTTTATACTGCTCATTACAACACAAACATTTAAAAACATGCCAAATTACCAACTCTACAATAATAGAAATTAAAACATATAAAACATAGATTGAAATATACCATAATTATTGATTTCATAATGAAGATTGTTTGTTGTTTAAGTTCGGTTTCAGGAAATGGAAGGGCCACGTCACTGAAAGACCCATCGAAGTCAGATCAGACATTGACAAAGAACTGTACTCCGACTTAAGCACTGTTCGACCACAAGAAGGTGCGGTTTTATCTCTTTTCTTATAACCTAATATGATAATAATAAAATAAAATGGTAATATTTAGTAGAATGTGTTTACCTTTCCTCCCTCAGGCTCCTTGGTCACCTGTGGCAATGTTGCTTATGTTATTTTCTTTGGATGGTGGATTTCTTTAATCTACTTTATCGTTTGCCCTTTGATGTTTCTTACCATCCTAGGGGCAGTTTATGGTATTGCAATCTATTATTTTCTGTATATTTTTTATTTCTTTCATCAACATATATGTAAATTTATATATATATTAATCCTAACTTTTTATTTATTGTGTTTTGTGGTTAAGGAAAGCTCTGTTGGAAAATGGGCTGCTATTTCATTTGGCCTTTTGGCAAGTCGATACAAAAGGTAAAGTCAACATTTAAAGAAGTAATATTGCGCATTTTTTGGCCATTTTGATTATTATGATTATATTGACACTATTTACATTGTTGTTGGTTTCAAATAAGGCCACACATCACAAACGTGATCGAGCGTGCTGGATTAAAAAAGTTCATAATATGAGAAAAGCCCTTCATTAGACATGTCTGGCCCTTCATCATGTCTGATGACATGTCTGATTTCTATTATTTACTTATTAGGTATTCACTTTACCTATTTATGTTTTAGAACTATTGTAAAATAATATTGTCTACAAAAATGTTATTTCAAGTATGAAGGGTAATGATGCTATTGCTCTGCTCAATCTCTATGCTGCTGGCGGGGGTATGGAATTTTTTTTTTTCCTAAGCTTGAAAATTAGTGTCTGCAACCACTGTCTTGTGATTGCAAACATGTTATTTGAAAGTTATTTAGTTTTTCTGTACAAGACAATTGTAAGATAGCAATGGAATTACTTTGACATGTTTCACTGGTATACCTCTGTCTTCCTCAGAAGTTTCTTGAAACATCACACATGTCTTATGTGTTTTATGGGTCAAGCCAGCCTTAGGATGGCTGGATTGTGTCTACAAAAATTAGTTTACCTTTGAAATTGCCAAAACAATATTTTTTTTGTAGAAAACTGCTCAATGACTAATACAGGACTGAGACAGGAGCTTTAAGATTGAAGGGGTGGAGTTTTTGTGCCAAAACTTCCTGATACTTGTGTGGATGGATCTAAAGACATGGATCTATGTCTCTTTGTGATGGATTGAATGACACCAGAATATATTCCAATGCTGTTAATCTAAGTGAAGCGGTTTGCGTCTTCAGGCCAGTGATGTGCGGAGGACGAACACCACCAAACCTCCGAGGTGTCAGCTTCCTGAGGACGGGGACAGCCAGAGCAGTGAAAAGGACTCCTCACCTCTACTGGCCTCGTCTCCGTACCCTGTGGAGGTCCCTGTGCCTGAAGTAGCAGCCAACACCACTTCAACACACTGGGTAAGATGCTTACAGAGTAAAGAAAAGTTTATAGAGGTAACCATACTTTATCGTATGTGTAATACAGTACTGGGTAAGTTACTTTGAGAATGTAGTTACAAATTACTTACTTACTTAAAGAAATAGTTGGTTACATTACTTTGTTACTGCCCCAAGAAAGTAAGTCATAAGAAAGTTAATTACTTTTGGATTGCTTCGTGTCAGAAAACTCAGAACAGAATCCTGTTTGTATCTGCTTTATTAAAGTCAATTAAATAAAGGTTATCTAGAAATAAGTTGTTCAAAACTGGCTCAAATGGCAGATCATTAACATGAAAGATTTGACATTGTTCTCCCCAATCCATCCATTTATATTCTGCGTAAAATGTTTTTGAAAGACGGTGAGTCTACAGTAGAAATGAGAAGCATCAACGTACGCCGCTCACAGGTCTGTCCAAACAGGCTGTAAAACAGCTGCAGTACATTCAAAATGCAGCAGCTCGAGTCCTGACTAGAACCAGGAAGTACGACCACATTAGTCCAGTTCTCAGGTCTCTGCACTGGCTTCCTGTGGCTCGGAGAATAGACTTTAAAACAGCTCTGCTTGTGTACAAGTCTCTCCATGGCCTCGCACCGAAATATATTAGTGACATGTTAGTACCATACGAACCAGCCCGGACTCTGAGGAGCACAGGGACTGGACTCCTGTTAGTGCCCAGAGTCAGAACTAAACATGGGGAGGCTGCTTTTCAGATTCATGCTGCTAAAATCTGGAACAATCTTCCTGAAGATGTGAGACAGGCCTCCTCTCTGACAATGTTTAAAACCAGGTTAAAGACAGTTCTGTTCAACTGTGCATACAACTGAGGGATTTTATATTTTTATCTTTCTTTTTAATGTTCTGTTTATATTTATGATTTTAATGCTATCTTGTTCAGCACTTTGAGTTGCCTTGTGTATGAATTGTGCTATACAAATAAACTTGCCTTGCCTTGCCTTAAAGTCTATTTGGGGCGAGACGATGGCTGGATAGCACTCTTGCTTCTCAGCACGAAGGTCCTGGGTTCAAATCCCGATCAGAACAAGGCCTTTCTGAGTAGAGTTTGCATTTTCTCCCTGCGTCTGTGTAGGTTTCCTCCGGGTGCTCCAGTTTCCCCTACCACTAAAAGAATGTACAGTGGGCCTGGCGTGCACCTCCTGCATGCCACTCCACAGCATCTCTGCTGTGGCTCTTGATCTCTGACCAGTTACCTGTGGGAGAAATCCAAGCATGAAGTCTGGTTGCAGATTGGCATCTATATGTCTAAAATGGTGCCAACATGTGACAGGCATAACATGTGGCCTTCTTTCAGTGTATGGCACCACTCTATAGATGTATATTTAGATTGACCATGATCATGACTTTTTCAGTTTTTGAACCATTGACCAAAACTTCGTCCCAGCTGATATGCTACCGTTGCAGGTTAAAAATAATTTTAAAGATTACTTTATCAGGGAAAACAACTACATCATTTGTTTCAAACAAGAATATCCATATTCAATTAAAAAAAAACATGATCCATAATGCCTACAAAATGTGAAGTAAATCCACAAATGTAATCACAAATGCAAAGATTCTATAAATAAAATGTGTTTTCCTCTTTAAAAAATAAACTTGTTCCCATTGATATCCCATCAATATCCATAAATCCTATATGGAATAACCTATAGGGCAAATGCTAACTAACACATTAGCCCATACCCCATTATTCATCTGCAGCCGTAAAAAAATAAGTCAGCCATTGACATTGGCTTCCAAAAACCCATATCAGTCTATCTCTTAATTGTGTTCATAAAGCACTACGAAGATGTGAGAAGGGAATGAGCTTGGATGTGATTGTGTTTTCATGTGTTGTGTTGCTTAGCATCACCCGGGGACATACGTGTGGCTCTTGCTGGGGTATCCTGTGCTGGTAGCAGGGCACTTCATAGCTTTCCTGATCTCTTGGCTCCTTGTCTTCACCATTCCAGTGGCCAAACTGAACACTCGGGCCATCACCACTGTGCTGCTCATGGCACCTGATGACATTATCTTTCACAAATTGGACAAAGTAAGTACTCTCTTCATTTTCCAGGACTCCCTTTAAAAAGAGGTTCTCAAACTCGATGGGCCTTTCCTCAATAAATAAAGGTTAAACAGATAAAACATTTTTCAGATTGTAAAATAGAATAGTTGCTCTGGTTGAAACGACATAGGTTGATGATTGTTTTTGTTGTCATGTCATCTGACCTTCGGCATCTTCTCTTGGACACTTGGATGAAGGGAGGGGCAGAGCGGTCAGAGGAAGCCCGTCAGATCTGACTGTCAAGTGTGAGGGTCTGCCGGGAACGTTTCATTGAGCTCCCTGTCAGATGGACCTCTGGGAGAGGCTGCTGTCCTTGTCTATGGAGAAGTGTAGAGGACAGTACAGGCCAGAGATATATGTAGCCACAAAAGTCAGAAGTAGGCCTTTGTCCTCATGGTCTCTGTGGGCTGGTTTGGTCAGATGTGAGATCTTTTGAAAGAAAAAAAAAATCTCAAGTCACTGTCAAACCTACCAGCTCTCCTTCTAATGTTTAAATAGTGCTGTGAGCATGAGGAACAATGTTTCCTATGTATTTTTACTGAAAGCCGCGTCACTAGGCGGCAAAAACATTTTTATGTGTTTGCTGGTTCTACTCTGCCACTGTACAAAACAGGGCTCAGTTCTACCAATGGAGTGGTAGAACTGGGTACATACAGTATGTGCAAACAATCATAATGGCATCAAACAAGTTTTATGATTCTTTAATCAATGTGATATTTGAAAGGGTACTGGCCCAGTGTACGATATGCGCTTTAAGGGAGAACGAGAAGGGAATATAATTACTACAGGTTTAAAAAAAAAACACATTGTGATTGTAATCAGGACGGTTTGTCTCATGGAGAATACTGTGTTATATTTATTTGTACGCATGGAGATGGTGCTTTCCTCCTCCTTTTTATATAACGTGTATTCTTAGACCTGAACTAAAGCCCATGACACAAGACCCTTTGTCTAACACTGTCTTATTTTTTATCGTCTTCAGTCTTTAGCCGGTGAAACCAGAGTCGTCCTGTGCTGTAACAAAGCCATAAATCTTCACTACTACAAGTACTCGGTCCTGGGAATCAACATATTTGCTCTCAGTATCCTTCAAATACTATTCCCTCACACCTACTGTATGCATACAGACACCCATGAGAACCCACTCAGAGCTTTCATGCATTTGGGAGGTACTATTTAGGCCAAAAAAATGTCCCTTATTCAAAAGTCCTTTTACTTCTGTGTGTCAAACCCATTTCCACAACATCTGTCCACATTTCTTCTCATTTTAGCCACTGCGTCACTATATTCACTCAACTGTTGATTCGGATGAATCATGCAGCCCTAAACCAATTGTTTTATTAAACTGCAAAGCGTGCAATTATTCAAGTTGGTTACAAACAAAAAAAGTGACTTGAGATGTGAATTTGGAAAACAGGAAGAAGTATCTTTCGTCTTGGTTTGCATAGCTCAGGTTTGACTATTGATAATTTTGGTAGGAATAACAAAATCTACTAAAGGTTATGTCTGCAAAAGAATACATATGGTCCTGCGGTATAATCTAAATTTAGTGTTGTTCATTGTAAAAATTTGCTGGGGGAGAGAACTATTTTCTAAAATGTGTTTAAGTGTTTTTGTTTTTGTTTTTTTTTTACAAATAAGCAGAATATTAAAACTGTATTACAATGCTGGTCATAAATATTTAGCTAAAATGCCGCAGCCCTTGTCCACTTGTTCCCAGTCATGTAGGGCGTGTTCCTTGAGTCTGCTCCTTCAGACCTGCTTCCTCTGGTCATTACCAGCTTGGCCATTGGCTACACCGACAGTGACCACGCCTATTTCAGCGCTGAAACCAAGTTTGCTACGGCCATCACGTCCATCATTCCACTGTCCTATTTCATCGGCATGGGGATCGCCAGGTAACACAAAACAGTCATACTTATGGTGTTTGTGTGTCCTGGAGCAGGCCAGCAAACATACTTTAGTTCATTGTTAGCCTCAGTGATTAAAATAATGTAGATTTGTGGTGTTTTAGTTTTAAAAAAGAATAGAGATTGAACAATATACCAAGAGCAGATTTATTTATTTTTTATTTTGTCTTCCCATCCAGCCGATATGCTACCAGGGCATGTTATATATTTTAATGGTATTTTTATCTTAATGACTACTTAATAATTTATTTGAATCCAAAGCCAAAATTGATTTGATACAGGTTTTAGTATACTGTGCCAAAGTCAATTTATTTCTGTAATACAGCTTAATATGTGAAACCAAATGTATAGTACAGACTTGGACTGTTATATTTGTCATGATTATGGATTTCTGTCCATTTCAATTAATGATTTTTGCTGTGAGCTGATTATCAATAATATAACGTCTAAAGACTGCATATATCTCATATTTTACTTTAATATTGTAAGTTGAATTACAGAAGTAAATGGATTTTGAACAATAGACGATCTTCTTTATGTATGTGGTCTGTTACTACTAGATATCCAATTTAGCTTTAAAAATGTTTTTATTTTAATATATTCCATTGAGGACATCCCAATAGAATTAGATATTTACACTTTTTCTGTTTAAAATTGTGTAGTCAAGTAGTACTGCATTTAGACGGTATATCAGGAGTATATATCCTGGTATACCGTCCTGGTAAATATATCAGGAGTGGAGTGCTGGTTTGAACATAAGATCGCTGAAGCAGACATGTTGCGAAGATTAGGCAAGCTGGATTTACATAGACAATATTAAAATAAATATTCAAGGCAAGTCAATAGGAGCCAGTGCGAGTTGGAGAAAATTGTCATCCATGATTACTTAATTGAGCTAACGGGTAAACATGGTGAATCTATTTGCAGTCTATGGCTGTTATCAACAATGATGAAAAATGCATATTTTTGAATATCGAAAGAATAGATTAGCAGGCCCATTTGGTTCTTGTGCTCAGTTGCACCAAATGTGGCAGTTGCTGCTACAGTAAGCTGTTGTCCCGTGTCTAAGAGAGCCTGTTTCCCCTCAGCATCTCCGCTCAGAGTAACTTTGCAGTGGGGGCCGTGGTGAATGCCACCTTCGGTTCCATAACAGAGATGACCTTCTACATCACTGGGCTGCTGCAGGGACAAAAAGCTGCCACCAAGTGTTACGAGGAGATCGTCAAAGCCGCCCTCACGGGCACCTTACTGGGCTGCATACTCTTCATACCAGTAAGGCTATTTCACATTGTCTATGGCAGTGTTTTCCAACCTGGGGTACGTGCAGGTATTAAGGGGGTAATTTAAGAAACTTTTTTAAAAAAATATAGAAAATGTATCAGTTTCTAATAATAATCCTTACTTACAGTAAGTATTCATTGTGTTCAAATTCAAGTTAAATTAATTCAAAAGTTAAATCAAACTAATATTTTTGTTTCATAAAGAAAAAGATGGTGACCTTGATATAACCGTAAAGCTTAAGGGACTGGGGTACTTGAACATTACAAAGATAAAACCAGGACAATGTGGAAAAGTAAAATGCATGGGATTTAAGAAGTGACTTAAAAAGAAGGAATTGATGGAACTAGCCATAACTTTTCATGCTCTGTAATAACGACTCCTGACGGCAGCATGTAGAGATTGAAGCTAATTATTTTCTGGATCCTTTCTTGCTCAGGGAATCTGTATGATCATCGGCGGCATAAAGCACCAGGAGCAGAAGTTCAACAGCCGCTCAGCCGGAGTCAGCTCATCTCTGCTCTTCATATCTATCGGAGGTGCAACATGAACGCTACAAACTCCAGTGAGAAGTGACATATTTATGAACGGGTTTTTGTTTTCAGGTGTCTTTGCTCCAACGCTGTTCTCAAAGACGTTTGGAAATCTGGTTTGTGAGAGCTGCACGTCTGTCCCAGGAAACACCAGCGTGCCTTTCATCTGCAAAGATTGCCACTACGACTCGGTAAGTTTAGCAGAAAAAGATTTGCAAAAAACATTTTTGTCCATGGGCAAGATCTTATCCTGCGTTGATTCAAATTTAGTTCATTAACTATTTACTGTTTTATTGGATTATTTGTGCAAAAATACTCAATGTGCACCGGAGATGACCATTTTAATACGCTAAAAAAACATTACAATCACATGGTGTTTAGGACAATTTGCCAGAAGTCCTACCAGAACAAAGTCACATGTCTGTTGGTCCAATCTGGCCCCTGAGACAATATTTACTATCCCCCTGAAAAGATGACTACAATTTTCTTTATTGTAGTAACTTGATGGTATTGATGGTAAAGGGCTACTATGGCATGTTGTACTTAATTTTAAAGCCTGATGTTTAAGGAATCAACTATATAATTGTATCTGTTTTGACATGTTAAAATGTAATTAGAACTCAATTATTATTACTATTTTATCTATAAATCCAATACATCTTCCACCTCTTATTGATATTTGCAGTTGAATCCAAACCTACTAGAAAACAACATCCAAACTCATGTTTAATACAGTTGACAAAAGACAAAAATAATGTAAAAACAAAACTTTTATACCACTAATATATACTTCTGGCCCCAAATCAGAATGGATATGATTGCTTCTGTAAGTTTATAAACATAGCGAGAATCCAAAAAGAAATGGACACATTTTACAAAGAAACACAATAGTGGCAATTGTTATTTAATCGTAACATGAAACTATTGTTTTGTTTTGTTTTTTACTCAGAGTCAGACTGACCCACAGATGATTCTGTCTCACATTGAGTAAGTATGATGCATGTGTAAGTCTGCTTCACTTCAGCTGGACTCATGTCTTTCAGGGAAAACGACTTTTTTTAAGTGGATGTGTTTTTCTGTCTCTTCCATCTGTTTCATACATACAAGGATTATTGTGAAACACTATTATATTCTTATTCAAAATAATTAAAATGATTATTATAAGACAAATTTTGAATAGTAAATAAGTGACCTCCGTGCCTTGCCAGACCTCTAGTTTACACCATTGCCGTGCTGCTGCCGACCGCCTACCTCATCGGTCTGATCTTCACGCTCAAGACGCATGCGCACATCTACGACATCCACGTCAGCGACATCCAGGGGGGCCACCCACACGGTCAGTACCCCCAGGAGACGCTGCCCCCTGCCGGCTCGCTGCTCCTCGCTGCAGACAACTCCTGCATAAACGCCAGCATTGTAGCTGGCCACCGCGCTGTACCAGGTGTGTGCGTGTGTGTGTGTGTGTGCACGTGAGGCGCGTGGATGTTGCCTGCTGCCTCCTCCTTCTGCCTGCTGCCTGCATTCCCCCACCGCATGTGGCTCTGCACATCAGACTCCCATCAACAGGAAAGGTAAAGGTAAAGGAGAGACCATAGCTTCTCCCAAATGCATAGAAACATTGGGAGAGCGATTCATAAACACCAGGGTGCATGTTCAGGGACAAGGAAGGATGAAGGAAGTGTTTTTTTTTAATTCGATTGCAGCCCATGCATGTGATCTGAGGCATGGAATACAAACTGTTCAGACTGCCATTAATGAACCCCTTCAAGTAACTTTGTTTTTCATAACTTTTCAACCAACTGAACTATCAGGCAGTGTAGAAGACTGCTCTAACCCTCTGAATTTCAGTCACATAACTTCAAACTAGGGCTAATATTGGTACTGCAATAAATTGTGACTTCTGAGTTGCCCAATTGTCTCCTGTGGATCCTGGTCATTCTTCTTGGATATGGGGATTATTATATGGGCAAGGGCCATCCATATAATGTATGTATCTTGTTTCGTTCAGCACACTCAGTTGCCCTGTGAATGAATTGTGCTATACAAATAAACTTGCCTTGGGGGATGAAGGTATACAGGGATGATAAAGTGTACCTTTAGGTAAATGTCAAACAGAGTTTGAGTTTGAGTGAGTGAAAACTTTTTGAAAACTAGCACTGGTTAGACTCGCCCATGCTCATCTGAGCTCTCTTGATTGTTTAAAATCTTTGTGGCTCATCATTGGAAAACTATTATCCTCAGGCAAATCTCACTAAAATAGGAACTATTTTAGATATATTGTTGAAAAAGAAGTTTGCATCTGCCCATATAAGGCAATTAATTCAAGCAAACACTGTGTGTGACGTCAGCACAACGTCTGGCCACTCCTGATCTACGAGTGGCATTTGTTAAACTAGTTGTCAACTCTTCAATTCTCTCGATACCAAACTGTTCCTGATTTGTTTCAAAAAAAGTGATACAATATATTATTTTTTTCACCTCATCACAAGCCCCCTGAACTCGTATATTATTACTGGCTCACATAAAATGCTGTGTGAATGCTGTTGGGCCCGCTGGAGCTTGGTAAGTGCACACATGACCACTCCATATCTCCTCATGACCGGCCTGTCCCGCCCACAGCTGACCCCGTGGTGCACTGGTCCCGCTGGAGGGCTCTGGCCGCGCTCATCATCGCTACCGTGCTCATGGCCTGCTGCGCTGACCTCAGCATCCAGAACATCGAGCCCATGCTGACCCACTCGTCCATCTCCCAGGTTTGTCCGCTTTATGTCCATAGACTGTATATGTCCACTCTCACACTGGATTTAAGGAGGACATGACATGCGTTTGACCTCGTGATCACTGGTCATTCACACTCACAATTGTTTTGAGAGCAATCTGTCCACGTGGTTTTATTTTGAATATATACTTTTTAACACACAGACACTAAGGCCCTGTCCACACGAAGTCAAGCTCAGGCCTAAACGCAAAAATACTTTATCAATCCAGTGTATCGTCCATACGAGGCCGGCGTTTTGGGGGGGTGTAAACGAACATTTTTGAAACTAGGTCCCAGAGTGGAAAGATTTCAAAACTCCGTATATGCCGCTCCGTGGTTACTGCCTCTCCGCAATGTATCTGAGACGCTTGCGTCATCGCCCCGCCTCTTGTTAAAGCACGCATGCGCCGCACTCAGAAAATAATGACAACAACAATGTAGCTTGTTGGTTTTGTAATCCAGTGTGACCCGAAGCAACAGTTCAACCTCATCGTCCGTCCATACTAATGTAGTACCAGCTCGCACACTCGCCATGTTGTCTGTTTACAAAATTCCGCGCATGCCCAATTCCCGTCACGGAAGTTTGGGCTTGATCCCGTCATTGCGTCACAGCGCCACCAACAGGTCTGGCATAGTTTCACAGCGTTTTCAGGCGTATTGACTACATTCATATGGACGCACACATTTACTGAGCTAACTCCGTGTTTACAGAAAAAGTTTCTGAAATTATAAGCGTTTTGTCTTCGTGTGGATATAGCCTAAGATTCAGAAGGTTCCAAATGAACAGTGTGAAAGAGTGACATGACCCTTTGGCAGTGAGACTGTGAGTGAGGGGCCTTCCTTCAACCTAGAGAACCTTTTCCTGTTCCCTGTGTGGTCATGAATAAGCACCAAGGGGGAACAGAAGCCATTTGTTCTCCCCTGGTGCTTGATATTTGTGGAATGATCAACATTTATGGACCAATAGCTCTATGTGTTTTTTTATCTTTGCAATTTTTGTGTTTGAATTGTTTGATTTTCTGAATTGTGTTACTAACGTTTTGAATTAGGGCTATACAAGAACAAGTTGAATTGAACAGAAAGGACAGACTATTGGCAAATTTAAATTTTCTCATATGTGCAAGACTGGAGATCGACTGTTCCAATGGACCAATACGTTTTTCAAATATCGGTTATAGACCTTACCATGATCCCATCCGGTTAATATGCTTCCATGGCATGTTGTACCTAATTTTAAGGGTCATTTTCTCATTTTCCCAAATTGCAATTCATCATAATCCATAAAATCCTATTTATTGTTCAGTTCTGTTTCAATGTAAGAAAAACTACTAAGTGTTTTTGCCCAAAACGTAGCCACCCAAAAATAAATCTCAAACCTGTATCCAACATAAGTACCCATGTGTAAGCGGTAAAGTTGGTATTGAAATATCTGGATATAACTGCCTTGCTAAATGAGCCAAGAGATGATGTATAGACTAAAAAGGATGCATAAAACCTCTGTAATGGCCTTTTTATAAATTCACAGTGTGTGACCTAAAAAAACAGCTCCATGTCTGTTTTTAAAGAGGGAACCATTTAAAGCACATGTGACAACACAATTCAGTGAGTACATATCTTGTTGTTTTGAAGCTCTGATTTCTTCCAGTATTTCATTGGCGTCACGTTGTTGGCCATGGTCCCCGAGCTGCCGGAGATCGTCAACGGGATTCAGTTTGCCTTACAGAACAACATCAGTCTGAGGTGTGTTGTAGTAATGTAGTGTGGGTAAAAGGACTTCTGATTCTCCTTTTATTTGGAGAGACAATAATCTGGAAGATGTTCAAGTAGAAACTGTAAAAAGAATTTTGAAAACGGAAAACGACACACTATTTGGTTCAGTTTTGTGTGTAGAGCTGGTTAATGTTTGAACTATTTTAAGTCCAGTCAGAGCGACAAGTTTCAGGCCGCATCAAGTTGAGGTTTCCAGAAATGGGCTTGTTCACACTGAAAGGGCACAAAAGTGTGACAAAAGGCCACATTTTAGATTTTAATAATCAGAAAATATATTATATTTTTCATGTATCCAAATACCTCCTCTAGTAGAAGTTGCTAGAACATAACTGTTTAGTCAAGTTTCCTATAGCGGCCCTGTTTAATTTTTTGTAACAGACGTGATGATTTGATATTTTCAGATGTCCACGTTTGATTAAGAGATTCTTTTTAGATACGAAGTGAAACCAATTAAATGTGAAACAAGACCATACATTTTTCTATCTCAAGTTTAATATTTAGAGACAAATTGACGGAAACCATCACGTCCGTTACACATTTTCTAAGGGTCATTTAAATTATTTATTTTGTTTTTTTAATTATTCCTTTTTCAAATCAAGTGTTTTACTTATTTTTTGTTAGCCATGTTAATCTTGTGGGAGTTTCATCTGCCGCTTTTTCAGACTGAGGACATTTCATTTTCTATGTAACTGGTGTCACAGTAAAATGATCCAATCAGAGGCGGATTTGGTTGTTCAAAATATCGGCAAAAATCTTTTGGTCAATCTTTCCTTTTGATTTGATCCAAACTATCTCTTTGATCTGTCTGTGTTGAAATATTCTTTTTTCCAATCTATGATTTTATTTTAGTTTTTGGGTTAGTTATAACCTTTTAAAGTCCAGATACTTTCATTGACACTTCACTGTTAAAGCACAGACTTTTGTTTTTCCACGACACATGTACTGCCTCTTATAATCAGCACAATTAAAAAATCTGAGAATCTCATCTTGCTGGTGGAAATTCTGATTATTTTAGATTAGATATTTTGAAAAGTTGTTTTAAGTGAATATCAGTTTTATTCTTTGGAATGCAATCAAGAGCTCACCTCATGTTTACCGGCAGTGATTATGCCGAGGGGAGGAACTAGTTTTACGGTATATATTGTTTAAAAATGTACATTCTATACAAGCGGTCTAAAGTTGCACATTATATGGTTTTGAAGTGACAGACATCTCCTTTAACCAATCATACGTGTTTGTTTTGCAGCCTGGAAGTGGGCAGCTGCATCGCGGTGCAAGTTTGCATGATCCAGATTCCACTGCTGATTCTCTTCAATGCTTTCTACGTAAGCCCCCCCCTCCTCCACATCCTCACTCCCCCCTCAGCCATGACGCACTTGTACACTTGTGTTGGACAGCTCTTCAGAGGAGGCTTTTCTCTTTGCTTCCAGGACGTGGGCTTTGTGCTCCTCTTCAGTGACATCCATCTGTGGGCGAGCATCTTCAGTGTGATCCTGGTCAACTACATCTTCATGGACGGGAAGTGCGACTATTTTCAAGGTGAGGGAGAGTTAAGAGGGTCTCTGTTTTAAACCTGAGAAAGCAGCTCTGCCCATTTTATTCATCTACTGTATTTTTTTTATTATATCAAGATATTGTTTTTGCTGCAATTACAATTAATGTAAATAAATATTAAAAAAGCATCCACAGTGTTATATTTCATTAAACGGGCTTACAATATAGAAATCATAGATCGGCAAGTTCTGTATGGTTGTTTGTATCGTATGGACAGACTCTGAAAGACACTCGGCCCTAGTCCTTCCTCTCTCTGTTGTCTGCAGGCACAGCTCTGGTGGTGGTCTACCTGATCCTCATGGCTCTGTACTTCTTTGCTCCATCGCCGCGCTCTTGTCCTTCCACTTGAGTTTTGGATATGTATATTTGCAATTAATGGAGTAGTTTTTTTTCTATGGTTGTTACTAGTTTTCCTATTTGGCATTGAATAATATTGTGCTATTTAAGTTGTTAATGTTGTGAAAATAAACTATTAAGATCATCTTGCAGTTAAATAAATGTATTGCATTTAATAATTATGTTCTTGTGTGTTTTAATATTTTGCATTTAACAAACAAGAGAAGAACGGGAAATCCCAAAGAGTCATAAAGCGACTCAGATGGCTGTGTCTTGTGCACAGAAGCAATATATTTTCTATTTGGAGAAATTAGATTGGATCACTGGCACTGCTCTTTAACTCTTAAGCTTCTGTTTTTTGTCACTTCTTGATGGAAATGGTGTCAAACCTGGAGCTACGGAGCAGTCTTTGCAGTAAAGAATTATTTTGTATTTATTCTTTATTGGGGATTGTAGAATAGTACAGCTGATTTTAATGTTTTAGTCGGACCACCTGATGTTTCATAACTTTGGAAATGTGCATTGTTCGAAAACTGGCATGAGAGAGATGAGGACAAAAAGGACTCAAGGCCTACATGTTTCTGTTAGAGCCTAGAGCTGCAAGTGGGAGGGGCTTTTAGATTTAGGAAACAGAAATATGATTGGAATAAAAACATCAGAGCAACGGCTTGAGACTAACTTGTGATTTGAAAAACAATGACTTGGTCCCACCTCTGGTAAGACATATGGATAGCGCAAGAACAAACTTTGGCACTTTGCTACTCTACGTTGTATCACCCTGTTTTGATCTATTAGAAAGAGAAGTTGAAGGGGCGTTAATGATCAATTATACATGTTAAACATTGTTTATTGACAGCATTGTGTGACATTTCGCATCACCACACGTTTTCAATACAAAGGAAATGTCACTTTTCTAAGTTGATAAGAGTATTACAATAATTCAAGGGACATAAAGAATAGATACAAAATATTCGTTACAGATGACATCTAGTGTTTAATTAGAATACTATATCTTAAACATAGATCCTAAAGCTTTCTCTGTGCTGTGGTATTGCCTCTATTCACCACAAAATACATAACAAAATGCAATCCCCAAACCTAGAGATCCATATATTCTTTATTTAAATTAATCTTAAGAGCACCATATTCACAGTGATGTAAGGCATGGTTACAAATAAGAACAAAAGTATCAAATGAAGGTAAGTGTCGACATGGGCACAGAAAGGCAGAAGGATTATGATGGAATAACTTATTAACAATGTCTTTTCAAAACCATTTAAAAGAATAATACTTTGTCCAATGCAGTTAAAACAGACTCAATTTCAATCTTGTAAAATTCTACATTCATACACTCGGCATGCTTTGGGAGTCATCGTAATCTTTAAAATGTATGAATGAAAGTACAAAAACCCATGAGTGGCCTATTGCTTCATAAAATGATTTCCTATGGTAAAACAGCTTGGTACGTTATAACAAATCTAAATTTGACATTGGCACTTTCAGAATCATTTAAGGCTTTGATGCTGCGGTCAAGAAGTGTATACTTTCAAAGTCATATTTTGCAACACAGCAAAACTTAAAACAGGGTTTCTACAGAAAGACTTCTGTAACCAAAATAATATTTTATCAGCCATTTGAAAAAGAACATTTCTTTCCAATATTGTTTACCATGTAATTTGAGCACAATTCCACTCCATGAAGTTGTGCAGAAAGGGAACGATTACAGAGCTGCATCCCAAGAACACATACCCACAGAAGCATGGAGGTGGAAACTAAGACTTGGGGCTACTTTTCTGCAGGAGATAGGACGACTGATCCATATTATGGAAAAGATTTGGGAAAACATTTTCCGTATATCAATTCATCTTTCAAATTCGCAACTTTCCTTGTAAAATGAACTGGCCTAATTACTGTTAATAGATTTTGTTGATTTGAAAAAGGTGAGAAACAAGGGAAAAGAAAAACAAACTGACATTTCTCATACGAAGTGATGAGTGCCTCTGATCTCAGTCCATCCCTTTTTGTGTTTAATTAAAAAAATGTTTTTTCTCCTATTTGAGGCGCTCTATCAGCTCCTGCGTCAGCCCCAGGTTGAGCTGTTGCATCGGGGGGAGTGCAGGCAGATGGGGGAAGGCTCGGAGCAACTTCTCCCAGCACAGCTCCAGGAGGCTGGGCACTGTCAGCCAGATCTTAAACAAAGAGCCAGTCCTTTTATTCTCATGGATGTCCACCACTCCGCCGTGAATGTACATACAGCCGGCCTGGGAGAGGACACAAGTGCACATGTTTATGCTCGGCTCGTCTTATTTACTGCCATAACCTATTATATTGAAAGTACACTCTACCAAGTACACTAGTCAAGATCCGATCTATTTCATCAAAAAGCAAATGAAAAAACCAGGACCATGTTGGCATCACCGTCACGATGAAACTATGTAGATAAGATAATAGTTCCTTTATTCAGCCCACAGTGGTGAAATTTCGAGGTTGCAGCGCACAGACAGGACAGTAGTAAGAGCACACAGGGAGCACACAAAATATACAAAATAAGTAGTAGCTATGTTTCTTAACTAGGTGTAGATGCAAAAATCTCATCTTTGAAAAACAAATTGACGCCCATATTATTTTTATCCATCAGTTATATAATTGATTAGTAATCGGAAACAGATTTTAATCATCAGAATTATCTGAGCTAAATCCTATTTTCACCATTTGAGTCTGGCGATGTAAGGATCAGAAATAAATAAATTGATTACTAAATTAAATTATTTCAATATCAACTTGCAGCCCAAGATAATAAATCTAGGATTCATTAAGGAACCATGTTGGAACAAAATAAACATGTTTAGATTTTGGCAGAACAGTTTGAAGAGCACTGACCGGTGTCACAGCTGCACAGTGGAAGTACGCCGGCTCGGGCATCAGCGCTGGGAGTTTCACCCACTGGAAAGACTGAAGATCGATCCTCCACAAATCTGATAAAATTATTTCCCCGTTGTAGCCTCCGCAAATAAATACATCTGATGAAAAGAGCAGGTTAGAAGCAGCCAGATGACAGCAAACAGCAAACATGAGAGCACTTACTGTTGTGGATCTGCACACAGCTATGGCAGCGCCGCGGAGCCGGGTATCCTGTCCAAACAAGATTTTTTAAAACGCAGCTCCACGGTGACAATAGTGCAAGTGAAACATGAAAAAGGAAAACCTATTTTGTCGTGAGGTTTTGTTCCAATCTCTTCCCAGGAGTTGGTTTCTAAATTATAAGCGTGGATCTAGGGAAAACACAGAGTCCACAGGTGAGACAGGGAGATGTATGGCTCACTCAGAGAGCAGCTAAGCAACACAAAGAGCAACTGCTCCCTCTAGTGGTAGCATAGTGGATTGCAGACAGAAAGCATTTATATTTATTTCACTGTACATTGATTTGTTTTACATTATAAAACATGATGATTAAGTAAAAAATAATCATTTTAATTTTGAATGTCAAACAATAAAATATAAATATATATTTCCCCTTTGAAGGAACCAATATAATTTTCTTTGATTTTTGGTCTTTTAGTCATGAGACTTGTGAAATAAGGCAAATGTGTAAAGAACATTATTTTCCTGGAAAAATAAAGATCTGCTTTAGAAGCAATACTTTTGTCCCTTCCTTGGTAGGGGACTTTCAATTCAATACAATTTGATATGATACATTTCTAAACAATACGGTGGAGTAAAGAAAGAACTCTTATCTAACGCTATGACCCGAATGTACAAAAAGAAATAATATTGAAGCATTTACATATCATTAATTGAAAATCAAATGTTTTTTAAGTCAAAATAATTTTCTGACTAATCGGGGGGAAAAGATTTGATGATTTTACATGTGAGTATAAAATAATTATATAGTTTTAAATTGTATACATTTAAAATATTGAAATTAATCGAAAAATCAATTACCAAAAAAAGACAGAATAGGGTAGGATGAGCAATAAGTGTCTGACCTTAGAACGAACTTTTTGTTGGGGGAACAATGTATAGGGCTTAGAAAATTAAATGTAGCGTGATATGTTTTAATGGTCAAATAAAACCTTGTCCAGGGGATAAGATGTCCACGATGTGCCTCCCCCCAAAAGGTATATTCTCTGTCCGTCATGTGCTATTTCATGTCTGTACCTGAAAGCACACGTATCATCACATCACTTCTGTCATTTTACACACTGCACAACCATATATCAAAATTTCCTTGAGTAAAATATTTTCAACATTATTTGTCAATGCCAATATTCCACCTAGGCATAATGCAATCACAAGTTAGTTAGCTACATAACGAGATTTCAGGTAATCTTGTGCATACTTGTAAGGAACAGCAGTGTCAGTCACTATTTGACGCTGTGGGGTGATAGCTGATTGGCTGAGTGAAGGTGGTCCTCTATATCAGTTTTCTGTTTGAAAAAACTGATTGAAAGATGTGACAGCTGCCAAAACTACATGCATGCGAGACTAGTGATGGAACCAAACTGTTTTGAGAGCAAGGCACTTTTTTAATAACTATATTTTACTACATACTAATTTCATGTTTTAGTTTTATGTAAGAAACATTTTAAAAATTCCAACCGTCCAAATAATAAATGAAAACGGGACAAAAAAAAGTGTTCAAAAAAGGCAACAAAGAGTGGCAGTGTGTGAAATGAAAACAGTTGCATTTGAATTATTAATATTGCTTGTGACTGACAGACGTATAATGAGTGGACCTAAAAAAGGGTCCTGTGTGAACTAATAGTTTTATGTACCTGCAAAAGGTGTATTGCCACACCGCTACCTGAATCAACAATAAATATTTACCGCTCCTCTGGAAAGTCGTCCGGGGGATTGTTGGGTTTAAGATAGATCCATTCCCTCGAGGTCAGGTCCAGTCTGTGCAAATCTGTGCTGTAGTTGTAGCCGGTCGTTCCACCAAACACGTACAGAAAGCCATTTATGATAACCATGGCCTGGCAATGACCGGAGATGAAGTTTAAGATCACAGGACAAATACAGAGGGGAGCCATGTTGAGTATGAGCCTACCTGGCCATATATTCGGTTTGGTTTCTTCCCGCGACAGTTGAGCAGTGCCCAGCGCTTGTATTTAACATTACACACGTGAACGTCGTTGCTGTTGTTTTCACCGAACGGGATGCCAGTGCCGCCGAACACCAGGAGGTTGTTCCCATGCAAAACGGCTGAGAGAGACATGGACAAAGCAGATCATTTTATTAACTTAAGTCATTAAGTTTTGACAGTTCAGACATATGTTTTGTAACTATGAGAACAATATAATCAAAATTAATATAGAAGAATAATATAAACTGTAAGGAAAGAACAACTTTTTCCCCTTCTTCACGGTAATAAAAAGCCATAGAAGAAGCGGATTACAAACTACTTTGCTTTCTCATAAGGTGTTTTCACATGGGCCTGTCTCATGTGGGCCCGGCTCTACAGGTTTTATTGAGGAGGGAAACCCCTGGTCCTTTCGCATTCACTTGTGTCTAGAGCTGGCATTTCTGGGGAGGGGGCAACCGCACTTGAACCTCCCCTGTGTGAGGCGTTGATAATGTGCAAGAGACGCGTTTAGCCCTGCTCACAGCAGCCCGAGTCTGACCTGGCCTGCTCTTGAGTAGTAGAGAAGACTGGTTAAGCAGCGTGAAACGGGTCAGAGTGTGAAAACACACTAACTGAGCAGAGCTGGGCAACCTCATAGCAATGAATGAGCCAATACAGTGTCATCAGATTTAGCACCATGCTAGTTTCCATCTGTAGTTCTAGTCCTAGGCTAGTGCACACATTTGAGGAACAGGAAAAGTAATTCTGGGTAAAAGAACAGAATTGATCTTTCAGTGAAATAAAGTAGCTCTGGTCATACTTGTCTAACTTTTATATTTTTATAGGTCTTTAAGTTAGTGTAGAGAAACCCAACCAGGGACAAGATTTGCTACATTCCTACTCATTGTTCGTGGTTGAGTGGACGCTATTGTCAAAGAAACTTTGACGTTCTCCACACTGTGACGTTTCACATAATACCATTAAGGCGCTCCGGGGAGATCTAAAACATGTTAAAGCAAGGTGGATCAGGAATTTACAAGGACAGATGTTAGAGGGGATTACAGGGGAAAGAGACTTCTGATGAGGGTCAGAATATGAGTTTATATCATTATCATCTGAAAAGAAATGATTTTTGACAATAAATAGCAATGAGTTGAGAAAATAAAAAGGTTTCAATTTTTTGTTCAATTATAATCTCCAAAATGTAGCCAATGTGCCTGGGTGTGTAAACATTCAAGAATAACTGTAAATAAAGACAGTAAGCTTACAATCAAGGTATCACAGTATACTGCTTTGTCCCATCTCTACTTTTCTTTTTTCTCGTCATCTTGGCAGTTTAGTGAATCAGTCTTGTTATACAGTCTCCTTAAGGGCTCAGGGTAATTACCGGACATGGAAGCTAGCTCTGTAGGCATGTACCCCTCGGTCTGGATCTGCTGCCATTGCCCGGTTGCAAAGTGGAACCTCCATAGCTCTCTGAACAGCGGATAGTCTTCGTTCTCTGAGCCTCCGGACTCGTCGTAGTCCGGGTTGTATCCGCCGAACACGTAGAGGTTAGTGTTATCGGCCACACAGCGATGCCCACTGCGCGCCGTTGGGGTGCGCTGACCTGCCAATGTTTTGCACCATATTCATCTGACACTAGGACATGTTTAATAAACATCAATAAGAAATACATGCACATATTTTTGGTTTTTCTGTCTGTAAAAAGATAAAGCTGAGGGAAAAGAATAAATGGCTAGCCAGTGTGTAATTTACATTATTATTAACAATTGACTTAGCCAAAACCTTGACAACCTAATGTGTTTTATTCCAGTACAAATGCATTGAGATTGGGTTCATGTTGTTAAGTTATATTGTTTATTGTGTGAAGGCACCAAATGTAATGAAAAATATATTTTAATTGAAAAAAATCTCATTGCCAACATATTGGGAACCTCTCAAAGCGTTATAATGAAAATGCCCACCTAAAGCTGGGGTACCCATCTTTCAAACACAGAAACACTATAAAGTACAAAGAGAACACCTCCAAAACCATTTACTCTATCACAAGTTTTCAGACGGAAAAGTGAAAAAGATCTGACTTAGCCAATCAGCTGTAAGTCCAAAAAGTAGTCAGCCCAATATTACTTTTAATAGTCTTTCAGTTTGATTTATGGATTCATGGATCTATGGCACAATAAAGGTGATGTAGCTAGTTAGCCCAGCTAGGATGAAGTTAATCTTCATTTGAAAACAACAATAAACAGTAAAGGATCATGGAGGTAAACGAAATAAGAGTATTTTAAAGATTAACACCATACAAGCACTACGGAGATAGGGTGTGACACATTCATCAACAGATAGATACGTGATCGATTAATATGTAAACAAACATAGCATTAGTAGCTAGCCTGATAGAATGTACGAACGCCTACTTCCTAACTTTTAAGACAATTTACCAATAATTAAAAGGCATACAATACAGAGAATACATACTCTGATGCTTTTCTTATATTTCATGATAAGAACGAGGTATCTGGCATGTTATGGACATACCTGCTAATATGTCTCGTTGTGGTGAAGGCCTGCATGCTAGCTTCTCAAATGTATTCAGCAGACGCCGATCGTCTTCTGTGCGCGACATTCTTCCCCCGGCACAGCAATGGCACAATAAATAAGGAAAATATCAACTTAAGTGTTCGTGAAACATCATAAAATGCCACGAATGCGTCTGTTCGAGGTGGTTGGCATTTTCCACCTAGCTACTACCGCCACACGACACGGGGCCAATCAGGTGCGCTGTTATTAGTAGGGATACCGAAACAAAACACCAAACATACACACTGTAGCTGCTTTGGTTTAAAATTGTAATATAATGCTAAAGATGTAATTACAATATGAATATATATTAAAACAAATCACATCCAGCAAATATAATTAAGTTACGTGTTGTTTATATAATACTGTGATTGAAATTTTATTTTTATTTTTTTATTGAAAAAAGGTATTCTGTTTATCAACACAAATACTTAAATTCCATTAATATAATCAATCAAAGTATTATATAAACAACACGTATCAATTGTTTAATAATCAATTATAGTGTCGTACTATTGAACAAATGCATGCTTTTTTTCGTCTAAAGCGGAACCTCTAGTCTACGGTTTATGTTCTGTACGGGGTAACTTCCAGGGCACACCTCATGGCTGAAGAAACATGGCGACAGTGGGCGGTAATCGTGCAGAGCGCTTTGGTCATCCTAGTTTTTCAAAGTCCTCTCTTGCTTCTCCGGAGAAAGTGCGTGAGCTCTTGAATGAAGGGGTGTCCTCAACTGACAACGCGGCCAAAAGGTGACAAAAAACAGCTATTAGTGTGTGCTTCTGGATGGTTTGTCGGCAGCCTGGAGGAGCAATGGAGCCCGTGCAGAATAGATCACAATGTACCAAATGTGACGGGGTAGATAAATCAAGTTAACACGGCACTAGAGCTATAGAGGCGCGTGTCAGCTAGCTGTCATCTGTTTTATTTGTTCTTACGTAATAATGTCGTCTCAGTTTATCACCACCATGCCAACTATTTATGTGAACAACTATTATTAATCGTCTAATGTATTTAATGTTATAATTTGAATTTGTTTAGATATTAAATGGTCACAAAAGCTTAACGCGATCACGTAGTGGCGAGTGGTAACAGATTATTAAATAGTTTTAAAAGACATGATTCGATCTCATAGTGCTGTCTTAATCTTATGTGTGTGTGTGTATGTATGTATATATATGTAATTATTAGATTATTATATTATATTTGGTTAATTGATTTAGGTTGTGATCAATCCATCTTAAAGCTGTTATGTCAACAGTACTCATTTCAACACATGGCCAAGGGTCTCCAAGTGATAGCTAGATATAGATACTTCATTGGTCCCCCGTATGAGAAATTCAGGTGTCCAGCAGCAGAAGTCTTATCCAGGTTTGTTGTACAGTCTGACAGCCTAAGGAACAAGATCTCTTGAAACGTTCCGTTCAGCAGCGTAGTGATAGGAGCCTGTTGCTTCGATTACTGTGGCCATAGTGTCATGCAGAGGGTGTCTGGAGTTACCCAGGATGCCCTGCATTAGAGCTCTCCAGCACAGCTCCCTCAGAGTCCACACTACTCCCCATCACAGAGACACATTTCCTGATCAGCCTGTAGAGCCGGTTACTGTCTCTCGAGGTCAGACTGCCACCCCAACACGCAACCCTGAAGAATACGACACTAGCTACCACAGACTGGTTATAAAATGAGCAGTCGGAGCAGTCGTGAGTACTAGCTCTCAAAAGTCTTCATTATGATAGATGTTAGTGCCACTGGTCTCTAGTCCTTGCATCTTGTCGGCCTTGCTACCTTGGGGACGGGTACCAGGCAGGAGGCAGGCTCTTGTTAAAGATGGTATGGTGGAGAGGCTCAGCTAACTCTGCTGCACATTCTTTTAGGAGCCTTGGTGTTATCCCATCAGGCCCAGCAGACTTCCTCCCCTGGAGCTTCTTTAGCTCCACCCGCCACGGTGAAGAAGGACGCAGCAGCAGGGGTGGTGTAGCCGCCGGTAGGAGCAGGACAGGTCACGGCAGAGGTGGTGTAGCCGCCGGGAGGAGCAGGGCAGGTCACGGCAGAGGTGGTGTAGCCGCCGGGAGGAGCAGGGCAGGTCACAGTAGAATCAACGTGGACAAGGGGAAGAGTCGAACCGATTGTAAAAGTGGTTAAACTCCTCAGCATTCCCAGCTGCCTCGCTGCCCTTCACTTTGCATCCAGTAATGGCCCTCATGCCCTTCCACACTTCCCGGGTGTCGTTATTCTGCAGTTTCTCCTCCAGACCATTCTTGTACTGCCTCCTTGCCTGTCTCAATGTCCTCTTCAGGTTGTGTTGAACAGTTCTCACCAGGTCCCTGTCACCTGCCTTAAAAGCCTGTTTCTTTAGGTTCAAAGTGTGTTTGTTGTCACTTGTAATCTCAGGTTTGTTATTTGGAAAACAGTGGACTGTTTTCTCTGGCACTGCTACATCGGTACAGAAGTGAATGTAGTCTCCACACTCTCCACTGCCTTGTTAATGTCCTCCCCTGAGCCCAGAAGTATATTCCAGTCGGTAGTCTCAAAGCAGTCCCTCAGAGCATCACTGGCCTCTGTTGTACATTGCCTGAATGATCTACAGACTATGGGCGTTCTCATCACATTTGGCCTATATATGGGCTTTAGACGAATCAGATTGTGATCAGACTTGCCGAGGGGGGGCATTGCCACTACACTATAGGCATTCTTCATATTCACGAAGCAAAGATCTAAGATGCTGTTGTGTCTTGTAGGACAATCTACATACTGTGTAAAGCCACCCAGGTGTGAGCTCACATCAACATGGTTGAAGTCCCCTGATACTATCATCAATGCTTCAGAATGCTGTGACTTAGCGATTGCCTCCTGAATGACGTCACGTGCAGTTTCCGGCACAGCGCGAAGAGGAATGTAAACAATAATGGCGATGATGTGAGAGAACTCCCGTGGAAGATGGTAGGGCTGAATGCCGACCACTAGCAGTTCAATATCCCGTCAACAGCTCTCCTGTTTCACGGTTATGTGACCGGGATGGCACCATTTGTTGTTGACAGGCATAGCAAGTCCACCGCCCTTCGCTTTACCGCACGCTTTAGTGTCTGTCAGCCCTGAAGATAGAGAAGGCGGTGATGCTGATGGCTGAATCGGGTTTGTTGTCATGTAGCCATGATTCTAATAAAAGCTACAGTCCCGGTAAGATGCATCACACTTCACCAAAGCCTCACGTTCCTCGGATTTATTTTGAAGTGAGTTGACATTCCCCGTTATTATTGATGGTACAAATGGTTTGTACCGGTACCTCCTTGCCTTCTTCTTTGCTCCGGCTTGACATCCTCCTGAAGGGCTTCTTGATCTCCAGAGGGATCGGGTGCTTCATCCCACATGGGCTTCGTCGTAGCCGAAGGAGCTCATCTCGCGAGTACTTTTTGAAATCCTGCCAGTGCATTTTTTGAAAATATTTGCTTTCCTCCAGTTGATTTACACTTGATCTGCTTGTTTCGGACAGTGCATCCTCTTAGCTCTGATCAGTGTAAAACCATAACACTGTACTGGAATAAAATTATCTACAGCTAGAAAAAGTGAGAAAAATAACGGTTGTAGAGTACAACATCTTAGAGCTGCTAGGACGTGCTGCTGTTTTCCAGCGCATTCAAATCATTATGATTTATGATACCAATTTATGATCCCATAAATTGGTCTTTTTAGTTATGGAAGTAAAAAATAAAAAAATAAACTGAGGTAAGGATAATGTGAAAGTTTTCTCTGCTTCCGCCTTTGCTTTCTCTGTTCAGCTGTAGTTTAGACAAAGTGTGCAACTTTATTGTATAAACAGTTCACAAAAGAAAATGTGTTCAGAATCAGAAAAGACCGGTGGTTTGCATTTGTGATGTCAGAGCTGTACTAACACCTATAATCGGTCTGGCTTGGAAATCAAAAATGTATTTTGAAATCTAATATCAAATTGAGATTCTTTCATTTCAAATTTAACTCAGAAAATGACTACGATAAACAATACTATTGGAACTACCTAATGCCACTGATGCTAATAGAATTCAATAGGATAACGCCAGAAAACTGTTGCCACCGCACCCTGCCAATGGATAGAGTATAAAAATTGATGGAGTTTCCCATTTGTCCATGTCAAATAGACAAATTCATATGCGTTATGAATTTTATCTTCCGAATTAAGTAATATTTAGTAAAACTGAACGGTCTTTTGCTAAACCTCATACTGGTTCTACGTGGCAACGTTGAGAGAGTGTATATTGTAAAGAGCATAGTCCTAAGTGAAATATTCATCTACAGACAATGTACCTTTTTTGTATTTTTTCTCAACAGTGAAGGGGATGCAAATGTGGACGTTGGGAGTGGCCAAGCACCATGTGAAGCAACAAACAAAGAAGCATTCTTTTCTAGAGTTGAGTCCTACTCCATATCCTTTCACTAATGACATCCATTATTGTTTGTTGTTGGTCTTTGAGCTATGAGTACGTGCAGGTTTCCTTAGCAGGGCACTGTCTGAAATGGGCAGGAAAACCTCGCTCCTTGTCCCCACTGATCTGCGCGCGCTACGGCTGGATCAACGTTAGCTGCGACATGCTCAAGTGCTCCAGCTGCCAGGCTTTTCTGAGCGCAACTTTACAGCCAACTCTAGACTTTGAAAAATGTAAAGAAGCGTATAGCCTTGAAACAAAGAATGGCCTAAAATAAAAATGTATAGTTAAAGTATTTTTTTTCTTTTTTGAATAGATGAATCGCGCATTGCAGACATTTCTAGACAACTTCAAACACAGCATGAAAAGTTTTGTCCGTGGCCAGATTTCCCATGTCCTGGTAATTTAAACTTTAATCCACATTGTAGTTGTTGATAAGGTTGTGCTCACCACATGAGGCTCTTGTGATGCAGAGCGGATTTGGCTGGTCCCTGCCTGCGAGCCGCCAGCTCTTTTGGCCACTTTCATGGAGCGCTTTCACAGCACTTGCCTCCTCGCACAGCAGCTTCCAGCTTTGAAACCAGAACAACTCAAATCCATGGTAAGGCACCTCAAGAAAAAATGCATTCTAAAAATACATTCTAAAGTCCACCACCACATCTTCTCTTTCTCATGCAGTCTTTGACTGAGGATGTTGTCAGTGTTATATTACAACTAATTGAAGAAGAACAAAAACGAAAGGGGCAAAGCCCTTGTTCTGAACCTCTGGCAGTTCAGGTGGCTGCATGTATTGTGGCACTGTGTGGATGGGCAACAAGGTAAGCTAAACTCTAACCCACGTCAATAATCATAAGATAAGATTTTAGTTATTCATTTGATTTATTTGCGACAGTGTACGTTCATGCACAATTGTAGATGCAGTGAAACTAAACAAAATTATAGAAAAAATGTCCTGCTATTGTCTCCCATCTTTTAGCGGTTAATTAAAAGCATTGAATTTGGAAATAATACCTGAAAAAGCCTTTACTTGATATCAGTGTCTAAAAATGTTTGCAAGATGTAACTTCTCTTATCATATTTTCCTCAAAAGTTTAATTTGTTAACCACCATCATTATGCTCCATCAACAATTCAACAATTATTTTCAAAAAAAATAATAACATAAAATAATATAAGTGGTCTGAAAACATCACCTGTTGGAATCCTGTTTTATCACATATGTACACAACTATACAATGCTAAACGGATAAAAATTCGATTCAACAAAAAACTAAAGATTCAAAGTTATGGAAAGTGTTCAGACTCTGTTTTCCTTCTTCCTTTGCTTAAACCATTAAGGCCTGACACACCTGGTAAAAGACCTGTAAAACCTATGGCCGACTTCAGAACCACCCTCTAAAACGAAAGTTACGACTGTAACTACGGTTCTATGAATCCTGGATGACCGCCAGAGGCGGTGCTTTAAGCACTGAATGATCATCTTTGAGCATGCGCAGTTCGAGAATTAAATGACAACAAAGTCACTTGTGACCTCCTCGTGACCCCCGTGAGTCTATATAGGTCACGTGACACGAGAGCCCAGCCCCTTTTCACCTCGCAAGCAGACCGTGGCCCTGAGGGACTGGACGCTCTGGCGGTCATCCAGGATTCATAGAACCGTAGTTACAGTCGTAACTTTCGTTCTATTTCATCCTTCCTGACCGCCAGAGGCGGTGCTTTAAGCACTGGATGACAAATACCAACAAGGTCCCGAGGGGTCAACGAGAGGTACACACCCACCTCATAACGTCGAATGGTGCCGCAGCACCCCCTCCAGCGGACCAGGGACCGCCACATTGACCCTGTAGTACGTCGCGAAGGTAGACTGCGACGTCCAGGAGGCGGCCGCACAGACGGCGTCCAGAGGCACACCGCTCATAGCAGCCCAGGAGGCAGAGACGCCCCTGGTCGAATGAACCCTCACCCCAGCAGGCAGCTGGCGCCCATGGGAGAGGTAGCACTGTCTGATCACCTCGACAACCCACTTGGAGAGGCGCTGGGACGACAGAGCCTGGCCCTTCCTGGGGCCGGCATAGCACACGAAGAGGCGATCCGACCCCCGCACACTGGCTGTGGCAGTTCGGTAAACCTCCAATGCCCTGACAGGACAAAGCGGTTCTACAGAGGCCCCAGTACCAAACCGGGCCAAACTAAGTGGAAGGACCGCACCAGTGAACACCTTTGGGCGGAAGGAAGCATCCGGCCAAAGCGTAACCCCCAGACCATTGGGATCCCATCGGCAGCAGGACTCGTGAAACGACAGAGCCTGCAGTTCACCTCACACGCTTACCCGAGGCCATAGCCAGAAGAAAAGCGGTCTTAAGGGAGACCCACTTCAGGTCCACACGATCCAGGGGCTCAAACGGGGGAGCCCGCAACGCCTCCAGAACCAACGTCAGGTCCCAGGGTGGAACCATGGGCCGTCGCGGGGGATGAAGACGGCGAGCACCCTTCAGGAACAGGGAAACATCCCCGTTACTCCCCACCGTAGAACCGGCCACACCCTCATGAAAACAAGATATTGCCGCCACATATACCTTGAGTGTAGAGGGAGAGCGCCCCCGGTCCATGAGATCCTGGAGGAACTGCAGAATGGCAGGCACCGGGCAACGCACAGCATCATGTCCCCACGTCAGACACCACTTGTCAAACAGCTTCCATCGGTTGGCGTACTGTCGTCGAGTGGAAGGCGCCCTGGCATTGGAGATGGTGTGGGCGACCCCCTCACCATACCTCGGGACAATTGCACTGGACCCCGCAGTGGCCACACCCAGAGCTGAAGCCGCTCGGGACTGGGGTGCAGGAGCCTCCCCCCCAGCTGGGACAGGAGATCCCGCCGTCGGGGCAGCGGTCTCTGAGAGCCGCAGCAGAGCCTGTGCAGCAATGGAAACCAGATCCGGCCCGGCCAGAACGGAGCTACCAGGAGAAGGTGGTGCCCCTCCTGGAGAACTCTCAGGAGGGTTGGGAAAATCAGTGGCAGAGGAGGGAAAGCGTAGAGCAGCGTACTGGGCCAATCGTGCGCCAGCGCATCCAGGCCCAGAGGGCAAGCCACGTCCGTCAGGGAAAACCACAGCGGGCAGTGGGTCGACGCCTCCGACGCATACAGGTCCACCTCGGCCCGGCCAAACATAGTCCAAATGCTGGCCACCACCTCCGGGTGGAGACGCCACTCCCCGGGCTGGGGGCGTTGGCGGGACAGAAGGTCCGCCACCACATTGTGCACCCCCGGAATGTAGGAGGCCCTCAAGCTTGCCAAGCGAGGGGCTGCCCACAGCAGTAGCTCCCGGGTCAACCGCAACAGCGTCACGGACCGGGTACCCCCCAGGTGGTTGACGTGATGCACCACCGTGGTGTTGTCGGACCGCACCATGACATGCCGGCCACGCAGTCGTGGGAGGAAGTGCGCGAGAGCAAGGCGGACCGCCATGAGCTCCAGGGCATTCACATGCAGCCGGCGGACCTCTGGAGACCAAGTCCCCTGTGCCATCCTGCCCTGCCACGTCGCCCCCCAACCAGTGAGGGACGCATCGGTGTGCACCACCTCCCTCCGAGACGGAAGAGAGCCCAGTGGAACACCACTCTCGATCCAATACCTGTCCCGCCAACAGGATAGGGACTCCAGGCACTGCGGCGAGAGCAGGAGTCTGCGTCGCCTGTGAACGAAGCGTGACGGATCTAAACGTAATCCGTTCAGCCACATCTGCATGGGACGAAGGGAGAGAAGGCCCAGCGGCACAACGGCAGAGGCCGCCGTCAACTTCCCCAAGAGGCTGAGGTACAGCAGGAACGGCAACGCCCGACCCCGCTGAAATCTGTGGAGCATGTCCACAATGCCATCGACCCGCAGAGCCGACGGACGGGCGGTCATGGCAACCGAATCTAGGTACACCCCCAGGAAAGTCGTTGCCTGAGCCGGAACCAAATTGCTCTTGGCAACATTGACCCGCAGACCCAAACGCCCAACGTGGTCGAGGACAGTCTGAGTGTCCCGAACGGCCTGGGCACGACTGGAGGCGCACACGAGCCAGTCGTCCAGATAAGGCAGGACCCTCAACCCCCCTGCCTGAAGAGGGGCCAAGGCCGCCGCAACGACCCGGGAAAAGACCCTGGGGGACAGGGCACAGCCCGAAGGGGAGCACCCGAAATTGATAATGCCGCCCCCGGAAAGCAAAACGCAGAAACCGCTGGTGATGCGGGGCAATCGGCACGTGAAAATAAGCATCCTTCAGATCGATGGATGTGAACCAATCGCCCGGAGATATTGCCTGCAACAGCTCCGGGGTTCTCAACATCCGAAACGATATCGTCTTGAGGAACACATTGAGGCCCCGAAGGTCCAAAACTGGACGCAAGTCGCCAGTTTTCTTCGGAACTAGAAAATAAATCGAATAAAAGCCTCCTGGGTCCAGCAGGGGGTCCACAGGCACTATAGCCTCCTTGTCCAGCAAGGTGGCAATCTCTACGGACAGTGCCAGTGTCCTGGCCCGGTCGTGGATCACAGTCCACCTGATGGGGCCAGGGACCGCAGGCCGACGGTGGAACTGGAGAGTGTACCCCCGGGAGAGCGTGCCCAACACCCAGAGGTCTGAGGTGTGAGCGGTCCAGTAGTCCAACTGCTCCCGGGTAAAAGAACCCACCGTCAGCGGCCTGACCTCATCTCCGAGCCCCCCGTGGCCTGGAGACCCCGGGGGGGCGCCCGAGAGCCCGTGCGTTCTGGGGAGGCCGCCGGGTAGAAGGCCGAAATCCCCTATGGTCAGGCGGAGGGACACCTGGTGGCCGCGAACCCCTAGGAAAGGGCTGTGGAACACCATACACCCGCGGAGTAGCAGCAGGAGGGGCAACCCGTGGAGAGGCCCGCCGGTGCAGCCCAACCAGCTGGTCACGCGTCCGGGTGGCCTGCGCCGTGCGCTCCAGCGCCTGAAGCGCAGCCGCACCAAAGAGCTCCCCCGGAAGCACCGGAACACTCCGGAGAGTCCTCCTACAGGGCTCAGTGAGGGGTGACTGTGCCAACCACACCTGCCGACGTGTCTGAGTCAGGGTCGACAGCAGGCGGCCCAGTTCCCGCGACATAAGGGCAAAAGCGTGGAGGGATGCATCCAACAGTCCCTGGGTCGGGGCATCGACTGTAGAAACCTCCAGTGCGTTCGAAAGGCCCAGTAACAAATGGGAAAGAGAGTTCCCCATGCGCCCCATTCGCGCCCCAGTATCGTACGCCCGACACAGCAGCTCATCTGTGAGGCGACACTGGGGGTTAGGGCACCTCGGATCAGACCGGAGGGCCTCCTCCGGCGAAACAATCAAGGAGGCCACTGCCGGCTCGACGGGCGGCATGTGGCCCAAGCCAAATTTGGGGGCATCCTGCATTGAAGCCAAAGCCCGGCCATCGGACGTCAGTCTGGACATAGCCTTTGTATCCGTCCAGCATGCATGTAACTCCTTCACGTACTCCATCGAAGGAGGCACAGAGACAGAGGGAAGGGGCCGCTGTCGCTTAAAGAAGGCGCTACCAGACGGCACAGTTCCCTGCGGGACATCAAGCCCCAAGTGGGCGAGTGCAGAGCGGACGGCAGAGGACGCCCCACTCTCCTCTCCGTCCAGGCACCCCGTGGACGCCAAGGAACCAGCGTCAGAGGCCCTGGAATCAACCTCCTCAGGGTCAAGACGAAAATGAGTGTCAGATGCAGCCACAGACATCACATCGTCCTCCCACAACGGGGCCAGGTCCGGCACAGGAGGGCCCAGCACATGTTCCCCCGAAACCGGGCGAACATCCTGCAGAAGTGCCTTCATTTGGGCCATCTCGGACGCAAGGTGGTCCATCCGTGCAGACAACCCTGCAGGCACCCTACGCTTCCTCTGCGGAGCCGAGGAAGCAGTGGACACAGCCGCACGCTTAGACCCAGAGGGCTGGGCAGCAGGTGGCAGGCAGGGCGGCAGGTGGCAGGCAGGGCGGCACCTCCGAAGAGCCCTCATCCGGATCCAGGGCCGCCAGGCGCTCCACGCGTACAGAGAGTGGCAGTACCGCACAATTGGAGCAGGCGTCCACCGTCAGGCCCTGTCTCAAATGCCCGATACCCAGGCACGCAGGGCAGAGGTCATGGCCATCCTCGCGGGGCATCGGTGCCATGCACCCACGACAGCCCAGCGACTCGTGCATAACGAGCGCGCCTGAACTGGTGGAGCAATGTAAGCAGAGTCGGGTCGAGCTGAAAACGCCACAGACGACTCAAGCACACAGAGAAAACCAAACAACCGAACAGAGGGCGAACAGTCTAACTGTTGGTAAAGAAAAACTAATGTTAGCATAAACTGAAAACAGAAGAGCCAACGAAAGTGTACAAACACACAATGTGGGCCAACGAAAGAGTCCGGTGGGGCAGAGAACGCCACACTCGCCTCCACAACCAGAGCAATATCAACAAACTGAACAGAAATCGAACAGTATAACTGCTGATATAAAAATACGCTAGTACAAACTGAAAACAGAAGACTAGACGAAATAATGCACACACGCACCCAACGTGGGCTGAGTAAAGAGCCAGGTGTGGCAGAGGACACCACCCACGGCTCCCCAAACAGAGCAAAAGTAACACACTGAACAGAGGACGAACAGTATAACTGTTGATAGATGAAACAAAACGCTAGTACACACTGAAAACAGGAGACTAGACGAAAATGTACACACAAACACAACGTGGTCGGGGCAGGGAACGCCACACACACGACTCAATTAACACCGGCCAAACAGAGCATAAACACAAACTGAACAGAAAACGAACAGTATAACCGTGGACATCAAACGTCAGCTCACTCCGAAAACGGAAAGCTTAAACTAAAAATCACACGCACACACGTGGACAGAACTCACCGGTGAGCCGGCGGAGCTTGCACAGCCCCTGAGGGGCGAGATCCACCCGCTGCCTCGACGCGAGTCACGGAGCTGATGTGCAAGCAGGACGTATGTGGTAGGTAGGTAGCACAAACGCTCAAACACACACGCACAACTCAAACCTGCGCTGCGAGAAGAAGAAAAGAGGCTGGGCTCTCGTGTCACGTGACCTATATAGACTCACGGGGGTCACGAGGAGGTCACAAGTGACTTTGTTGTCATTTAATTCTCGAACTGCGCATGCTCAAAGATGATCATTCAGTGCTTAAAGCACCGCCTCTGGCGGTCAGGAAGGATGAAATAGAACCTAAAGTTTTCCTGAAAGTCAACATCGACAGAATGATTATCTCGGCCTCTGTAGCAGATAGAAGCATAATTTCAAAAGAATTTGAGAGTTGACACTTGTCGATGTCAACAGGAATGCAGTGTATAATGAACTTTCAGTAGAATAATACAAAAAATATACAACTTCCACACAGGAAAGATAATAAAACAACCAAAAATAATGTGAGACTAACACGTTTCTTAATACAATAAGTCACAAAGAGTTTGGCAATAAAGTGGCTCTAACTTATGTCGAAAAAAATATCAAAAAGTCAAATAATGACTCACAGGGCTCTTGGGTAAGCAACATTTTAAAAAAAACAAGAACGTTTGGGTTTATTACGTTTTTATTTGGTGACATTTTACTTTTGTGCACGTATAACTTGAATTGCCAATGCAAGCGAAAATGTAGGTACCTCAGCTTTAATTCGGTGAGTTTTGGCTGCACTTCGTGATTAGACTTGGGAGAAACGTGGGAGACAGACAAGACCCACAGGTGCAACAAGCTGGGGATGGTCCTGATTGCGCGTCTATGGTCCGCAGTACATGACCATGTTATGGCTGCGTGTTCGCTGAGCTGTTGTCAAAGCAGCCACAGTTGCTCCCGGGGTCAGAACGAAGGATGTGAATCCCGTTCAAGCAAACAGCCCGTGGTCACACATTTCACAGAAATGATATTTTCAGCAAGAAAAAGTTGGAATTCGCGGATCCGCAGAAAATTCTCATCCCTGTTATATCTTGATGCATTTCATTGGTCCAGAGAATTGATCAATGAAGAGAATAGGTCAAAAAAGGAAAAAAATACATGTCCGCTTTCTCTGCCTTAAAGATTGAAGTGCGCAACAGCGCCATTTCGAAAGGTAGAAATGCGGTATGCGTTCCCGGCCTCAATGGCTTAAGGTGCAATCTGAATGTCTCTTATTGCCTAGAGAGACTCTAAATGAGGAGTCCCTTTGACCAACTGGACTCTCTTGTCCAGTTGCGGTCCTAGTACCCATCTCTGATTTAGATTCAGTTTTTTTGCCATTTGCTGTAAAACCAATTCATTACGGGGGAGGAGGCCCAGGGGAAGACCCAGGACACGCTGGAGGGACTATGTCTCTCAGCTGGCCTGGGAACGCCTTGGGGTCCCCCCGGACGAGCTGGAGGAAGTGTGTGTGGATAGGGAAGTCGGGGCGTCTCTGCTTAGACTGCTGCCCCCGCGACCCGGCAACGGATAAAGCGGAAGAAAATGGATGGATGGATGCTGTAAAACCACATTGAAATACCTGTACATTAGTGCACTGGTGCAACACCACGGCTCTTGCCTCGGCGCCATGTCTTTGCTTTAATCAAATCCTTTAGTGGAGTGGAACAATTCAGTGTAGATTAGAACATTGATAAGACACAATTCTATTTCTTCAAACTCTTACTGTTCCTCCACAGAAATTGTTTGTTTTCTAATGATCGTACCACCTTTCATTCAATTGAAATCTAGCAGAAAGTAAGGTAGTGGTTTCATCTTCTGAATGAAGAATGTTTACTCAGATCAGGATTTTAAAAGGAACAAAAATGTAGCATTTAGAAGATGTCTTCTTTTTCTTTCCCCCTCCTAAGCCCAGTCCAGCGTACCACGAGCCTACCCATCCTCACCTGTTCATACTGCAAACGAAAAGTGGGCTTGTGGAACTTTCACCAAATGGGGGAAGTGTCTGGAGACGTCGAGCCTGTTCCCAACCCTGTGGGCTCGTCTGGAGCCACCAGTCCAGCTCCAGTCACACCGGAGGGCCAGGAGGACGGCGCTTTCCCAGCAACCACAGCCACTACCCCGTGTCGTATGAAGCTGCGGAGCCAAGACACGGGCCGCACCGACATGGTACCCCCTTATCAAACACTATGTTTAGATAAGATCGCTCTGTGGTCAGCCCCAGACTTTATTGATCTCACACTGGAATAATTTACATGTCACATTTGGCATGGATAGAATCACTCAGATTGTGCAAAAGAAAGAAGTGTGCAACATGTTTAAAAAATATAGTCTGGAAATAAAAGAAAGAGTGGTAATAGCAGTGCAGGGTTTTTTCAGTCCCTTTCAGCAATAGTGACTTAAAGTTACTTATTGGAGTAAGTATTGGAGTTACTTATTATTAGCACAGGGACTGGACTTCTGTTAGTGCCAAGAGTCGGAACTAGACATGGGGAGGCTGCGTTTCAGATTCATGCAGCTAGAGTCTGGAACCGTCTTCCCGAGAGTGTGAGACAGGCGTCTACTCTAGCAGTTTTTAAAACTGAACTGAAAACAGTTCTTTTTAGCTGTGCATACAAGTGAATGATTTTATATTTGTTTTTATCTTTAATCTTTTTAATGCGCTATGATTATTTATGATTATTTATGATTGTAATCCCTTGTGTGATTTTAATGTTTTACGGTTTTTAACTACTTGTGTGATTTTATATATCTTGTGCTCTTAATCTGTCTTTTTATGTTTACTTAAATTCTAATGTTTGATGATTTATGCATGATGTTATATGGGTTGTGAGGCGCTTTGCGTTGCCTTGTGTAGGAAAGGCGCTCTATAAATAAACGTTGATTGATTGATTGATTGTACAGTCTCATAGCAGGGGATGATGAACCAGAGAGCCCTCTAGTTTTATTTGCGATCTGATACATATGCAAACATTAGCATTAGCGCAACTTATCGCAAGCTGTACAACAATCACTGATGAAATGGTACAAAAGCAACGCACTGCTAACAAAATATACAGTACAGACCAAAAGTTTGGACACGCCTCATTCAAAGAGTTTTTTTTCATGATTTTGAAAATTGTAGATTCACACTGAAGGCATCAAAGCTATGAATTAACTCATGTGGAATTATGTACGTACTAAAACAGTATGAAACAACTGAAAATATGTCTTTTATTCTAGGTTCTTGAAAGTAGCACCTTTTGCTCTGATTACTGCTTCACACACTCTTGGCATTCTTTTGATGAGCTTCAGGAGGTAGTGACCTGAAATGGTCTTCCAACAGTCTTGAAGGAGTTCCCAGAGATGCTTAGCACTTGTTGGCCCTTTCACCTTCACTCTGTGGTCCAGCTCACTCCAAAACCATCTGGATTGGGTTCAGGTCCGGTGACTGTTGAGGCCGGGTCATCTGTCCCAGCACCCATCACTCTCCTTAGTGGACAAATAGCCCTTACACAGCCTGGGTGTGAATCTACAGTCAGTAGTCATGAAAAGAAAGGACACTCATTGAATGAGAAAGTGTGTCCAAACTTTTGGTCTGTACTGTATAACTGAAAGATTACCGCTAGTTTCGCGTCCGAATGTGGTCCGAGCAGTTAGTCCGAGGCGGTCACGCAGTTCTCTCCAGGGGATACGATGTAAGCTAGCTATGTTCGCATGAGCTTGATTTCTTCAATCATTTTTTTGCATTAGTTCCCTCTTCTCTTCCTCACTGTTGTCGTTCGGGCTGTTTTTTTGTGTATGCAGTTACAGACAGAGCTGGTATGGGCACTTTCTGCCTCCATTCTGCTCTTGTTTAGCAGCGCTGTAGAGGCTAGAGGACGCAGCCTCGTTCTGTGAGTGGAGGACAGCGATCGTCACGCCAAGTGTCTACTCTCAATGAGTCAATGAGCTCAAGTTTTCAATTAAATTACGAATTATAATACAACTTGTTTGTAGTAATAAGCATTTTTATGAACTCATGAAAATAAAAAAATGGGTATTGCTTCTTTAAGAAGTTTGTGATGTGTGCAGTATGCAGCATGATTTTTTTTTCATATTTAGAATTAATCTGCTATCATAAAGCCACTTTTAGACTTAATTAAAGTCAAGCTGCAATTGTTTCTGGAGCAATAGAAGATCACAGAAGTGTAAATGACCGTCATCAGCGTATATATTTATTGAACAGTTTGAAACTACTTGCGGAAGATCATAAATAAATCTAGAAAATAAAAGGAGACCTAAAGTGGAGCCCTGGGGCACTCTTTCATTGATGCCTTTGTTGGACTGGGAATCATGTGAAATGACATATTGAAACTGGCTGTGAAGATTGGAATTAAGCCAAAAAAAATCGCATTGGTATCAAGACCCATAGAGTAAAGCTTATCATGCAGTAGGTAGCCCAGGACGGAGTTGGATTTCAGCTTCCTTCGATTTGTTTCAATCCAAGCAGAACTACTTGTTTTGTTCAGAAACAAACCTGTGTTCGGTTAAAGTATTTATTTGTTCAAAAAAGTTTTCCTCCCCTTTAAAACATCATATTCCCATCAATATCCATAAAGTCATTATGAAATAACCTTGAAAAATATTGTTGTTGCTAACGAGGGCATTAGCCCCGACCCCATGTTTATTTGCAGTCTTTAAAAAAAGCCATTTAAATCGGTTAATCTATAGTTAGTAGTTTGTTCATCAAATGGAAGAATATTGGCCCAACTGAATCCTTCATTATTATCAATTCCTCCCGATTATAAATTAACTGCTTTTGCTTTGTGAAATGCAAACAATAATTTTAGCCATAACTGAACTTATTTCTCCCTTTGTGTCTGGATTGCAGGGTGATGCACTGCGCGCCAAAAGCAGAGACTCCTCCAGCCCGACCGAGGATACACCAAGTCCCAGAGGAAAGAGGCCCGCAAGCCGCAGTAAAGCCCAGGGAGACGCTCAACCCTCCACTAAGCGCCTGTGCCTGTCATCAGCTGGTCCTGTAAGGACAATGATCAAAAACACACCTTCACTTTGAGACAAAGAAATCACTTTATACTCTTACACACAGATTGCTAAATTGTTACAGGATAGCAAGGTTGTGGGTTGTTCAAGTGAGAGAAGTGCTTGTTTGCTTTGGTGTCAATTGGTCATCATCGTAATGCAAATATATATTTATTTGTAATGCAAATAAATGGATATCTCTCACCACCACAACACATAACTACACAAACTAATATTCCCTATTTCCACACCATTCTTGGTGAGAAGTCCAATTTTAAAGTAGGAGTAGAAATTACATGTATTATTATTATCAACCTTCAGTACAGTAATACAAAAAATATACAACTTCCACTTAACTCCATAATAATATTTATACAATTGTAACAAGAGTTTGGCACTAACTGTGTGTGGAAAAATATATTTAAAAAAATACACACAAAGTGGGCGCATTTGCTCCGTTGTCAGAATGCTGCGAACAGAAAAGTGCCCCGCGGTCACACATTTCACAGAAATTACATTTTCAGAATATTGCGGATCAGCTGAAAATGCAATTCATTGATTAAGATAATTGACCAATGATGATTATTGGTCAAAAAAAGATAAACGGATGTCTAGAGCAGGCGTCTCCAACCTGTAGCTCGGGAGCCTCTTCCAGGTAGCTCGCCAAAGGATTTAGAAATGAGAAAATAAAATGCTATTCCAAATATATACTTATAATTCAGATTGTATTATTTATTATTGTAAATGCATTTACTTTGTCACTAGAACACATATGCAATGATAAGTAATGTCATGTCATGCCAGTTTCTACCCCTTTTATTATTCCATTTCTGGGTTGCGGAGGTGGCCATCAGAGCTGCCCCCCAATGACTGGATCCAATATCAGGCTTGTTCACACCAATATGTCACCAAATCTTTCCCAAGGCTGCTTAAAGGAGTAGCTCTTTGCCTTTATTGTCCCAGGAAATTAGCTCTCTGGGTGAAAAAGGTTAGAGGCACCTGCTCTAGAGTAAGAAATGCGGTAATGCGTTCCCAGCCTCACAAAAAAATGATACAATGTGCAAAAGTACTAATACAGCTTGAACTTTTGATTATACTATTATCACCATTACGTCACTTAATTTATGGGTTACATATTTGACCCAATATTTGACCCTGCCCTAAATTTCAATATTGTGTGAGCACAGGATGAGCTGCTGCACAGGTCTGTGTTCGACCCCCTGGCTCAGCACAGAGACTGGTGCCCTTGGGTGGCAGTGGGGAAGGAGAACGTAGAGCCAGGATCCATCCCCCTGCTGGACTACAGCTCGCATCAGCAGGGCTGGAAGGCTGCTCTGGATCTGCTCATTCCCCTAAAGAAGAATGGGAATGCCTGCGGAGCTAGTCCTGCACAGGCAAGTCAGTTACAGGGACTAGTGTCTCTGAATTAAAAAATAGTGTGGGCCACACTTTTTGACAAAAGAAAAGTATGTTTTACCATATTATATTTCTTAGAAGTACTGTGAATTATTATTGCGCTAATTCAAAAAACATTGGAAGACATTTCCAACTGATGACCTGAGCACAGGATTGAGCACATTAGAAAATCCAGTGGCTGCAGCACTTTCACATTTTACATAAAGTTGTACGAGTATTCCATAAATAATTCTAACAATATTTTGACTAGATACGAATGTTAACTATGACGTTCATGAGATTATTTGTGACTAAATATTTAAATGTAAACAATTGACTGCACTAGTGCTAGATTGATTGATATGGGGGAAAAAACAAATATAGGGTGTGGTCACAGTAGAGTTTTGTTCGGGCCTGAAAAATCAAGCCCGACCCGGCCCAAGCCCGCTAATACTAAGCCCGAGCCCGTATAAGCCCGACCAATTAAAGACCTTATGACGGGTTTTTTTAAAAAAAATAGTGGATATCAAAATTGTATGACAATGTCAATTTGAAAGAGATTCCGGCAAAAAAAATCCTATATTTTATAAAAAGAACGTGTTTTTCATGAATTTAAGCTGTCTATGCTCTAACCTGTGTGTGACCATAGCGGGTAACGCCCATGCATTGAAAACCATGGATCTATGCCACAGGACTGCCTTTTCTCTCTTCTCTCCACTGATGCCCAACACAATACTGCTCACTACACATAAATTGCCGTTTTGAGTGTAAAAAAGTGCCCGAGGTGGGATTTGAACCCAAGTATCTGGATTGGCAGCCCATCGACACAACCACTGGACTATCTCGGTGACAACAAAATGTTACAATCTAGTAGTTATCTCAGACTCGCTGTACACGGCCTTGTCCTCTTGAATGTCCGCGAAAAAAGAACGAATACCAAATTGTAAACAACTTACAGCGTTGAAACGTACCCGTTCTGACGTCACCAAGGGCTGTGAAGTTTTTTCGTTTCTAAGGGCGTTGCTATGGGGTTATTTCGATTTGGGGGGATCAGACAAAAAAAACAACTGATTTTGAAACCTTTAGTAGTTCTCTTCTAATATAAAATGGTATTAAAACTGTATTTCTAAATAAATCAAACCCGTCATAAGGTCTTTAAGGTTGTATAATAGGCCCGAGCCCGACAGAAGCCCGACACATCTGATTTCCCTTGTTGTGCGCACTCATCTTCCAACAAACTTATCATCTTCCAATTGCAAGTTTAGCCACTTCTGAATGTGTTTTGTACGTCCACCTGATCCATTTCTGTTAATGTTCCGTGTGTTTGCTGTTGACCGTAGCATTCAACAGGAAAAACAGGGATGATGCGTTCATGGCTTGCTGCGGCTGTAGGACACGCCGGTTACGGTGTTATAAATATCAACTTTTTAAATAACTTGTCAATCAACGGACATTATTATTAATAAACACACATATGCATATCATTATGTATGAAAATCATAAATAATAAAAAATATTGATTACAAAAAAATAAAAAGGAGCCCGGAACGGCCCGACTGCTGAGCGCTGAAGTGAGGCCCGAGCCCGGCCCGAACTCGGCTCGGGCGTACTCGGGCTTGGACTGAAAAGTGAAACTCTAGTTCACAGTAAAATGTTAATTATAGTATCTGGACTTTAAACGGTTATAACTCAAATGAATATTACTATCATAGATTGAAAAAACAAGATTTAAAACACCAATTTATCAAAGAGATATTGTGGATGAAATAAAAAAGAATGAATGGCAAAAGTTTAAAAGACCAGATTAGCCTCTGAACAGTAACGCTATTGACATAGAAAATAAAAGGTCCTCAGTGAGAAAGCGGAAGATGAAATCCCACAAGATTTACATGGCTAACACAACATAAGTAAAACACTTGATTGAAAGAGGAATCATGAAGAAAATCAACACATTTAAATGACCCTTGAAAAGTGTGTAACAGATGTGATGATTTCCGTAATTTTCTTTTCTAAAAATTAAACTTAAACTTAAAAACAAAAATAAAATTCTCTGGTGTCACATTTAATTGGTTTACTACATGAAAATACTCACTTTGTTTCTACTCTGTTTGAATAAGAATCTCTTAAAGGAACAATATGTAAAAATCTGGCCAAAAGTGGTACTGCAGTCACAGTCAATATTTTGTAGTCCTCTCCCTGACTTAGGTTGCCAGATTCACACCAAATCCAGCAGCAAACACAGGGAATTATTTTATCAGTTTTTTGTCCGTCTCCATTCACATTGCCATGACAGCCGTGCTAATGCTGAATGAATGTTTTGATTCATGTTTTTTTATCATTATTATTTGGACATTTGAGATAAAAAACAAAAACAAAATAAAAGCAATGTAATTATACATAGTTTATGCAAAATACATAAGCAATTGATGTCCAAAATAGGAGTGGGAAGAATGGATGTTGGAACGTATTTCTTCAGCGTATCAACATCAGGGTTTGCTCAAGAGGATATCACCTTTCCGTTTTATTTATTCCCTATTTTTTAGACAAACATGTAAAAGTCCCACATCAAAAAGAGACTAACATTATTTTAATTGGGGTACATGTGGTCTTAAATGATTATTTTTACAATTAAGCTATAATCTGCAAAAAAAATGTCTTGACCTTCGTCTTTTACCGTTTTTAGAGCAATCTGTCATAGAATGTGATAACATGCAATAAATACAAAAAGACATAGCCCGGAATTGAACCCGGGTTCCTGCATCGTAAGCGCACAGTTTTGACCACTAGACCACCGATTCACACAGTTAGAGTCACTGTGAAGAACGGACTCAAACTAGAAAATTCTGCATCACACGTGAACTTTTATCAGCTGTCTCAATTGTTCAAAGGCATCCCGATATAAATCCTCGTTTTAGTCTTTGTTTTGTCATTAATGATTTGAGAGTCATAACAAGACCTTTTTTAGTTCTGCGCCACATGTTATTTTACCTCTGAGATTAGTGAGCCGCACGGAGTTCTGGCAACCCGATCACGGACTTTCATGACACTTCCTGATTGGCGAAACGGCGGAGGGTAGGACATCAAAATCAAAACAATAACAACTTTTACGGGTCGTAAAACTAATTTTGATATTCAAATATCTCGGATGAACTACTGTTATCAGTTAAAGATGTGTTTGAAAAGAACATGATTTATTAATGCCTTTTGAAATATTCGGGTCATTTAATGATGACTTGACATGCAAATATTACATATTGCTCCTTTAAGTAAATGTGGACGACTGAAAATATACGTATAACAAACTTCCACGTAGCTCATTACTGCAACTTCAGAATGTCCACTGAACAATGTCACTTTATCTACTTATTATCCTGCACTATATAACTTCGCACTACTACATTATACATATATAAAATTATATACATATATACATACAGTGCCTTGCAAAAGTATTCGGCCCCCTTGAACCTTTCAACATTTCGCCACATTTCAGGCTTCAAACATAAAGATATAAAAATAAATCAACAACAAGTGGGACACAATCGTGAAGTGGAACAAAATTTATTGGGTAATTTAAACTTTTTTAACAAATAAACTGAAAGTGGGGCGTGCAATATTATTTGGCCCCTTGCGCTAATACTTTGTAGCGCCACCTTTTGCTGCAATTACAGCTGCAAGTCGCTTGGGGTATGTCTCTATCAGTTTTGCACATCGAGAGACTGGAATTCTTTCCCATTCTTCCTTGCAAAACAGCTCGAGCTCAGTGAGGTTGGATGGAGAGCGTTTGTGAACAGCAGTCTTCAGCTCTTTCCACAGATTCTCGATTGGATTCAGGTCTGGACTTTGACTTGGCCATTCTAACACCTGGATACGTCTATTTGTGAACCATTCCATTGTAGATTTGGCTTTATGTTTTGGATCATTGTCCTGTTGGAAGATAAATCTCCGTCCCAGTCTCAGGTCTTTTGCAGATTCCAACAGGTTTTCTTCCAGAATGGTCCTGTATTTGGCTCCATCCATCTTCCCATAAATTTTAGCCATCTTCCCTGTCCCTGCTGAAGAAAAGCAGGCCCAAACCATGATGCTGCCACCACCATGTTTGACAGTGGGGATGGTGTGTTCAGGGTGATGAGCTGTGTTGCTTTTACGCCAAACATATCGTTTTGCATTGTGGCCAAAAAGTTTGATTTTGGTTTCATCTGACCAGAGCACCTTCTTCCACATGTTTGGTGCGTCTCCCAGGTGGCTTGTGGCAAACTTTAAACGAGACTTTTTAATGGATATCTTTGAGAAATGGCTTTCTTCTTGCCACTCTTCCATAAAGGCCAGATTTGTGCAGTGCACGACTGATTGTTGTCCTATGGACAGACTCCCACCTCAGCTGTAGTTATCTGCAGTTCATCCAGATTGATCATGGGCCTCTTGCCTGCATCTCTGATCAGTCTTCAAACTTTCATCTCAAACAAGGAGGAGGGATGGCCGGGTCTTGGTAGATTTGCAGTGGTCTGATACTCCTTCCATTTCAATATAATTGCTTGCACAGTGCTCCTTGATGTTTAAAGCTTGTGAAATCTTTTTGTATCCAAATCCAACTTTAAACTTCTCCACAACAGTATCTCGGACCTGCCTGGTGTGTTCCTTTGTCTTCATGGTTCTCTCTGCGCTTTACACAGAACCCTGAGACTATCAAAGAGCAGGTGCATTTATACGGAGACTTGATTACACACAGGTGCATTCTATTTATCATCATCAGTCATTTAGGACAACATTGGATCATTCAAAGATCCTCACTGAACTTCTGGAGTGAGTTTGCTGCACTGAAAGTAAAGGGGCCGAATAATATTGCATGCCCCACTTTTCAGTTTTTTATTTGTTAAAGTTTAAATTATCCAATAAATTCCGTGTCCCACTTGTTGTTGATTCATGACAAAAAATTAAAATGTTATATCTTTATGTTTGAAGCCTGAAATGTGGCGAAATGTTGAAAGGTTCAAGGGGGCCAAATACTTCAATACCAGTCAAATAAAAGTATAATATATATATATTATACTTTTATTTGACTGGTATTGAAGCATTTACAGCATCTATAGCTAGTTCAGAAACATAGCTACTACTTATTTTGTATATTTTTTGTGCTGCCTGTGTGCTCTTACTACTGTCCTGAATGTATGCTGCAACCTCAAAATGTTCCCACTGTGGGACGAATATAGGAACTCGTATCTATTCTGTCAAAGGCATCACGTCCGTTAGATAAGTTTTACATATTAGTCAAGTTTTCTATAGATCTTCTAGCAACTACTAATGGACTGAAGAGGTATTTGGATACATGAAAAACATAATATTTCTTCTGATTATGAAAATCTAATTTTGGCCTTCTGTCACACTTTTGTACCCTTTAGTGTGAACAAGGCCAAAACCAGTTGACTATCTTTTGAACCTCATGCCCAATGTGCAAAAACACTGAACATTTGCCCAAAAACCCAGATTCAGCTCTTCCTTCCACACTGAGCTGGCGTGTCTGACATGCATTTAGCCTGCCTCGTTTTGCAGTCTTTTTTGCAGAGACGTGTTCAGTGGGAATGCTGATCAATTATAAGATGGGCCGTTCCATGTTCTGCTCTTTGATTAATTAAATTGTCCTTTTAAAATTTTTGAAAATATTTACATTGACCAACATGGATGATGATCTTGCCCTAGCCTATTATAAGGGAAAGTCAGACCTTTTTTATTGTATGTGTTCCTTTCTTCCCTGTGGTGAAAAGCCCACACACTATTTAAACTCACTGCTGCTGTTGAAATAAGCCTAGGGGTCGCTACATCACCTAGACTTATAGTTTCTAAGAGGTATAATTATTTATTATTAACATTTTTTTCTTCTGTTTTTAGGCTCGTGACAAGTCTAAAAGAGTATTTGCTATATTTCGACAATGGCAGGTAACTTCTCAATCCCAGTAGGAGGCCTCCAGCTCCCTCCGCACACTGCTGTCGAGCCTCTCGGTGATTAGATTTTGTCTGCATTCATCAGTAGTATTCCTTTTTATCAGGAAAAAAATGTGAAGAAGGACTGGTGTGAGGTGTGTACACAGGAGCATCACTTACTATGTTTACGCCTGGCATTTTGAGTATGGATTGGGAACGTGCGATTGCTGCTATTTGGATTTTAGCTCAATCTTATTGTATAAACCAAAAACTGTGAGAATGTCTGAAAGTCTGATTTAGTTTTTACTGGACTAACTTGTAGATGGTAGAGAGATTGTTACTAACTGTCCACAAACTCATGTGCCATGAATTTTTGAATGTCACACTGGAACCAGAATGTTGTATTTCTTGTCCTACTGTGATATTATTTGGAGTGCAGTCATCCATATCCACTTTGTGTGTGATTTTTAACTATTTGGGTTTCCAGAATAAAAAAGACATGTTACATTATTTTCCTCTTTTTTCATAATGCAGTTATATTGTGGTTTGTAAGTCTGTTTTTGTTCAGGATGAACTGTTACTTTCTTTGAAGCTGTATTTCAGACCACCCTATTCCAACCTGCAGAGGGGTACTATGAATACATGTTCTGTTATCACTTTCAAAAGGTTGTGAAACAAAATAACTTGTGCGAGTACACACTTCTACATATTAAATGTAGAAGTGTGTAAAACTATTAACATTACATAGCCTAAAAAAGACTACTTCCAAATTGAAACCATTGTATTAGGAATATGTGTTTTTTTCTATTATGAATACAAAAAAATAACCTTAAACCTTTCTTTGAAAAAAGCACTTGGGTTTTTTTAACAATATTCAATTGTGTGCATTTACACAGAAAAAAACTCAACTCAATTTACAAGAGATCTTCAGTTTTAACAGATTATGTTCATTTGTTAGGCAAATTCCACATTCATAAATGTAAGTTCTCACCATCCCTCTTTCCTGGAATTGGTGAATACAAGTTAATCTTGCGTTAATACAATAAAGAACTCAAGATCAAAAGATCTCAACATTTGTAGATTACTTATAAATATGATTACACTTTTGGCCCCCTTTTCCTCTCCCACCTCTTCACACGTCTCCAGCCCAATCCATCAACTACCTTCAACTGCCCCCATCCCCCCCGTACTGTGAGGTCATATTTTTCACTTCTCCAGTGCCTTTAACACCATCAGACTGCCACTGTTGTGGGGAATAATAGAGGATGCGGGACTGTCATCTCACTGCATGGACCTTCAACTACCTCACGGACCGACCGCAGTGAGTCTGAGGTGGTAGTCTGCAGTACTGGGGCCCCTCAGGTCACTGTCCCCACAGTTTCTCTTCAACATTTATTCATTGGACTTCCCATCCAACACACACGGCTGTCACCTGCAGATGTTCTCCGATGACTTCGCCATCGTGGTCTGTGTGTCTGAGGGGAGCAAACTGGAGTACAGGTCTATGTCCATGATTGAAGGTACATGGTAAACAACTCCCAAACACTCCATGGAACTAGAGAAGCTGACCAGCTCTTACAGTGAGTGGAAGACTGAGGCACTTACCGCAGGGCCTTCTTCCCCACCACTGTCAGACTGTACAACAAGTCTGCACTAGGGCCATAAACTTTTCACTGCCATGGTCACTTTTTAATTTTAATTGTACATAAAAGACCTTTATTGCAGTAAAGATACTATCTTTTCACTTTCTTTACCTGTCTCTTTGCACATCCTGTGTGAACCTATTTAAGCCAAATGTGACATGTTCATCTCTCCAGTGATCAATAAAGTTTTATCTTATGCCTCCCCTGACATATTTTGGCATGCATTCTGTAAATGTGTTATGTCTTTACAAAAATACAAATGAAGTCTTCCTATTGAGACTTAATGTTCATGGGGAAGGTTGAGTACCCCAGCTTTAAACGGTCCATTCATACATGAACTAATATAAACAAGGTTAGGAAAACTACAAGCTCGTCCCCTGATGATGACGTTGGTCGCGGGGCGCTGATGTTCCAGGCGGAGTGATCGAAGAGTATCTGGATGTGCTCAGCTATGGTCAGAGACAGAACATCCACAGCCCTCCACTCCACAGCTCAGCAGGACTCCGAGTCAGCCCAGACAGAGAGTTTAGCGGGGGACACCTCTCTCCGCCAATGTTAACCTTCGGATAGTGGCGCTTGCTAGACTCCAGCGCAGCAGGGGCTAGCTTTCTCTGTACTAACAGGTGTTCTGCGGAAGAAACAGAAAAACATGTCGTCTCCAAGTCCGGGCAAACGGCGAATGGACACCGATGTGGTGAAACTGTATCCTTTTGCTATTAAAATAGTCATGTGTGGTGTTTGTACTGCTAACACTGCGCATATATGTGTGTCTGTGAGCGACCAGGTCTCTCTGTGATGTTGGCCTGTCCTAGCCTGTCGCAGTTTCATTGTGAATGAGCGATTTTGTGTAAACAAGATTTTGCTAGCAAAGCCAAGTGCTGGCTATTTCTGTCTTTCTCTGTACTCTGTCATAGCAGCTGTAAAGGCGAAAGTCATCGGCTGTAACAGTGAAATATGTCTCATCAGCTGTCCTCTCTGTTCTATTCTTTAGTTTGTACCGTGTCTCCAGAACCGTCTCTGTCTCTGTCATGGATCTGTGCAGCAGCTGTAGAAGCTAACAGTTGCCTCTTTTTGCAAGATGTAAAACGACTGAATAATTGAACTAACATTTCTCTAATTTGAGATTGTTATGAAGTTGTTGCTCTAAATATCTTCCCAGGCTTGTTTACATAACCTGGAGCTAGCGTAAAAATGCTTGTCTTTTGTTCTACGTTATTCTCCTGTAAACGATGGCGAACATTGCGCATTTCTTCCCACTCATATCAAGCACAGTTGGTTTGCTTTGTGACTGTTTCAAGCTGCGCTGTTATTACAAGGTTGTAACGCAGTGTGTTCTTGTAGCTGGAGTGCTGCCTGGCTTGTCTGCTTAATTTCAGCATCAAAATGGCCACCTGATCTGATTCTGTACTTTGGTGCGAGGAGGCGATGTTTCAGCCTGGGTACACACTTGCCAACGCTGGTTTTGTAAACATTAGCCACTGCTATTTAAGTTAGTACATGCCTCTTCACTGTATAAGGAAGGTTTGGTGTGGTGTTGTCATAAAACTGTCACTTTGTTTAAGTTTGAACTGGGCGAACTTTTCCCATTCTAAACACACACTAGATTTTATTTTTTATTTTTTTGGCCAGCAGATTTTTTTCCCAGTCAATTGAGCTTTATGATGAAGTTTGTTTTGCTCTTGTGGAAACCAGCTTCATGATTGGGTAGAAGCCAACCTACCAAGCCTGTTACCGGCCAAAAGCAGAAGCAGGAGGGACCTGTGACAGGCGGATGGTGTCTTTGAAAAGTCAGATTTTCCTGGAGAAATGTTGATTCCAAACAATTTACTCAGTGCTAATGCTTTAAATATATATTCTTTTGTCACACATTTGTTGTAAAATTTGTATATTGAAATGATATGCTGTTGTTTTACTAGATTAATCTTGACTAATAAATTATAATCGAAAGTTCTCTGGGCCCAATCTGTCATACACAAATTAACCTGACATAAAACAATTGCCATTGAGCTGGGCGACCTGACTTACCTGAATAACCACAAAAGAGGGAATGATATCCACGGTTGTGTTTAAAATGCTCCAGTATCTTTTGTTTTGTAGGTTTTTTTTATATAGTCTTTTAAATCAACCTTTTTACACATTAAAAAGTTGCATCAGAATCGCTGATCTAAAATGCTTGCCATGGTACTCTGGCCTTGTATTTTGCAGTTCACCTGTTTTTTGACGTCTTGTTGGGTCTCTTTGTCACTGCTCCTTTTTCATTGACTAATTGAAATGAAGAATTAGTTTGAGCGATTTCTGCACAGCCTGTCATGCATTTCTACTGATTCTGAATCTTATAATTCTACATATTCTTTTGAAGAACAAATAGAAAAAAGTCCTTTGTTTTTTTTTTACATACAAGAATTGCTCAACATATGTAATTTCCCCTTTGTGAAAGCTAAACAAAAAAATGAATTGCTTAGAAATATAGCTGGAATGAACAAAAAAAATCCTTGGCAAGTGCAATATTGATATAGTAAAGATGTGCAATCATTGTTTATATAAATTATGTATTTTTTCAGATATAACTTTTGTCGTTTGCTGCTAGTGTCCAAAGACTTGGTACAGTGGCAGATGCCTGTAATGGTCAGAGCAAGTGAAATTATGTTCTTTGCAATCACATGGCTGAATCAATACTTATTGCATATATTTTATTCAAAAGATATTTCATATGACCCACACACACACACACACTTTTTCATTTGTTGTGTCCTCATAGTTGCGGATGTAGAGCAGCGGCCGTTTAAGGACTCACAAAATAATGTCAGTGTGACCTCCGCAATACGACAGCCAATACTTCACTCTCAACAGCGATGAAAGCTGTGCTGTCAGACTGATGAACAATTAGGACAGTTGCCATGGCAATTGACAATATACAGTTGTGCCTCAAAGTTTTCACACCCAGGCAGAGATTTGGAGATTATGAATGATCCCATAACCACTTATTTTCTTAATTCTGTTGGTGTTGTGAAGCAGTTGGTTGCCAAGAATGGACAGCTTTACCATCAGAGGATACAGAACCTCATCCACAACTGCTACAAAATGACTACATAAGGGGAATACATGCTACAGTTTTATTTTCATTAGAAAATGTAAGAAATAAATTATTATTATTTGACAATAAATGGCTTCACATAAATGCTAACTATGAATAAAAAGTGTGTTTGCATTATAGTTCATAATATAACCAGGTATGCCTGGTTGTGTCAGCTTATTTTTGGCCCTTTAAGCAGGATCTTGAGAAGTTTGACAACATTTTGCAAGCTAGAATGTGAAATAAATAATATGGTTGAAATACTACTACTGGTAGAAATAGGAAATTAAACTTAAATGGTCTCACAGGCTGCATTTATGTTTGACACCCCAGGTTTTAGCCAATAAACCTTCTTGATGAGCTTTTTTCCATTAGATTCGACTGTGGGGGTTTTGTGACACGGCCTGCCCTGAAGATTGGCGCATGATGCAGCTTTACAATACTTTCTGTCAGGCTCCAGGACACTCTCTTTAGACCCATGTGCTAATATTATATCCTGACATCATTTGGACATCCTCTGCTGGCATGTGTTTCAGAGTGAAGACGCTCCCATGTCCCGAGTACGTATTGTTCACTGGGGAATGCTTGTAATGTGCTTAAGACGTTTGGGGTGGCCATATTACAGCCATGTGAAAATTTTAATACCTATTCCAAAACCACTATTGTATGTCGACATTAATCATGTTAATAAGGTTTGTTATTGCATTATGTCAAATTGGCTACAAGCTAACTATTATCAATAGAGTAAGATGTATATATTTGTATTTATGTGGCTGTTTACTATTCAGAATATCACATTTGATTCATGATGCAGATGTTTTTCAAAATCAAATAATGACCATTTTGTCTTTATTCACTTTTCATTGGCAGGAAAGAAATACTTAAACGATCAGTTAAGAAGTTTTGTAGATATTACAAAGTACACATACATCTCATCATATTATGTATCCAAAACACTCACACCTCATTACTGTCTACTTTAACCGTGCATGCGCTCATGGGCTCTTCTTTGTTTTTTTCTTTTGAGGATGCACTTTCAGAACCCACAGAGCAGCAATTACATTTGTAGACCTGATCTGACCAAAAACTAATTTTATATGTACAGTACAGACCAAAAGTTTGGACACACTTTCTCATTCAATGAGTGTTTCTTTCTTTTCATGACTATTGACTGTAGATTCACACCCAGGCTGTGTAAGGGCTGTTTGACCAATAAGGAGAGTGATGGGTGCTGGGCCAGATGACCCGGCCTCAACAGTCACCGGACCTGAACCCAATCCAGATGGTTTTGGGGCTGGACCACAGAGTGAAGGTGAAAGGGCCAACAAGTGCTAAGCATCTCTGGGAACTCCTTCAAGACTGTTGGAAGACCATTTCAGCTCACTACCTCTTGAAGCTCATCAAAAGAATGCCAGGAGTGTGCGAAGCAGTGATCAGAGCAAAAGGTGCAACTTTGAAGAACCTAGAATATAAGACATATTTTCAGTTGTTTCATACTTTTTTTTAGGTACGTACATAATTCCACATGAGTTAATTCATCGTTTTGAGGCCTTGTGAATCTACAATTTTGATAGTCATGAAGATAAAAAATGGGTGGGTGTGTCCAAACTTTTGGTCTGTACTGTATCTTATCTATCTATATATGTTGCGTCTGTCAGATCAGCTTGCTATTGACTAGATCAGTCTCTCCCAAAGTGGGGTCCGCGGCCCCCTGGTGGGCCCCGAGGGTATTGCAGGGGGGGTGAGAGGTCATCAAAAAAAAAGAAAGTTTTATACAATTATTGTATTTCATTTTTGTCAAATTAATAATATTTTGTTTTTAATGTTAAAATATTTGTGTTCATTATTTGACTTTCATAATAAAATTGTAATCCTTTTTGTATAACAAAATGGGGTGCGTCATTTACATGTTTGTAGCAGAGGCTATTTCCCCCAAATAAAATAATAAGAAGAGCCTATTTTTAATGTTGTCTTCTTGGTTAGTATTTCGGGGGGCCGCGCTGACCCGTCAGATTTTGAAGGGGGCTGCGCTGTTACTGACTTTGGGAATGGCTGGACTAGATGAATACGTGTGTATGTGATATTAACAATTAAGAAATACATTTCCCCATTATATCATAAAAACATTGGATAGTCCAAAGGCTCAAATGTGTGCCTTCTCTAGTCTTGTGCTTTGGGATCAAAAGTGTGGTCCAGTCTTCTAGAAAACTTCTGTACATTTGATGGCATGCACAGTGCCAGGCGGGGGCGTGCTCTGAATAGCAGTGTGTTAAGTGCATCTAATTGAGGAATGACATGGATTTTAAAGTGCATTTGAATGGAAACTGTTTAAGTCAAGATTATTCTAAAATATACTTTCCTCAACTACCTTGAAGTTCCCTATGAAGAGCCAACCTTCTGTTATGAGAATTCTCAGTTGTATTGTTATTCCCATAAATTCCTGCTAATTCCCTTAAATTTCAATTAATTTCCAAAGTTTCCATTTGAAAAATTACCATAATTTTGCAACCCTATATCTACATGTTTCTATTGCCAAAGATCCCACCCCTATAAACATGGACTTTTTGGATTTTTCCAAAGTACTTTGTAGACTCATTTGGCAAATTTGAGTCTGAAGATGAAATATTGG